AGCACTCGGGACCTACGGTCGGACGGCAGGGAGAACAACCGCTCGGCAGTGGAGGAGCATTATGCGCGGCCGACGGCGGCCTCCAAGGCAGCATCACACGGCCAAAAGTATCTCTCGACGGCTCCCCTATCATCCCATACTGCCAGCGGGGCATATGGCGGCATTCGCTCCCACAATACCATCTTGAAACCCTCTGCACCGGTCAAGAAAACGACCAACGTTTACCGCGACAACAAACTCAAGGAGGCGAGCACATCGCATGCGCCCACTTCTTCGTCAGTTGATGACCTTGTTGCGATGGTCGACAAGCATATCAAGAATCCACGTCACTACAAAAGCCAGCCGCAACTCAAGTCGGACCAGCAGCATACCCTACACCGGAATCAGAGCAGATATATGCCCGATTACGAGAACCTGAATGACGTAGAGGATCACGACGATTTGGATGACGATTTCGTTGAGTCTTACGAGGACGCGGTCGAGCAACTGTCCAGAGATCTTGATATTCCTGCAAACACCGATGCTGCGCCTGTTGTCCATTCAAGCCACATGTCAATAGCCCAAGCCAGCTATGACCTGGTGCCTCATGGTGCACCGCTCGCTCCCTCGAAGCCAGTCAGGGCCCTTCCCATGCCCCCCAACATCTCTGATCCCGAAGAGTATTCTGAGGACGACGACGATCAAGACCTCTATGAAGACCAAGGATATACAACCGCCCACTCTTATCGATCTCATTGCGATAATACCACAGGAGGACCTACCACACTAGTCGCGCCCAGGATGACATCGGACATTGAGAAGGAACTCGACATCGCAAAGGCGTGGGTTTTAGAGCATCAAACGGAAGATGAGGTTGAGGAAGAGAATTGGGATGTGAGCATGGTAGCCGAGTACGGTGACGAGATCTTCGAGTACTTGCGCGAGCTTGAGGTAGGATACGTCGTTGATGCTTTTTCTATATCGCCGTAACGCTAACCAATCGTTGAATTAGGGACGGATGCTACCAAATCCACACTACATGGACATCCAAACCGAAATCCGGTGGTCCATGCGATCGGTCCTTATGGACTGGCTAGTACAGGTCCACCATCGCTTCAGTCTTCTCCCAGAGACCCTTTTCCTCACAGTGAACTACATCGACCGCTTTCTTTCAGTCAAGGTTGTGTCGCTGGGCAAGCTCCAACTTGTTGGCGCGACTGCCATTTTTGTCGCAGCCAAGTACGAGGAGATCAACTGCCCCTCTGTACAGGAACTAGTGTACATGGTGGATCAGGGATACTCCGTTGAGGAGATTCTAAAGGCGGAGAAGTTCATGCTCACCATGTTGAACTTCGAACTTGGGTGGCCAGGCCCGATGAGTTTCCTTCGCCGCATTAGCAAGGCCGATGACTACGATCTAGAGACTCGGACTCTTGCAAAGTATTTGCTCGAAGTGACTATCATGGACGAGCGGTTTGTGGGCTGCCCTCCGAGCTACCTTGCTGCTGGGGCTCATTGCCTCTCCCGCTTCTTTCTGGCAAGGGGACCATGGGTAAGTCCTCCTCTCATCATGACATGATTGATTGAAAACTTACACGTAACAGACACTCGCTCATGTCCATTTTTCCGGCTACACGCTGGCTCAACTGAGGCCCCTCATCACTACCATCCTCGAATGCTGCCAGGAACCACGCAAACATCACGGCGCGGTATACGACAAGTATTCTCATCAGAGGTTCAAGAGCGCGTCTACTTTCGTGGAAACCAAAATTGCGAAAGGTTTCGTGTTGCCGCTTCAACTCAACGCTTCTATCAGCGCCAGTGCGCAATCATAAACTTGCATGCCTTCCACTCATTTGCTAGGGCATGGATCTTGGACGATGGAAACATGCTGAGGCTGAGGCGGATCATTAACGGCATTGTTAGAGAGAAACCGCAACGATAGCGACCACTCTCGCTCATAATATGTCCATTAGAGGATATGTACGGACAGTTTTGGCGCTGCTTTATCAACAACGGCAGCACCTGTTTCGTACCCCGGGCCCATGATTAGCATATTCTCCTTTCGGACATCCGGTACTGCGGCTTATAGACTATCCCGGCGCTGTCCGATCTAATTATTGACGCTCCACGGGCCCGGTGGTACCATGTTTACGCGAAAAGAAGAAAAAGACTACCAAAAGGGAAACAAAACGTTGATGATGAAGCGACGAAGTACGACATCTTTTCCCCGTTTACCTTTGCAGGTTCTCTTTGCCTTGATAAAAGGTTCCGTTCTCATTTGCACTTGCGGTGTCGTTTTCCACCACAGGTTTTTGGGCAAATTGCCCCTTTTTCTCAGCGGCGTTTTAAAGGAGGTTGGGATTCATGCCGCTCCAACTTTTCCAGGCGCGGTGTTGGAGGCAATCGTCATGCATGGTCTTCTAAGGCTTTTACATCAGGTTAGGGTTTCAGGCGAAAAAAAAGGCAGCTCATTTACAAGGAAACTGGAACGGCGTCTGCTTCAGGGATTCACACCAGAGCGGGATGGATGGGTGAACGGACGGTCGGTCGGACAAGGGGGATGGCGTCGGTGCAATGGACATGATATCTCAACGAGCTTTAGACTTAATTGCAAGTGCATGGTCTTCTTTCCCATGTTCTTCCGGCATTTTATTGTATAGCTTGTTTTATTTATCTTGCTTTGCGATAAAGGCGACAGCTCGGAGCAGCTGAAAAGGGATGGTTCGCATTTTCTGTTCATCTTGCATTTTTATTTTATCGCCTTGGCAGAAGTCGTTGAACACGCCGGGCACGAAAATGGTAGGAAGGAAAAATGGAACTGGGTCAAAGTGAGGAGGACAGCAAAGCATGATAGCATGTTCATGATGTTCTTCTTTGGCTGTTTCTCTCGAAATGCCTTGAGTTTCTTTTTCAACTCTGCGCCATGTCTGGTGTCGGCGAAAAAAAGGATTTACACCCAATGGTGCTAAGGTACTTGATCAATTGGGAAGATGAGCTGGCAGAGCATCATTCCGGGTTGGTACTATCAGCATGGCCTTTAGACCGATAGTCTTACTTATACAAGATGGGTTCTGTAATTCGTTGTTCTGCCGGATGACCTTGTTCCTGGGATGATTAGTTTGAGTGAACATCTTCCTCGTTCCCCAACGCACGTTCGATCTAAGGAACGAAAGAGGTCATATGATTCGTTTCTGAACTCAAAGACAGTAACATAATAACATCAACAGATTCGACGCTGCCTTCGGAGAACGTTTGCTCCTCCGCTTGAGCCACGAAGCAAACAGTGAGCTAACTCCACTTTTATAATTTACGATACTTGAGATGATAAAACGTCGGATTACGGTGTATATTTACTTTCTGCAATGCGGAAGTCGGCAGTTCGTCCCACCATTGTGGTCATCCTGATTGCATACATACGCGCTCTTAGATACCGAAATTTGCAACACGCTTGTTCTTTTGATATTTCTATTCGGTATCAGTCAAGTTTTTCCGAGGTCATCCATCACATGTGTCATAATGGCATTCTTGGCTATTTTCCCATGCAATATCGGGTCGATCAAAAGCGGAATTGGATGATCACAAACCCTCGGCGCCAAAGTTCGATGAATTCACACAAAGTGGATTGTTGATGATGGTGGACGGCGGGGTTCACGATGGAGTCATTCTTTAGGGGTGGGGCTTCCGTTAACTTTCATGGGTGGGGACGAGACCGGAGCGGAGTGGCTGGGGTGGAGTTCGTGGATATTTCCCAGGTTGAGTGGAACCACCGCTTCATCCGCTCAAAGGTTAAAGTTAGGTCCAAAGTTGGGTTTGCTTGGCAAGCGGAAGGGCCGTAAGTGTAAACTCGGAATATCAACGGCGGGAGTGATGGACCTGGCCGAAGCCCGGCCTGGACCGCGGCTTCGATGCTTGGAGTTGAGACGGACTGGAAAGGAAAAAGGAGACAATTTGTTGTGTGTGCGTAAGACCTTCGTGGGTGTTGTGTGACTCGACGGTACCTGGGATGAACAAATCTCGGGACGGCAGGGGCAATCAATCGTAACGGAACGGCGGATTCGTGAAACAGAGGAAGGCACGGCAGGAACCTTCACCAGAATTTGGATCTGGCAACCGGAAAGCCAAGAAGGGGGATGAGGTCTCGGCCACACGTAATTTATAATTGAAATTTTCTTTTGCTTCATTTTTCGTCAACCACCTCATTGCGCGATCGCATTCGCATCTCCAGAGGTCCCCCACCTTCACGACAACAACCACTCCGCATCTCACTCTCTTCCATCTACACTCGCTCTGGAGCGTTACCTCAGTTGTTACGGCAAAGTCATACATCATTCATCACTCTTTTATCGTTGAACAATATCCCAAGCCGGAGGGTTGTGGTAGTCGTGTCGCGTCTCCCTCACCTCACTCTCACTTCGCCAAGGGTCCCAGACTCCAGAGACCTCAAAGCGCACCCGTGGCCTCAGCTGTCGTCGGCAGGATTACCCGCGTGACGAGTTCCGTTTTTTCCTCGATCGAACCGGGGTTTATTTACTGGGTGCAGTCTTCGCCAGCGATCCCCCTCTTCCCCGCCGTGGGCCGTCCAACCGTTGCTCCGTCGCATTGGGCTGCCGTCACATCGTGTCCAAAAAAAACTGGCTCCGTATCCGCTACGGCCTGCGGTCCGCCTGCGATATATCCCGAGCTCGGCCTGCACCTCCACGAGTCCACAGCGCTGTCTCGTCCTCTCTGTCCCTCCGTTCGTCTCCAGCCTCGAGGATTCTTGTAACCCCATCCGAGGCCCCAGATCCGATACCCTGAGACCCACCCGCGCCGACAACTTTGAGGTGCAGCCCCAGTGCGTGTGCGACAATTCGCGACGCATTTCACCAGCCGCAAGCCCGCAACCTTGACAGACGCAAAAGCTTTGACTCTTCGCGCACAAGATCGTCCCCTGCGTCGCATACCTGCTCTCTGCTTGTACAAAGTACCCAGCCTGTCCGCGTACCGCGTAGAGCGCTTCACTGCCACACAGAGTCGCCATGTCCACAGCTGCGGTTAAGGAAGCGGTCAAGGAGACCCTCATCGGCTCCGATGAGCACGCCGCCGCCGGCCAGGTGCAGCCTACTGCTCAGACCAAGGCGCGTTTCACTCGCTACGCCGTCCAAGATTCCGAGACGGGGGAGCTCTTTTTGGGACCTGATCAATTCATCGATGCCGTGGCCCCGCCTCATGAGGATTACGTGAGTCACATCCCAAGAGATTCTGACCTTATTCTCACTTGGCGACAAGTTGACTAACTCGCGCCCACCTTCTCGAAATGTAGCATAAGATCCAGCGCGAGCAATACAGCATCCTATTCAGCGTCGCCGACCGAGCGAACAAGGGCAAGGTGACCCTCTCCGACTGGACATATTTCGAAAACTTGCTTGAAAAGCCCGATGCCGAGTACGAGATTGCCTTCCGCCTGTTCGACGTCGAGCGTCTCGGTACCGTCAAGTATGAAGACTTCCGTCGTCTTTATGAGCTCAACAAGGGGCCCGATAGCATCCCGTTCGACTGGGATTGCGAATGGGCCAAACTGTATATCGGTAGCAAGACTAAGAGGCACAACCTGGACTACCAGCAATTCTCCCAGATGCTTCGTGGCCTCCAGGGCGAGCGCATCCGCCAGGCTTTCCAGTTGTTCGACAAGGATGGCGATGGCTTCATCGAACCCGAGGACTTCGAGCGCATCATTATGGAGACCTCAAAGCATAAGCTCTCCGACCACCTCCTCGAAAACTTGAACACTCTGTGCAACATCTCGCAGGGCAGCAAGGTCTCGTATGCGAATGTCAGGGCCTTCCAGAACATGATTAAGGAAATGGATCTGGTTGAGCTCATTATCCGTAAGGCTTGCGAGAAGAGCCAGGACGGCAAGATCACTCGTACCGAGTTCCTCAACCAGGCGGCCAAGATTACCCGCTTCTCCCTCTTCACCCCAATGGAAGCGGACATTCTGTTCCACTTCGCGAGTGTTGGAAACCCCTCCGGCCGACTTGGTCTCGAAGATTTCGCCAAGGTTCTTGACCCTACCTGGAGGAACCGCCATGTCGCCGAGGCCAGACTTCTGCCCAAGATTGCCCAGACAAAGGGCCAGCAGTTTGCCCACCAGGCGGGCGAGTCGGCTTACAACTTTATCCTCGGCAGTTTATCTGGCGCCTTCGGTGCCTTTATGGTCTATCCCATTGATCTGGTCAAGACAAGAATGCAGAACCAGAGAGGCGCTTCGCCCGGAAGCAGACTCTACGACAACTCCATCGATTGTTTTAGAAAAGTCATTCGCAACGAGGGCTTCAGGGGTCTTTACTCGGGTGTCCTTCCTCAGCTTGTTGGTGTCGCGCCCGAGAAGGCTATCAAGCTGACTGTCAACGACCTTGTTCGTGGTGCATTCACTGATAAGCAGGGCGACATCAAATTGATGCACGAGATCATTGCTGGTGGTACCGCTGGTGGCTGCCAAGTCGTAAGTTCTCTTCGAGTTTCCTCTGTGTTAGCTGTCGACAATGCTAATTGTTTGCGTGTGCAATAGGTCTTCACCAACCCTCTGGAGATTGTCAAGATTAGACTGCAGGTCCAGGGCGAAGTTGCTAAGAGCGTTGAGGGGGCTCCTAAGCGCTCCGCCATGTGGATTGTCCGTAACTTGGGCCTAGTCGGACTGTACAAGGGCGCCTCTGCTTGCCTCCTCCGCGATGTCCCATTCTCGGCCATTTACTTCCCCACTTACTCCCACCTCAAGAAGGATCTCTTTGGCGAGTCACAGACCAAGAAGCTCGGCGTTCTCCAGCTTCTCACGGCCGGTGCCATTGCCGGTATGCCCGCTGCTTATCTTACGACACCCTGCGACGTCATCAAGACTCGTTTGCAGGTCGAGGCCCGTAAGGGTGACACGCAGTATACTGGTCTCAGGCACGCCGCTAAGACTATCTGGAGGGAGGAAGGCTTCAAGGCCTTCTTCAAGGGCGGCCCTGCCCGTATTCTCCGTTCCTCGCCGCAGTTCGGTTTCACCCTTGCCGCTTACGAGCTTCTCCAGGGTGTCCTGCCTTATCCTGGACAGAAGGCCGAGAGGATGCACCAGGGCGTTGCTGACGCTGTCTCCTTGGTGCAGGACAGCGTGGCTGGTGACAGCCCGTACACGAGGTCCCGCAACGCTCTCAAGATCCTCCTGGATCTTGATGAGCATTTTGGTCGCGTTAAACTTGATGCTAATGCGGCTGGTTGGAAGGCTCTGCCCACATGGATGCAGAACCCTCCCAAGACCGCGTAAGGTGGCACTTACGAAGCGTTAGGACCCAACCGCTATCGAAGCTGGTATGGGGGTTATGAGTGTGGCAACTCAGCAGATTGTCGGTAAATGCAGCTGGCAACTGCATGAAAAGAGGTGACCGAACGGGTTTCCGTTACCGGCCTCTATTCCGTTACACTTTATTTGGTCTCGATCAAATAAACCCCATGGCACTCATCGAACGCCTGTGGCAGGGCTAGTTGCGCAAGCTCCACCGACGTTACGCAAATGCACACTACGCCGCCTGAGCTTGTGCGAGTACACCATCACGGTGACCATCTCCCTCCCCTTCATTTATCCTTCATTCTTAGTTTCGGCATATACTTTAGAACGATATTGGATTTGGGCACAAGATCAGACAGGGGTTTAGGTGCACTGTTAGACAAGATGGTGGGGAAAAGGATTCTCATGATATCAGTTCAGCGAGCATGGAGTATGAGAATACAAAACATGAGGCGTTCAAGGGAGAAAAGGGCGATATGGGGTGGTGGCGTGTTTTCATTTTCAGTCGTTTTTTGTCAGATTTCCGTATATGGTCGTATTTTGCACATGCCAATTTTTGCAGCGAAATGCTTAGGTTTTCTTTCACTTGCTTTTCTCAAACTTCGGACTCGTGTTCATATCGGAGACTGCCTTTTGCCCTTTCCCGCTTCCAAAGTTTACTTAGAAAAGGGGGCAAGGAAACGGATCTGTATCTATGTAGACATAGCTTCCGTTTTCTTCGGTCTTTTCTACTCTCGCGTCTTCTGCCCATCATTCTCTCCTCGGCTCCTGTCATCCTCTGTTGGTATTGGCTTATAGAGTTTGACTACCCTAGAGCAATCAGATATCTTCACAGTTCACAACACCTTTTCTTGCGTGGGATAGAGAAAAAAGTCATTAGGGGAGGGTGGGAAGATAAACAGCTAGTAGACTAGGTAGAGACAGAAGCGTGTGTCTTACAATGAAAATCTCTCCTCCATCCTCAAGCTTTGTGCTCATGTGAATAGTAGGTGAGGGGCATGTCTTAAGCATATGCTGAGATCACCAATTGAAACCTGCGTAACTGTCTGTCTGGGTAACAGTTACACTACATAGGCAAATGTTGCGGTTATAACAACCAATCAGCGGGTTTAGCTCAGTTGGGAGAGCGTCAGACTGAAGTCCACTTCACTCATAAATCTGAAGGTCGTGTGTTCGATCCACACAAACCGCAATCTTTTTGATATTTTCTATACCTCAAATTCGTTTCTTTTCTTTTTACATTGAATTTTTATTACGTCTTGCTTTTCTTCGTGGCTCTTGGCTTCTTTCAACTGAGACCCTGGATATATATATTGTCTTATCACGCTAAACTATTTACATAGTCTACCTACCCAGTGGGTATGCGGTGCTGCTTCCGTTCTTAGTCGGTGGGGAAAAACCGTACCGTAGCCGGATGAAAACCCTCCGCTTCTCTATTGCAACGACGCCGTGTCGACGCCGTGCCTTCGATGTTTATCTTCTTCTCGGTATGACCTCACCGTCGATCTTTGATTCCGCTGCGTGGTTCCCGACCGTGCTCCCGCTCTCCAGAATCAAAGATCAATCTGAACTCCCCAGTAGCTCTTCTGCTTCCTTCGCTTGTTCGATCTTCACTGCCAGCTTGTATGTACTCCTGCAGCCGTCCTAGTCGAGATCCTGGATAGATAAGATGTTTGAAGCATTTTCTTAGGTTACAATTTTGGCTCGGTGACATATTCCTTTCCTTTATTTGTCAATCAATAACTTCTTGACTTCATCATTCCCAATGTCTCTTTCTATCAGTCAATTGGCAAACCTTTCCCAAGTAGTCTTAGGTATGCATTTCTTACCACCGCTACATTTTAAACATCACAAACCCGGACATCACTCGACGAACCCGTCTTGTTTCTCCAATTGTTCACTTGGGAGGAAAGATACATTCAAAAGCAAATTTGATTATTAGGAATCTCCAAAAAGTAAATCAATGTGCAAAAAGCATACATGACCACTAACTGTATGTAGCAGAACATCTCAGCTGACCTTCGGACACATTGTAACTAGTTTGGTGGTTACCGTCTCCTCCGATTTCCACGACGCCTCGCTACCCGTGCTCAAAACCGGTGATACAGGACTCAATTCCTGCGAAACCGCGTCACACTCAATGGCGTTGACAGACAATGCATTGCCTCTCTCCGAAGTTTCGTTTGCCTCCGTCAGATCCCCTTCGTCCCACCGACTTTGGCTAGAAGACGTATACAGCCAGCTCCATGAACCCCTTCTCTTGCATTGTGCCATCGCCATAACCATCGGCCTTGTCGGGGTTGAACCGATAGTAGGCGGGCCGTCACCTACTTTACCTTTTGGGGACACAACACCTTGCAGGTTCATCATCTTCCTCGGGGATTGCTTGCAGAAGTGCTGCGCCTCAACGTCCGAATCCACCACGTCACTCTTGCCGCTGCTGTCCGATTTCGTCAATCGTAGGCGCCCGAGGCACCAAAAAGTAGAAATCCGGTCGAAGAACGGCTTAAGAGTCATGCAGCATGCCACAACAACGGCACCGTTGACCTCTGAGCAAGTGAGGTAGGCGATGCTGACGTTGTCAAAGGTGAAGTCTGGTCGAGAAGCCTCGGCGACGAGGTCCCAAAGGCGGATGGTGGATACTAGGCAGACTCTGTTGTTTCGATGAGAGGGTGATTGTTTGGTTAGCAGATTCTCTAATTTCTAATCTTTGCTTGGGGGGGGGATAGAGGGAGAAAGTCACGAAACAGATAGACTCACAAACCACCCAACCCCAGCACCAAAAACAGCACAATCTTCCTTCCCCACCCAACCTTCAACTTCACCAACACCGGCAACGGCAGGATGTACAGCAGCAAGTCCGTCCCGATGTGCAGACCCGTGTTGGCGTACCAATATGCCACTCCCCTACACCTGAAGGGAATGGAAACCGATGCGGGATCCCAAAACGCCCACAAAGGATCGCAAGCAGTCACCACCGTGTACAGAGTCCACACCCCGTTTGTGGCGACCACTATCCCGAGGATCAGGTAGACGAGGTATCGTGCGTGTTGGTAGGAGAGGATGCGGATGTAGAGGAGCAAAATGGAGATCTTGGTGAAGAGGAGGGAGAGCATGTAGTAGAGGATTGTATACCAGCCTGCCTGATTAAGGAGATCCGTACAGGGTTGTGTCAGCTTCGTTGTATTAGGTACACTTGGAAGACACTCACTCCGTCGGAAACTTGGGATGGAGGTACCGATCGATACCCAGAATGGCAAGAATGGTGAAAAGAAGATTGGCAAGAACGAAAGGAAATAAAGAGGTGCGTACCTTTCCCATCGGAATAACCAAAGCGGGATCAACATCCAATGCGTGTTTGCCTAATCCGTAGATGGCTTCTGTCATGGTTGAAGGAAGGTCGACCCGTCAGTACAATGTGCACCTTCTCATCACCATCAATCTGCTCCATCCCCCGCCTACTTCTTCTCTCTAAAATCTCCAGGAGAGACAAAAAAAAAAAAAAGGAGAAACAAATAAAATAAACATACGCTCAATCAACCCCCCGCTAGTCAACCCACTCATCACCAACGCCACCAACAGTACCCAGTCCTCGGCTCCCAGAACCTTCCCCTTCAAAAGAAACCCGCGAGTGTAGAAGCGAAGACCGACGAAGAGGGCCGAGAGGGACCATGTGATGACGGCGCAGGCGATGATGCTTGACTGATGGGATTCTTTGGGGTTAGAGATTAGCTGGGGAGGTGAGATTTGTGTCCGGGATGGCATTGTAGAAAGAATTATGTTGATGTTGTTGGAAGGTTGTGGGGTAAAGGTGTCTCTCCTCTGTTGAACAGAGACTATGAGCAGAGATGGTGATGACAACTGAGGAAGGGACATGGGATGGGTGCTTTCTTAAATGCCCGCTTCTTGGGGAACTTTTTTGTGCGTTCACTATTCATGAGGTCCACTACAACTTCATGGAGGAGGTGAAGGTATGATTGTGTCGGTTTCTGAGGACCTGTCATCATTTACCGAATCTTGAAATTATTCCCTACCAAGAGATATTATCGAGCAGTGCACAGTAGGTAGGTAGAGGGAGGTGGTCGTGGTGATGGTGGGTGGGTGAACTTGATACACCTCCACCGGGTCTACTCTGGCCCGACCAACCCAACCAGGCTACTCACGCGCACCGTATTTTCTGTAAGTGTGTCTGGTTTCCCATCCGTGCTTGCAGGAATGTGATCACTCGCATTTACCCTAGATCACCCACCCACCTACCGTTGGGTTTGACGTCTGTGATGTAACCTTATCAACCGGTGATATAGGGTATGAAAACGTCGTTCAGTACCGTTGCTGAAGATGTCACTGCATGAATCTCCCGACCGTGTGGCCTGGGTAGGGGGCCGGATATAGTCTGATGTATATAAACCGATCATTATGCGTCAATCATCGATTGGGCTGTGTATGTCCTGTTTGCGGTCGAAGATGGGTGGCTTGGGCTGGACCGAGAGGCCAGCAATATACTCTCGGGGTGAAATCACACGTGGACAACAGGACGACCTCTTTGTATGACCGTATGAATCTATTCGAGAAAACAATGAAAAGCTATGTATCTCGGCATTTTTATTTTCTTCTTCTTTGCAGTATTGCATCAAAACACCTACTACGACGATACTCATGCGCGGCAGGTAATGACAGGGTAACGAGAATAGTAGTAACACAGTATTGCAGTCATCGAAGACGTCGATGGCAATGCAGACAACAAGTTGGTGGACCAGACTAGACTAGACCACCTCAGAACACAATTCCAATCCAAGCAGGTTCCTCTCGTAACATCATAACACCTTTTGCCGGCTCATACCATGTCCGACATAGCGATTTGGCCATATACATACTGGCCTCCAAGACTTCTGCTTGGTGGCCAGGCTAATCAGTGAACCCGATTTCGTTTCTTTTTTTTCCCTTTTGGGGCAATGACGCTTTCAAAAAAGCAAACCATTCCATATCAAGATAGAATCTCGTCTCTCCTAGAATACGGTGCCGTCACTATCAATAAGGATAGGAGGCTCCTTGGTGTTTGGTCGGCTGACTTCGGCGATTTCACGGCCACCCTGAAGCGATAGTAGTTAGCATTGGGAATTCGAAAATTAGACAAAACAATAGGGGTCGAACTCACCTTCCAGCTGCCAGCCTCCAACATTTGAGCAAGGGTAAGCTCGTTACCCTGCAGCTCCTTCTCCAAGGCCTTGTTAACCTCAACGCAAAGCTTGTCGAGGAAGCCAACAGTGACGCCTCTCCACTCCACAATGACATCGTCACTGGGCTCAAACATGGGTGCCACTTCGTTCTCCTTGGTGCCGGTACGTTCGCAGTACGAGGTGTAATGTGCCAAGCCGCGATCCATATCCTCTTTCTTCAATGTTAGGACACCGAGATCGATGAACAGACCACCGTTGCGATACTCGGGAAGACCAGTAAGAAGCTCCTGGCCAGCAAACTGGATCTTCATAATACTCTGCATGGGCTGCATGAGCGAGTAAGTAAGCCACTGGGTAAGCTTGTGGAAGGGAAGAATGCTCTCCCAGGGCGCAACACCGTTGGACTGGCCAGAGGTGTTGGGGAAAGGAGAAAAATGTCGGGCTAGAGGGCGACTGCGCCGGCTGAGGCATAGAGCTGCAGGGCCAAGCATCGCCCAAAGAAACGCCATTAATGGCAGTCCTCGATGGTGGCCAGACAGGAGCAAGGCCGCTCATGAGGACGTTCCACAAGACGGGAAGAGGAACAATCAAGCCGTTCGTTGCCTGTGTCGAGGGGTGGTCAAGGATGTGGTCCAGCATGTTTCCAGGCCGGCCGTCCGCGCCGAAGAACTCTGTCTTTTCCTCCAAAGCCTGGCCCAACCTAATAAGGAGGTGAGCGCGGCCTTCGATACCAGCCATCTCGTTGCCCGGTCCAGACTGCAATCCCTGGGCGAGCTTCTCGACGGTGAGGCTCGCCAGGCCATCCTTGTCAACCTGGTACTTGTTGTTCTTGTTACCAGAAAACAGACCCTGATGTTTGTGTCAGTCTAATGCGCTTCCGCGAATCTACCAAGACTTGGAATCCAACTTACAGTCTTAAACATCTCCAAACTAGCAACGGCAATGCCCTCAGATCGCCTGTAGATCCGGCCGTTCTCGTTGCTCTTGTAGCTCCACTGGGTGCCCGCACCGGCGTCTAGCAATACACTGACAAGGAAGAGATCGATCATGCGCTTGCACTTTTCCGTGTTGTCGACATCTTCAGGGAATGTGGAGAGAAGGTGAGCGATGCGGTCACGGCCGCCGATGGCGAAGTGCTGGTGACGGCCGTGGCCGGGAATGGACGTGAAAGGAGCGTCATAGTCTCTCTGTATCGCAGATTGTTAGTTATCCATAATGCACTTCCAAGCGCAGTGTACCTGTTCCACACTGAAGCTCATGTCGGTGCGTTGTGCGGGATGACCCGCTGTCATCTCAACCCCCTTCGGGTCGCACTAACACCGCAGGGTACCCCGCACAGCCAACAACAACAACACCTCTTCAGAAGAGCAGGAAGCAAAATCGACTGACCTTGATGATATTGGCAACAAAAGAGACAACGTCCTCAAACTTGTGCATGTCGACATCAAAGTGGTTAAGCTCATTGCGCAGAGCCTTCTCGGTGACGATCTTGCAGCGCTCACGGACGGCGCCCAGGCTCCTGAGGTATCCAACAGGGTCGAGCTGCGGGTCGGGAGGCTTGGGAATGTCGATCCGGGGGACGCCCGGGTTGAGGCCGGGAGAGAAGGGCGGTGTTCCTGGATTGCTGCTCATGGTGGCGGCTGATGTTCGGTTTAGGATGCGAGAAGTAGAAAAACCGGGAGACTTGATGCTGGACGAACCCGAGGTGAGGGAGGATTTTGACTGCGATGCGCTCAGCGTCGGCGCCTCCGTCTTCGGCGCCTTATCCCTCCGCGAAAAGAGACCCATCTCTGCTGATCCGGTGGTGAGTGGTGGTGAAGTGATGCGGTTGGCTCCTAGTGGACACAATCGGTAGTCGGCCAATTCCTATGGCTGTCTCGATGTCGATGTTGCACTCTGGTTGCACTCTGAGGGCGTAGCTCGGAACGGGAGTGCGCAATTGGCGGGGTACAGGGCTGTTGATTGGCTGTTAGACACTATCTATGACTGGTTATCGAGGCCTATGACAGTCGCCATGCGCCCAGAGGTGATAAAGGTGGAGGAGGAGGATCGCGGGAGGTTGCGTAGGATGGGTTGCACCAAATCGACGAGACAGATTGGTTGAGATTGGAGCAATGGGAGGCTCCGAGGACCAAGTTGTAGTAATGGATTCTCCCGTCTGGTCGGCCGTCTGGTATCGCCGTGGGGTATTGTTGCAGTACTGCAGAGTTGCAATGACAGGTGGTCGGGCGATAGTGTAATGATAAAGCAGTAATAGGAAGGTAGAGGCAGGTAAGCAAGAGGAGGAGGTAAGGATGTATTACCTAGTAGGTGAGTGATAGTCTGCTATAATATGACTCCCGTCTCGTCTAGTGTCTACTTTTGATAGTATGCTGGCCGGCCTTGCTGATAAAGATGGTTTGTTGCGAACGAGGGTCGGGTTCGGGTTCGGGTCCGAAGTATGGTTTGTTTTAGTTGACGAATCAGTTGAACGAGTGACTGGTTAGAATGAGAAGAGGAAGAACGAATGAACCTCGACTCGGGGACTTTTTGGTTTTGAATTCAGAAGACGGACACCGGCACCTTTTGTTTCAAAAACTCGCAAAGAGCCCTGGTAGAAAAGGAAAAAAACTAAAAAGACGTGGGACGGGAAGGAGGAATGAAAGAAACTAAATGCAATGAGACGGTCACATGGACCTCCACAGAAACCGACATGGGATGGGATGATGGATGGGGATTGTATGGGGACCGACGGCCTGCAAAAGGGGGGGGGGTGACCTGGGAGAGAGAACCTGGGCGCGAACCTTGACGACGGGAGGTTCGAGGTACCTGCCTGGCCTGCTGCCCAGTGCACCTAGTGGGCGCAGAACCTTGAGTGTGTGTGGGCGCGAGCGAGATGGGCACACTGGCACCGGGGTGGAGGTACCTCCCCGCCCTCTTACAGTACGTTCAAAGGCAGGAGCTTGCCTGAAGGACGGGAGCTTGAACCACCCTCCGACCCTGCAGTCCACAGTCCACGAATCTGGCAGTCTGTCCAGTGTGAAGGCAGTCGCATAACACCTGCAGTCACGCACAGCAGGCGGACCCCTGGACACGGTGCCTGCATTTCTTCCATTGCTGCAGCTGCCTTTTTGCGTGGGAATGCATGCCTGCTGGGTGGGATCGAGTGGACATGCAGTGGGATTGGTGGTCTGTGCTGACCCACCTGGCTACGGGAAAGCAACGGGAGGACGTTCGCTCAGAGTTTTTGAGTTGGGCAGCGAACCTGGAACACCCAGACAGCCTTCGGTTGAGCTTCAGTTTTGCTGAATATTACGACATAGCTCGACACCTTCTGGCTTCCGACGCCCAGTTTCCACCAGCCGAGTGTCAAGATGTAACCGAGTGACGAAAGGGTGTGTGACGGGCCCCTTATCGCCTGCAGAACGAACATCCTTCTATTTGATCGGCCGTTGTCCAGAAGCAGCGACGTCGCCGCAATGAAGCGCAATCATGGTTGCAGTATCGATGGGACCTTTGTCGGACCCGACTGGCCGCCTTGAAAAACTTTTTACTCGAAGCCCCGTCTCTGCCCCGTCTCTGTCCGGGGTGCTGGTGGAAGGTGGATTACATCTGGATTCCAACACAACAACTCGACACCCGCCGAGCGCTATTCTTTTCAGAACTCGTACAATGAACGACTCGAGAGTTCCCGACATGGGCTGATCACCAACCGTTGAGGCCCGTCTGAGGAGGGTCGAAGAGGGCCACAGAGGGTCTGGAGCGACCAAGCAACGACTAAAATAAGCCCCACCAGGCGCTAGAACCACTCGCTCTGCTTGTCGCCAGCGGATCCTGGGCCAAAAAGGCAGTGTTGTCCAGTGTGGTGCTGCGCTGAGAAATTGACGCAGCGGAGGCCGGCGGAGGCCAGCGGAGCGTCGAGCCCCATCCAAGCTCTCTGCTCCCCCCCCAAGCCCCAAGCCCGGAACTGAAAGGGTCCTCTCTCCCCCGCGGTGCACGGAACATCGAGATCCTTTCCCGACACGGTTCCTCTGCCGACACTATGCTATATCTCTAGCTTACGGCCTCTATACTGGCCCCGATGCACAATTCTTGTTGGCAAATACCTGGGCCGAGACAGACATGAGAGCAGCCACAGCACTGCCATGGCCTGTCTGGAACTCAGAGGACTGCCCAAACGGTCGAGAACAATGAGCGAGGTCTCTGTCTCTGTTTCTCTGTTGCGGTCCCCGTCTGGTTCCAGCGATCCGGACAAAATGACACCCCCTGCAAGCCACCTGTCCGGGAAGACTTCCAGTTGGCCGGATAGAGGGCAATAAACTCCAGAGCAACTCCAGCGAAACTCCAGTAAACTCCAAAAACAGGGGTCCTGAGTGGGCGCCACGGCCAGGAACAGGCAAGGCTCTTCAGCGGTATCCCGGCTGCCAGCCAGGAACCGAAGCTCTTATGCAGGTACATGTAACCTCAGCAGGCCTCCTCGCACACCACCGGACCGTTAGGATTCTTCGCGACACCTTGTCACCTTCTGGAAACACAAAATGCTCCGGAGGAAGATCCGAACGTGGGCCGGCCCTTTTCCACTTTGGTGCTGTTCAGCTTTCATCAAAAGAGAAACCCGGCACTCTGGTAATGTCAGAGAACACCGTTCCCCGAAAGCACGCGCTCGCGTGAACTTGGAACGAAAAAAGGATCGCCATCACGTTCTCCGTGTACTTGCATTCGCAGAGCGTACAGTCTATATCGAGGTCTACACTAAACGGCAAACTGTTGTTTTGACAGCAACTATCGGGGCAAACTGGCGGCGGCCGTTGCAGTCTATCCAACAGATGAGCTTTCACACCCGCCCACCCTGTCCGCTTGCACATTCAATCAATCTGGCAAACTACCGTGCCGTGTTCACACATGTAGATAGTGCGCCGGTGGGATATGCACGGCACTGCAGTTGCATTCGATCGGAGTGGATTGCTTTGACCGGAATCACCACCAATGGTGGCCCATCCACCCAATAAATTCACTATTTCACCCTTTCGCTCTAAATGCCCACAAAAACCACGATGTTCACACGTGTGCAGCATGCGAGCGTCGCTGTGCCTCCTCCACCGCATCATATGCACGCACATCAGCACGTGTACACGGCATTACAAACATTGAAAAAAATGCACAACACGACCGCCAGGATATCAAGACCACCTCTTCGACTTCACATCACAACCTCATACCATCCCTCGCTTCGTCTCGCTTACTGCGCCAGCCCAAGCACGGATAACAAACCCACCCCCCCCACCACACACACACAAAAAAACACCGAGGTCGCTGTTTCGCTACATATCCATGCCCATGTCATCCATCATCGAGTCCTCTCGTTTCGGTTTCGGCTGTCTGACATAACTCGGGCCTAGGTATGGACCATAGTGTGCACTGTACAGCACCGGCTACGCTTTCCATATCTTGGGTCCATCAAGAAACTTCGCTTGCCATACCCTGTTTGTCATGGTGTCTCTGTCGAGACCCATCATAACCCATACCAGCCCATCACAGCCCACGACGTCAGCCGCGGCTCCAGCAGAGACCCAGACCAGACTCCTCCCTAATTTGAGCATTTGCAAACACCATACCTTTTTCGACACGCGCACATCAGCCCTCTGCCCGACTGGCTGTGCCCGGACATCATCTTGATCAAGGCAAAAAGAAAGTGTAATCGGCCGATAAGAAGCTTGCTAGGCGACCCAACGAAATCAGAACCGACGTGCTGGTACCCTAACGGACCTCATCCGTGCCATGCCCTGCACGCGAATCGTCTTTCTCGGGTGCGCCTTCCCGTCCTGAAGAATGGAATCATCAAAAGGTTGTCTATCGAATTGGCATCACATATCAGACTGTTCATATTGAATCACCCTCTCTCTTGAGCAGATCAAGACCGCCAGGTACAAAGAGAAATGCGTGCTCGTTTTCGGTTGGCCAAGAAAAGCAATGTGAGTCAAGACAACTCATATGGGATACATGCCCCAATCATATCTCCCATTCACCTCTCCCACCCATATCTCCCGCTCACATTCACGCACTCTCACTTCGCTCACAGACTTCTGATGTCCATCATCCCACCTCCCCTCCGGGACCGCGACCCTGGTGGGTACCGACCGACGAAGACCCCGGGCGAGCCCTACCGATATTACGTTCCGCGCTCTGAAGGCCGAATGGAGCCCGAACGACATTACATGCTTGCTTGATGTCTTGAAAGCCACACATGCTCTCTCTATACACCACTCAACCGTGATTAGTGCTTCATCAAACCGGGTCGTGAACCCTTCCCCCCGTGTCCATCTCCTAAGCGCATCAGGGCTCCTGGGGATCTACGGAGGAAGCCCCGACTACATCTTGAGAACCACTCGGGACCTCTCCGTCGTGTTGCGCTCTGCTTGCTGCTCTTAACATTCACCCCGCTTGCTGCTCCTAACCTTCACCCCGTGCTCTGTGTTAAACGCTTGCTTTGCGCAACAACCTGCTGCTTAGTACTTTAAGGCGAACTGGAAGAGCAAATACCAAGAGTTCGTCCTCTTTCCCCTCTTTGCCGATGGTATGACTCCACGAGTAGTCCGTCCCATCAAACTGGTAACGGTGGACTTAAATCGGTGGCAGGTGGATATAGTGGTGACTGATCGGCACTTCAAACTTCCCTCTTCAGTAAACCGGGGATATGGAATACCTTTGGTTTCCTGGTCTTTCTCTGAGAAACCCTTGCCCTGAAGATCGGTATTTCAACACGTGTTTTGCGAGAATATCCATTCCGCTTTTTTCTTGTGCCAACTGCTTCCCTGTTGACAATCACCATCATACCACAGTACACCATACCCCTTGGCATTTCCTTATATCGTTTCGAAGCCTCACTTTTCCTGTTTTTCTGCCCCAGCGAGCATTGCGTGACCCTGTCTGTACGTAATACTAAACGGCTTTCTCCGTGACATCATCTTTTGTCCTTGCTACACTAGTAGCGTAGCGCTATTGCTCATGTTGCTCACCAAATGGTAGCGTACCCTGAGGAGAACGAATCCGCCTCCCTACGTACCTTTCTTGATGCAGCAGCGTTGATGGCAAAAGACGATCTTCACCAACGGTATTAACGGCGTACAACCGCAAGGCCCCTAACGCCTTCCCTCCAAAGCACCAAAGTCTAGACCTTCCGGGACATACAATAGGGGTCCCCCGAGTTATGGCGATGGGTAAAAGAAGCTATAAAAAGCTCGGATAGGGTAATTACCCCTTCTCCTGCAGTGTACCAACGACAACCGACGAAGCCGTTGAACCTTAAAAAGTAGCTTTGGTCCCCTTTTCGTCTCTCGTTCGCTCGTTCATGATCAAAAGAAGGGTACGAGGAGGGGTAAAGCATCCGTGCTTTCCGAAGTACGAAAACATTTCCTTTCGGTCGATCGGTCTCTCTCAGTCGGTCGTTCGGCGATTCGGAGTAATCGTAATAATGATTGTTGCTCACACGCCACACGCAGCAAACGATAAGTTGTTTGCTGGGGAGGGACTCCTCGATAGTCTCTGTTTCGTCTTGTCTTGATCATAGCGTGATTATCAATCTGTTTCAAAACCCCCCCAAAAACGCCCGTTTTGGGCGTTGACAGTGTCTCTCCGGAGTTTATTCGTACGAACTCCGGGACGTGCGGGGGAATGGGAAGGGGGATGGGCAATTCATCACGAAAATATCATCAAGGTCAGCCAAGCGTGGAAAAGAAAGAAAGAAAGAAAGAAAGAAAATCAAAAGCACAAACGCGTGTGTTCATGATACAAAAACAAAACGTGGCAAGAGCGGTCGAAATAACGAAACGAGCTATGGAGCGGGCGCTGGAGCGGGCTCACGGGTGACGGGACAAGACACGGCCCGGGCGGGGCCGCCGGGGCGGGAGCGGACGGACGGAACGACCGGAACGGGAACGGGAGGGGGATATGAAAATGAAAAAGAAAAATACGGGGGAGCCGGGGAAGTGAGCGGGAAACGGGAAACGGGAAACGGGGAAACGGGAAGGGGGAAATGGCGAAGGGGAAAAAATGGCGAAGGGAACCTGACTGAAGTGAACGGAAGCGGGTGGCAAAAAGGGGATCAACTCATTATCACACACAGACCACCTAATAACCTACCCTTTATGTTGGGATCATGCTGGTTTGGTGTTTTTCTTGGAAAAATATGGGACAAAACAAACACACAAATGAGAAAATGCGATTTTAATGTAGTCTGGGATGAGGGGATGGAAATAAATCAAGATCGATGAAGAGGAAGAGATTTGCGAGCATCAAGCCTGCATGCAGTTTTGTGGATGGGCTAAGTATTCTATTTGTCTGTTGCCATATCGATCTATCATGCCCGGTAGATACGATGTTACTCATATTCCAACCGAATCAACTGCTTTGTTTATATTGTACCCGCGCATTATCCGGCCTAGACACAATATGAATTAAGTTTCTAGTGATTACCAGTTTCTTCGTGCGTAGCAGTAGTAGTGTGACCAGATCCACCCAGAAACGACTTAGTTGAGGTAAACCAGGCAAGCTGGCTGCATCGGAACAGATTACATCGCTCGAGCAACCAAACACATACGAAGGCGTCGAGAATGAGTAAGGATACGGCTGGAATTTGAGGATGAAGGTAAGGATGAGGATATTGTGCTGTGCCCACCAAGCACAACCAAAAGACAAGAACACAACGCGGATGAAACCAACTCCATCTCCTCCCATCCGTCCGCCTTTCTTAACCGTCGTCACCAACCCATGTACGTGACATAATGCTGCCTACGAGAGACACCACCAGGTAAACAAAGAGGTAAAACAACGCGAACATTTCTTTTTATGCGACCAGAACTGAACCAAACCAACCAACCGAGCCAGACCGACCAAACCGTTACAATGAGAAAGAATACACCACTTTGACACCACTCCGTTTAAACCTTGCTCTAAAATATCATCACTACACGCCGCCAACTAAAACATACGAAGGGACCTGGCAACGACCCTGACAGAAAGCATACATCTCTGTGATCACAACCGATATGTAATCACAACGTAAACGAGCTATTGCCCACTCCTCTTGAGAAAAACAGAGGTCCAAACAAATAAGACGCCAAGGAGGAACGAGAACGGACACACAAAGAATCAGCCATGCCAGATATCGGGATCCTACACCTCCAACAGGTGATCGTGATCCGTCTCCATCTCATGGCGGAGGTGGTGATGGTCAGCCACCAGCTCAGCTGAAGCCGTCGCCGCCCTTCTCCTCTCGTCCTCTTCGTCGTCATCGTGGACCAAGTCGATGAACATGTGATTGTCCGCCACACCTTCGTCAGCAGGCGGGCCAATGCCCATAGGGTCGTTCTCCGTCACCAGAGCGGACGCCGAGGGCCTCTTGGTTGTAGAACTGCCGCTCCCCCAAATGGAGTCACGGAACTTGGCTCTGTTGGCATCTGCGTGGTCCTCGTTGTCGTGGTGATCGCGGAGTATCCGGTCCTCGATGCTGAGTGCCCCGCCGGACGCGCTGTTGTCTCCGTTAAAGTAACTCGAGTGCTGGAGAGGCGAGTGATGGGATAGCGATCCCGCGCGCCCATTCAGCGTGTTGGAGGGCGACACAGAGTCGGGTCCTCGTGAGGGGTGGGCGTGAGAGCTGTTAGTCATCGACAAACCCGGCGTCTGGGGTTGAGCTGATGACTGTCGCGAGAAGTAAGTGTGACCGGGGCCGAATGGGTGCATACCGGGACCTGGACCCAGGCCAATGGTATGAGCCTCGGCGTTTTGAGCTTTACGCTTTAAGCTGTTAGCTCTCCCCCTAACATCTTCAGGCAGGTCGTCCGGGTCTTGTACACCATGTTGTTGTAGCAACTTCTGAAGCTTCGTTGGACGGGGCTTGCGGGTACTCTTGGACTGCTCCAGGATCGGAGGCGCCTCGGGTGCGACGGGATTCCATTTATGCAGTTCCTGTCTCAGATAGTTGGTCTCGTATGCGAGCAATATTTCAGCACCTTCGATTTTCCGGAGATAGAAACGTTGGTTCTCCGCATCGGCAGCGTTCGAAAAACCGGAGCACAGAGGAGAAATGTGTTTGCGGAAACGTTCGGCCATGTCGATGATGTCTTTCAAGACACCCTCCTCTTCAGGCCGGAACGGAAGGTTCGGTATCTCTTCGTACCAAGCGATCAAGTCTTCCAGCTTAGGTCGCGATGCGTCCCGAGGGATCTTGACTCGCCAGTCGCAGATCGGGCAGGTGTACTTGTCGTCCTCCTTCACTTTACCCCGGGCAATCTTCAGACACTTGCCATGATACCACTCACGGCAATGCTCGCACTCGATCATCATACCCGCTTCCACACGGCGGCAGATGCAAAACACTTGTCTCGAGCCACTTTCGTCTTCGTTGTCCGAATCGTCATGCTCCCCATCCACGCTGGGCTCCCTGGATGCTGGCTCAGCGGGTGATCTTGGCGTGTCCTCGACAGTGTTGAAACACCACTTATTTCGGTCAAGGACGTAGTCCATGTGGCTCTTGAGAATGTGCAATGGGGCGTTACTTTTTCCAAAAAGCTTCTTTCCCTTACGCATCCAGTCTTCGTGGCGCTTTTGTTCCTTCTCAAGGTCGAGCGTGCCGGCAGGTTTAGCCTGCAGTTCTTCGACCTTCTTCATCACCTCGGCAACCTCATTATACTTGGGTCTTTGAGTATAATCGGGATCTGCGGAGCGCTTGTTCAGCTCGATGATCTGGCGTTGGGCTTCTCGTTGTTTGTATAGTATCGCGTCAACCACATCCAACGTCCCCTTAGAGATTGGCAGGTTGGCGTGTTGTGCTTGTACCGACAAGGAGTCAAGTTGCGAATAGTTCACAACATCGGCGTTGATCAACTCCCTAGCCTTCTTTTCCCATTCGCGACCCTTTTCAAGCTTTTCCTCCAGGTATTTGATGTTGTCCTCGTATATTTGTATACCGAGGCGCTTTCCCTCATCTACCAACTCTTGCGCCTCATCGAGGGTCATGAACTTGGATCGACTCTCCCGGGCCTTTTCGTCCCATCTGAGTCTCTCCAGCGCGCTGTAGAGCTTTTCTACCTCGGGGATGTCGACGTTGAAATTTTGGCCTTCCTCAAGGAGCTCTTCGACGGTGCCGATCGGCTGAAGGTCTCGTGGGAGATCCAGCATCTTCTTTGCACTCTCCTGGAACGCCTTGATCGCCTCGGCTCGCTCCCGTAATTGTTGAATCTCAGGGCATTCGAACCCGATCATCTCCGCGTCGTCAAGGAGGCGATGGATGTTGGCAACGTTGCGCATTTCCCGCTCCTTTTGATCGTGTTCAGCGTTTCCGACGGACTTTCGGACGCCGACTGGCCAGGCCTTTTCGCTTTTTCGGCGATTCTGCTGTTTGCGGATAGTGTAATTAGTCGCCTCTTCTACCCAGTGGTTACAGCGATCGACGAAAAGTTTGAGGGTGGAAAGCGATGGCAACTCGTAGGGAATCTTCTCGCCTTCGCTTAGCAGATTGCGTAGCGCCTTGAGCGACGGTTTTGCTTCGTCGTCTAAAAGTCTTTGATATTTTTCCTCCCATGTCTCCGGCACATTTGCCTTGTCCGTAACCCTTTTAAGGGTAGATGCCATGACCTCGTCGGATTTCCGATAGTACAGGGCGTGTTCTTTGCCTAAAAAGCGGTCGGATTCCTGAGCATCGCAACATTTATGACTTCCAGCGTGTAGTAAGCATAGTACCATGCCGGTCTTCAGGCAAACAAACCGGGAGAGGTAGGTGTATGCCTTGCAGTAGAAACAAGCATACTCCTCTTCAGGCACGTCCACGTCATTAATGGCAAACTGGATCGGGCACTGCTCGCTCGTTTCTCCGTTGAAAACGCAGGGATGGTGCGGAGACGGATGTTTTGCGTCGAGATGCGTGGCGATAAAGTCATGCTTACCGATGAACTCTTTACGCTGCGCCATCTCCCGCTGATGGATCCGGTCAAGAGCAGGGGCGAGCCATTTCGCTGTTTGGATCGTCAACCCGGTACCCGTAATTCCATCTGCTGCGGCCGATAATAGCTCGTCATGAGAAAAGCATGGTTGCCGTCGGAATGTCTGAAGTCGCTCCACTCCAGCAAGACCGAATGGCTCCCAGTCATTAGGGGCGAAATTGACGGCTTCATTGAAGTTGAAGCCATGGTTAAAACCCGCATGGTATGCTTGGGGGAAGGTGATAACGAATTGACCGGCCCGTTGATCCAGGGCGTATACACGCACGCCTGCCTTCTTGAGCTGTTCGGGTGTGAGCAAAGTGACTAACTGGAACAGAAGATCCGGTTGCGTCTCAAATAGCTCCGGAACCGCTTCGCGCATCGCGGCCTCAAACTTCTCGGCATCCTCGCCGGGAATGCCATACCAGGTCTTTGTCGCTCCAAAATGCTGGTAGTTGGCAGAGTACGCATAGTGATCTTCGTTATGCCAACAAAATGTGGAGAATATCATGCCCACGTATACCCAAGGTACCGTCATGCCAGAGATGTCGGTTTTGATATACCTGAAGAGACTTTCTGGATGAAGGGGCAGGAGGTTCAGGTTCCAAGGATCGGTTGAGTAGGGATTGTTGGGGTTCTTCTCCACCGTCGGGAACCCAGAGCCATGTGTCGTGCAGTGAATATCTGCGCCATACTCGACCTCGACGGTCTCCTCCAGGTCTGCGACTAAGCGCCAGAACTCACGCTCAACGTCATCCTCGGTAACCGGACGGTGGCAGTTGAGAACCGGATCGAATGGCATCTTGTTTTCGAAATAGCCTTGCTTGAAGTCGGCAGCCTTCTCCTGGAACTGCTTGAGCGAATAGAGACCGCCCTCTTCGAAGCCAAACTGGCCGTCTCCGACGAGACATCTTGGGCAATTCCATTCATTCTCTGGTTTGCTCTTAAGAGGGGGGTCCAAGCACGAGCCATGGTAGTGGCTATCGCAGGATTCGCAAACCAGCATGAATGAGCTCTCCTCGCTACCCTTTCCGCATTGTTCGCAATTCTACCACCGTGTCAGTAGGGAATATCCATTCAGACGTTGAGATAAGACCTACCTCTCCCGAACTAGAGTCCTCTCTTGGAATTCTGGGTGCCGAAGGGCGAAAGAGGGACATGTGTGAGCCAGCAACTGTTGGTACCGAATCTGTCATAGAGGTCACGTTAGCATACGAGAGCCATGAAGTGTCCTGGACTCGGAGCACAGATTTTAAATGAAATGAGACGACATATTTGCCTCGAAGACAATGAGACTGTGTACAGCACCACATTCCCTTGGCTCGCGAACATTGACACGCCTGAAGGTGAGGGGAAAATAGTATGACGTACCCTTCTTCAGCCTCTTGCTACGACGACTCCCTGCTTCTCCATCGTCCTTGTCCACTGAGCTTTCCTTCTTGGCGGAATCCGACGTACTGTCGAAGCTTAGTTGCCGCTTCAGTGAAGACGAGCCAGCTGCTGATGTTCGAATTTCAGGAGTATTTTTGGCGGAAGACAGCGGAGTGATGGTTTCTGATGCCGGGGCCAGCGGACGATTTATACTTGTAAACCCTGAATTGATTGCCGTGAAGCCTCCAGTGTTGATGGCTGTGAAGCCACTTTTGACCGGTGGCGCTGGTATCGAGGGGGCGTCTATCATGGTGACATCCCGGTCAGGATCCCTGACATGCCCGTTGACTGCTGTCTCCATGGGGTGCCGAGATGGAGATTCACCACGGAGGTCTGATGGGGTCTGGGCGTTGGATCGCTTCATAGGGCTTGGGGCTGGGCTGGGTGTTAGAGGCCCGCCATATTCCAGCTCGAGTTGCTGATGAACGCCAGGCTTTGCGACTCGCAAGTAGTCTTCGTACGGACAAAGCCATTTTTGATACGAATTTTTCAGCGACGTCGATAGAGACGACATTATCTTGCCGCTATAGCCCAGGTCACGCCCGATTTCCGCCCATTTTTTGAGTTTGCACACCTTGTCGAACCCTCCCCTGGCTTCAACGGCTTTCTTCAACCGAAATAAATCAAGCGGCTTTTTGTCGACATACGGAAGTCGCGTGAGGTTGTTCCCGTGTTGTCTGTGAAATTTCTGAAGGGCGTCGATATAGTTGATATTGGCGCGCGAGCTGCCTTCGATCGAGTTTAGTTCCTGCTTGCGAGTGCGAAAGTGGAAACTCTGTGGTACACGGGTCAGCAAGGCCATCCGTAAAAGTACTTGTTCAACAAGATTGCGTGGTTGCAAATGGCATCACGGCTGTTGACGGGCGAGCGAGCGTACCTCGGTGTCAATTGCAAAGTCGGGGTTCCACGACTCGGGCGGAATGATCTTGCAGATACCATATTTGCTGGCTTCTGGCGTGATTTTGCGGATGTACTCAAAGGGCTCCTTCCATTCTTCCTCTGTTGGGCAATAAGTTGGTGCCTCTTCGAGACCGTGTGGTCGGCTCTTCTTCTTTGAGGGTTCCTTGCACGCGGTAGGCTGGCCGCGTCGCTCCACCGAATTCAGATCGAGAGGTTCGCTCTTCATGAAGCTCAGCGGAATCTGGGGTTTCGGAGGATGGTAGCCGTTGGAGTTGACTGGCGCCGCCTTGGACTTTCCGTTGCTGGAATGGGTGGTAACAGCAGGGGAGGCTCGCGCGCTTGCATTGTTGCTCGACGTTCCGGCAGCCGCCACAGCGACAGACCCGCCTCCAGAGGGGGTGGACACCATGGCGGGTGGAGGCTTGTCTTGGAGGGCGAATTGATAATCACACAAGGCGAAGATCGGTGGTGGGTGGACCGAGACGCAGCAGTAACGTATTGGCGTTTACGGAATCGGAGAGTCTCTGTCTTATCGAAATATCGGACGCATCGTAGAATACAATGTTTAGAAGCTGGTTCGGGCGAAGAACGGTCGACAAGGCGGGACCGCGAAATGATTTAGCGCTGCAGGGAGTTGTGAGTGAATTGAGGTTACGATATTCGGTTCTGCGCTGCTGCTATTAGTTGCTGGCAGGGTCCGCGCGGACAAAGGGCCGTGGGAGAGTCCCGGCTGAGCACAGATTTCCTAGGGAGCGAGCCTTGGAAACCTGAAATTCAGGAGCCGGAGGTCGACCGAGAGTGAAGTGTATGTCGTTCCTGTGTGTGTGTCGCAGAAGGAAATGCAGATCGAACCTCTTCTGTGTTCCTCCACAACCTCAGTCTACCGTGTTAGGGTTGGCTGTTTGTACAAGCACTCCGTATGTATATACCGTGAGTGGCAGCAGAACCAGCCAGGTTCGTTGTTGAAAAAGGCGATTTGGCCCGGAATCTGTTCGGTGACAACCAAGAGGTTTGCCGTCTGAACTATTCAAGATTGCGGTATGGGGTGGACAACTGGATGCGTTCGTAGTGAGGCTGGTTGGTGATTTGTGGGAATGAGTGGATTGACCCGGAAAGATGGAAGGGTTGGCCGAACAAAGGTCCAGATTGTTCGGAATTTTGCTGTGGTGTTGTGTTGTTGAAGATGGGGAGTGTAGGTAGACTGGAGAGAAAGAGAGGGAGTTGGAAATGGAGACGGAGGCCGGGGCCAGGCGGAGACCGGAAGGGAGTAAGTGAAGAAGTGGAAGTGAACGTCGGGTGGAAGAGATGGCCGGGACCTGGACGGCACGAGGCGATGTGAATGGTGAATGGATAGAATGTGGTGTGAGGATGAGGTGTGTGGACGCCTAGACAGTGAACTGATTGATAGCAGCTCCCCCCGGTCCCGCAGTCTAAAAGTATACAGTTTTGAGGGTTGTAGGTGGGAATTGGGATATCAGGGAGAGGGCATGTCGAGTGGGCACATTCCACTTGCACAGGCTGAGACGACCAGTTTGACGGGCGGCGGGAGACGGACGGAAGACGTTCAAATCCAGCAAGGACCACAGGCAAGGCGGCGCTGCGGCAGCTGTCGGGACGAAAGGGGAGGCGCAACTCTTGCAGTGCGGTCACGGTAGCAGCGACGCTAGACATGATGCCGCCCGCCATCCAACTTCAGTCGCGGTCTTCCGGCATCTGGTGGGTCTCCACTAGACCCTTCTAGGCCAAGTACCTCTGTATCTTCCATTTTCATCAATGTCATCGATCGGCTCGGGGCTCCGTTGAAGTACAACCACCAGAGTCGCACCTGGTATATTAAACCGTCTGTCTACCTCAGCCACTCTTATATCAGTCGGGGGAAAGTTCTCTGGTGAAAATCTCATTTGCGGCTGAGGTCAATAATGACAGCCTTTCCGCACTTCTCTAGTTCTCCATCAAGACTGCCCTGACCAGAGCGGTGCGTCGTCGTCGACTGGAAACTGCAGTGCGCTAACATATTAGACGTACCTACCTACCTCTAGAATGTCGATGTGTTGTAGGTATTGTCTCTCTTTTTCTCCGCTTCATCCATCTTGGCGATTTCATGGTAATCAGTCATATCCCAAACCCCCGTAGTCTCATCCACCATCCGTCGCAAACAAAAGTGGGCTCCTGCAAATTGTATGTGTTTGATCCCCTCGAGATATTGGCAGGGGTGAAGGTCCGAGCTGCGGTGTAAGCATCAGTGCACGCCATCGCAACTCCCATGTACATGGAAAGATGAGGAAATCAACATCGAGAGGTCAAAAGCAAAAGAGGTCTGATTCGTTTGAAATCAGAATGCTATGGCCTCGGAATAAGAGAAGGCAGTTAATCGAACAGAAAGAGCGGCGGGTGGTCAGCGTGTGTGCATCTGGATACATATGCTCATGCTTTCTATTGCTCGCTTTAGGAAACCAATGAATCACCACACACTGATAGCAAATATGGTCCGATTCCTTTGGTTCCTCGCAGCTCCTATTCGATTTTGATGGCCCCGTGGCCAACAAAGAAAACCAGTTGGTCGTTTGGTACACGATCCAGTCAGCCAGTCAAAATCGCAATCGATCAAAACATCAAATGTAAGGAGCACGAATCTGCATGTCAGGTACCAAATCCTTGAACGTGAAGAATCATCGTTGGACAATGGGAATGCCGCAAGCGGCCATATGCGCATCGATGTGGGTGGAAGTCCGACTCGGGTTTGGTCGGAGACAAATGTGGAAGGGAAACCAAAGAGGGGACAGCGAGAGGGACTCGATGGACCCGGAAAAGCACTGATTGAACCGAAAAGATTCTGATATCGACAGGGGTTCGAACGTCAGCCGTCGCACCGCCTTCCAATCACACAAGACTTGACGTTGGAAAAAGTGCCAAGACCGCAAGACTGGGGCGATTTCGCTGCGCTGGCGGGGCAGATTTGGATGACTCAGCAAGCACGTGAAACCGCAACCGGCACCTCTCTGTCAACCCTCCGAGCCTCCTCCCAACGACACCTGTGGCTCACCGTGGCTGATTCTGTGGCTGGTTTGATGCTTTGGTTCGATGCGTCAGCTTGGGTCGACCACTGCAACTTGACGTTTTACGACGCACATGAAGATGGAGTCTCCAGAGTAGAGCTCCATCAATCCGAGCATAATGTGGTAAGGGTATCACTCAATTCTTTAATATCCGACTTCTTTGGGCGACTAGAGATGCGCAATATCGAGGAACTCGCTGTCTTCGCTGGCCTCACTATCCTCCACGATCATCGGCTGAGGAGTCGTATTCACCTCTGTTTTCCGCTTCGCATTGCTTTCCTTCTCAATGGCCTTGTCTTTGCCCTTCGCCTTCACCTTAGCCGCCGCCCGTGCCCTCTTCTTCTTCTTCAGCAGTTTATCTACCTCCGCCTGTCCCCTGATCCTCAATGTCAATTCCTTCATCATATCCCTCCAAAGGACCTCGCCGTGACACTTTGGACACTCGCCTTTGACTGGCAGTATCTCGTCCCCTTTATCAGTTCCAGCCCTCTTTGCTTCCTGCTTCAGGAGACACCGACTCCAGCAATCAATATGCCCCACAGCTTCACAGCCTATATTCGGGCAGATGGCATATAAACCCCTTCCCGCCTCCATTGCTTCCTTACACACGACACAGCCCCCCTGTCTTTCAAACTCAAATATCTCCTGACCTTTGGTGACGTATTCCTTTATTGGCATGTAATCGAGTGGTAAAGCATATATGCCGTGCTTCTTCCCGTCCTGTGCGTCGTCATTGTCGTCATCGTCTCCATCGGCTTCTTCGCCCACCCCTTGTAATGCCGTTGCCAGACCTCCAAAATCCGTAACCACCTCTGCCCTCAATCCTCCATCGCTGTTTTTCCTCTCCCAGACCCTCCACACCTCCTCTTCAAAGAAATGCACCCTCAAACCCCACCTCCCAAAACTCTTCACCCCAAGTAACATCCTCAACGCCTCCATCACCCCGACCAAGCTCTTCCTCGGCCTTTTGAGGTGTCCCGTCTTCCTCCTGCCCAATCCTTTGACTGCCTCAGACCGCTTGTCGGCAGGGATCAGCAGCGACTTGTGCGGATTGTTCAGCGCCCACTCGAATTTCAGCGCGGCGATCATGCTGGGGAAACCGGAGACAAGACAGACCATGTCCCACGGCCGGAGCGACTTTTTGGAGGTGCGGTAGGCACCCCCCTTGGCGAGCCCGTTGTGTTGGGAGAGCCGTCGGGGTGGGTGCGGCGTGGAACCGATGTAGAGGGAGGCGTGCCGGGGCTGGGAGCGGAGGATGTAGACTGTGTAGAGGGCGGGGATGGGTTTGGGTTGGAGCTGAGTGGTGTTAGTGGACATCTTTGCGGTTTCCTTGGATAGTGGTGGCATGGTTGTCTAGTATCAGGTAAGGATGTTGTGATATTGGGCTTCTTGTCGTCGTTCACGTTAAGGACTCGTCTTTTTCGCTGCTAATCCCGTTGGACGATTTGTTGGTCGATACGTATCAAGGTAGGTGAACAGAGCGACGCGTCAGTCAGGGCAGTCGCCAAGTAATACTGAACACTTTCTGATTACTCCCATTGGAAAGTGCGATTATTGTGCGGAAGTGTAGAAAGCTAAAGTGCGACTAATTCTTATATATGAGACTGAAAGTGGTGACCGTGAAGAAGTGAGGTTGTCGTCTTTGTTTACAGGAAGGATGTTGTTCGTTCATGGCCGCAGTAACCCGGAATGGCTGCCCAATGAATTTACGCGCTTGACCTCACCCAGCCCCATTTAGTGGGTCCAAGCTCCATCGCGCCTGCAACATATGACATGGGATTCGAACATTGACGTGTTTTACGGTCATAGTAAAAAATCTTTGGGTACTGTTTTGGGTATTATAGTCTAAGCTGATAAGCAATTTTTAGTCTTCAGAAACCAAGAAACAACCACATATCTCATCCATCTCCTGATGCCTCTCAAAGCAGACCCTGCTTCTGCAAATCGAGATAGACCTTCTCCGGCATGACATTGCCCTCAGCGTCCTCCATCTGCACGATCGAACCCTCATCCACATTGACCTTTCTCGAATCACTCTGAATCTTGTTCCAGAGCCTCACCGCCTCCTCTATAGATGTGATGTCTCGGAAAAGATGTGTGTTTGTGATACCCAGACGCTTCAGGTTGGTGATGTGATTCGTCTCGTTGAAGTGCTTATCGAAAGCACGCCGGCCGCGGTAGACGAAGTTGCCACAGATCTCGCAGGGGAATTCCTGGCCCAGACCGTGCAACCTGTAGAGCCAGAAAGGAATCGGCTTTCCATCCCAGGCCAACGGTAGCTTGAGAGGGTTGTAGATCTTGTCGTCTCCACCATCATCCTCATCTTCCTCGGCCTCCTTAGCCTGTCTTTTGAACGTGGTGTTGTAGAGGTTCTCCAGCTCTTGTTGCCTCTCACGCTCCGTCATGCCCTGCCTGCGTTCGACGTTTACCCTAGTGTCGTCCCGTTCCGTCTTCATGGCGCTAGCAAGTTTCTTGATGCGGAACTCCCTCTCGGCGACCGCCCGCTCCTTGAGGCGATGCGCTAGAGGGGCAGCTGAGCCGTTTGTCGTACCGTTGACCGAGTCTCCGTGAAGCACCGCCAGCACCTCTGCGGCCTTGATGTGCTTCCTGCCCGTAAGATGGTTCTTGTAGACGTTCTCATTTTTAAACTCCTTCTCGCATGCCTCGCACCAGACCGCATCGGCGCTGCTCAGGATCCTATTTGTCGCAGAGCCCTTGGCAGCCGGCTTCTCCTTTCGCCATCCTTCAATGTCATCCTTTTCCCAGGCTGAGTCGAACTCCTTGTCCCAACCACCAAACACCTTTTCGAGATTTTCGAGTGGTCGCGTGCGTCGAATGAAGGATTCCAGATACTCCATCAACTCGCCGAGATACTTGAAATATTGGTCGGTCAACTTGTCGGCCCGCTTCACTCCACCATAACCGGGCTGGAAGTTGTCGAAGACTTCGAGATATTGCATGTACGGGAGTCGCTTCACATTCGGAAGATTGAGGTAGGATTCGTGACTGGCGTGCAAATCGAAAAAGCGGCCGTATGCCTCTTCGCCCGAGAACATGCTTTCCACAAGGAATGGCTGGTCGTCGCCCTGCTTCCGTGGCCGGTACCAGTTTTCCGAGTTCTCCGCTTGCTCATTTGGGTATCGCGAGTGGTGTTCCTTGATACTGGCTACTTGTTTGTAGAATTCCTCGAAGGGATCGCCACTGCCGATCTGCAAAATCTCCTTGGAGCGCACTCCGGACTTGTCCTCGTATAGGGGAAGAAGCTCACGGGACTGATGTTGAATCTGGTCGAGAAGTTGGGATACCTCATGGTCGCGATTGAGACGTTCATGGATCTAGGAAATGCGTCAGCACAGGGTGCCTAAAAAGGCGCATGAACTGGTGAAAATTCGCGTGGAAGGACATACCTGTTTTGGCTCGTCGCGCATACGGTCCGCAATACCCTGCTCGAGGCGCTCGAGATCCTCGTGGATGTATCTCTGTTCTTCTAACAGCATGTTGGCAGATTTTGAACCCGCAAAAGTCCCCTAATAAATAAAAAGTGAAAGCTGCGTGTAGGAGAGCCGGACTTGTCGCGCCGGATGAAGAATCGGGAGTGGGAAAGCTAGTAAGATGTTTCCTCGATTCGAGGTTGTTGAGACGTGCTTTTTCGGCGCCACCAATTGCTTGTACGAGACCAGAAGAACAGCAAGGAAACATGTCGCGGCAGGCAAAAATCACCCGGCAAAGGACTTGGCACAATCCGCCAACTGCCCTGTCAAACATCCCCGCTGTTCCATCAAATAAGGTTGGCCGACGTTGTGCCGAAGCGGACCTTGGCGACTTTTTTTGGTGGAAAGCTCCACTCCAGTGCCGCCAACACGTCCATCGCATCCATCATCAATCACTTGTCGCGCTTTGGTACAGTGGGCTGTTTTGTCTCAGGTGCAAACAATTTCCAACAAGTCTAACACTTCAACATCATCGTCAACATCCGCACCCACAACGTCGCAGCCTTAATCCCGACGCACCCCAGAACCCCTTCAATCTCATACACATAATCGCCCACCATGGCTGACGGCGGTATTGATCGCAAGGCCGATGAGAAGATTCAGTTCTCCACCTCGAAGGAGGTTACGGTTCATCCGACTTTCGAGTCGATGTCCCTGAAGGGTATGTCTTGTCGCATCGTGTACTTTTGGGGTTATCGCGGCTCTTTTGGTCTGACTGAAACTGACTGGTCTCGAAAACAGAGTCTCTCCTCCGCGGTATCTACGCCTACGGATATGAGTCCCCCTCCGCTGTCCAGTCCCGCGCCATCGTTCAGATCTGCAAGGGTCGCGACACCATCGCCCAAGCCCCAGTCCGGTACCGGTAAACGGCCACCTTCTCGATCTCTATGCTTCAGGTCATCGACACCGCCGTCCGCGAGACCCAGGCCCTCGTCCTTTCCCCGACCCGCGAACTTGCGACCCAGATTCAGAGCGTTGTGATGGCTTTGGGAGACTACATGAACGTCCAGTGCCATGCTTGCATTGGTGGCACCAACGTTGGAGAGGATATTCGCAAGCTCGACTATGGTCAACACATCGTTTCCGGTACTCCTGGTCGTGTTGCCGACATGATTCGCCGCCGCCATCTCCGCACCAGACACATCAAGATGCTGGTTCTCGATGAGGCCGACGAGCTTCTTAACCAGGGTTTCCGCGAGCAGATTTACGATGTGTACCGCTACCTTCCGCCTGCCACTCAAGTCGTTGTCGTCTCCGCCACTCTCCCTTACGATGTGCTCGACATGACCACCAAGTTCATGACCGACCCCGTCCGTATCCTGGTCAAGCGTGACGAGTTGACCCTCGAGGGCCTGAAGCAGTACTTCATCGCTGTGGAGAAGGAGGATTGGAAGTTCGATACCCTTTGCGATCTCTACGACACCCTTACGATTACGCAAGCCGTTATTTTCTGCAACACCCGCCGGAAGGTCGACTGGCTGACCGACAAGATGCGCGAAGCCAACTTCACCGTTAGCAGTATGCACGGCGATATGCCCCAGAAGGAGAGAGATAGCATTATGCAGGATTTCAGACAGGGCAACAGCAGAGTTCTTATCTCGACCGACGTGTGGGCTCGCGGTATCGATGTTCAACAGGTCAGCTTGGTCATCAACTACGATCTCCCCAGCAACCGTGAAAACTACATCCATCGTATCGGTCGTTCCGGCAGATTCGGTCGCAAGGGTGTCGCGATCAACTTCGTTACTAGCGAGGACGTGCGCATCTTGCGTGATATCGAGTGTAAGTTCGAACTATCCGACCGTGGCATCTTCTTTTGCTAACATGCGATGCAGTGTACTACTCGACCCAGATTGATGAGATGCCCATGAACGTTGCCGATCTTATTTCTTAAGACGCTCGAATGGCATGTCTCAGGTACACGCTATTTCGAGATGAAAAGGGGCAAGTCGGGTCCAGGATTACTTGGGCCACAAGAGATGGCTTCAAGAGGACAAGACTGAAGTGGGAGGAAAGGGGCATGTCGGCGTTAAGGTATGGTAGCCTTCCACGATCCTGGCTCGTTGTACACATCTTGCTGACATACACGACAAGGACGCCTTACACAGGTTGGACAACATATCTAGGGGATAGCACGCGCACGAGATATCAACGAGACACGAAACGGGTCCGCTTGAATCACAGCCATGAGGTTATTCATGTCAGTTTTATACCTAGCGTGCAGTTTAGTAAGCGATAAGAAACACGCTCAGCCCTACCGGGCTTTATTTCACATGTTCAAACTGAGTTGCATACAGAGCTGTCTGACGTTGCACACGTGAAACATTGCTGCTGTAACATGTCGTTACGATACAGACTAGCGAAGTGCGGGCTGACTGGCGGATTGATTGATACGGTAATTACGAAACGGAACTAAACCCGTCAATGTTGTCATTGTTCTAAGAAGAGTGGAGACTCGATGATCAAAGTCAACAACATCAACCGGACAACAAGGCGTTCATCTCACTCTCCAACACAGACAATAACTACCCACCTAGTTCTTGGATCGCATTACCTTACGCAGTGTTAAAAGCAATGTCCGAAACCGTGACCGACATGCTGAGCCGCAGAGTTAAGGTATCTTGAACTTCACAACCACCTTGAATCTCACTTACCTACCTGCTCACACACACAAAGCTCTCCAATGGCCTCTCCATCCCCCAAATCCAACTCGGCCTCTACATGATGTCTGGCGCCGAAACCACCCGCTCCGTCCGCTGGGCCCTCGGCGGCGGCTACCGCGGCTTCGACGGCGCCCAATGGTACGGCAACGAGCGTGAAGCCGGCCAGGCCATCCTCTCCTTCCTGTCCTCATCCACTGAGAATACCGCTGGTCTCACCCGCGAAGACATCCACTTCACCAGCAAGCTGAAAGATAACCGCACCAACTACGACGCCGTCCGCGCGTCCATCTGCAAGTCAGTCAAGGAATGCGGCCTAGGCTACATCGACCTGTTCCTGCTGCACAGCCCGCTCGGCGGCCACGAAGCGCGGTTGACCAGCTGGAAAGCCGTCGAGGACGCGGTGCTCGCGGGCGAGGTCAAGATGGCGGGCGTCTCGAACTACGGCGCCAAGCACATCGAGGAGCTGATGGCGACGGAGCCCAAGGTGAGGCCAGTCGTGAACCAGATCGAGTGTCACCCGTTCAACACGCAGACGGAGATCAGGGCCGCGTGCGAGAAGTACGGGATCGTGGTGGAGGCGTACGCGCCGCTGGCGAGGGGGATGCGCATGAGGGATCGCACGCTGGGCGCGGTGGCGAAGAAGTATGGGGTTACGCCCGCGCAGGTGTTGGTGAGGTGGTCTCTGCAGAAGGGGTTCGTGACGCTGCCGAAGAGTGTCAAGAAGGAGAGGTTAGTGGAGAATGCGGATGTTGGTGGGTTTGAGTTGGCGGAGGAGGATGTGAAGAAGCTGGATGGGTTGGATGAAAAGTTGGTTACTGATTGGTGAGCTCTCCCTTCCCTCAGGATTATCGATGTTAATGGTGTGCTGACTCGCTGATGATTGATGGTGTTTAGGGATCCTACTGATGCGGACTAAATACTCTTAGTCCGTGTTTACACCTTGCACAGGTATTTTTGTATCTACCAATCACGGCGCCCGCTGCTCGCAGATAAGTCCTACGAAAACCCAGTATCTATCATGCTCAATTCAAGCTTCGGCTGTATTCGCCATCATTATCCATTCCTACTTGCCTTCTATTTTCATGTCTTTTTCCCTTGCTGTGGTGATATTGCCCCGGCCCTATTCGGGAGCCGCAGGTTGACGGAGTCTCCTGCGAGGTGAATCCCTCCTCCTCTGGATTCTCACTTACTTAGGCAGCAGAGCACTGATCACGGAAAAAGATATCCATACCAGTGAAATAGACGTTCGGCTTACGCCGTCACTAATAACGTATCAGTCCGCCAAGCCCGAACCTACATTGCCGACATATCACCGTCAAGGAATCAGGAGTTCAGTCTGGCGGTTGATACGAGCCGAAAAGGAGGCATTCGTGCATTTCCAACCCACATCTGGCGTCGTTCACAAAAAATGGATGTTGGGCGCGTGTGTAGCCATCCGGGGCTACTGGACTACCGCATGTACTCACTCATAACAGATATGCCTCCCGCAGCCACCAAGCTTCTTATAGTAAAGACTGGCCCCCATCTGTAAGCCCGCTGTAACCTCTGGGCGCTGAAAAGTGGGCGGCATGGGTCATCTGCAATCGGCTGGCGTGGCTGGCAGGGGGTGACAGCTGGATGGCGCTCGCTTAAAGACCCATATCAAGTATGGCGGCCCGCTAAAAGAAAATAGGCATATCTGTTATGAGTGAGTACATGCGGTAGGCTGGCTTACAGGTATGTTTCTGATTGTATGTAAAGTGGAAAACCTTCCACATGAGCGGTGAAGATCATCCAAGATCCAGGTGGTTTCGAGCAAAAGAGGAAGGTGGTTCAATGTTCTGGGCGGACAGTGACCTGTTTCACCAGCTTACAATACCGTGTGCCACCTAAAATGCACGGAGTGTGGTTGGTGTTACCTAAACTCGACCCCCAAAAATAAAGGCCTGAATAAGGTGCTGATCAAGAAAACCAGGTTCAGAAAAATGATCAGTCAAACCACCCGAAGACATCCTATCAACTTTCATTGTCATCGAGAGAACCGGTGTGGCAGCACTCATCATCTGCTTCCAACTCGGCTTCAGTGATGTGAGAAAGAGAGCATAGACGACGCATGAAGACGCTGAAGAGATTGTTTAGCTGGGTACCTTATGATTTTTCTCTGCAAAATGGTTGGATCTGGTACGATACGTCCTCATCCCTCTGGCCGGCCGAGGTAGTCTCAACGTTCATGATGCAGTGAAACGTTGTAGGAACTCAAGTTGTCGGATTAAGTCATCCGAAGCTACGGTGAAATTTTCTGCTGTGATGCAGTAGCGTCAGGCTCTTTCAAATGTTGCCGCCAACATGACTGGGGCCCCGCAGATAAGATCGTCACCACCAGAACTTTTCGATGCCCTACTAGATCTTCCGAGAATTGTGGGAGGGTCAAGGCGTCTGCCACGCGTTATTGGTGATCAACGCCATGTGGTGGCATTTTTTTCTCAGCTCATCACCTCGAACGATCTGGAGATATGGTTCCGTTTGTCTCTCCGTCTTCCCCGGATCCGCGCCAGTTCTGGATCTGTGTTCGACTCTGGCCTGTGGTCAAGACTGGAGCATGGCGTTATCTCGGGCAACTCATGGCGGTCCATAATCACAAGTTCCAAACTCCAAAGAGATTTCCACTTCCCCGCAAGCTCGAACTCCATCACAACCCCAGAGTCCCCATAACGGTCTGGACGTCAGCGGCTTTCAGTGGCTGGGTTGATGTGGAAAGCCTCTGCGAGGCCGCTGCGGGAAGTGGTCCCCTGAAGAAATCATGGAATACCATTGGGCCGGTTGGCCTGGGGAACCGCTAGGGAAAACCATAAGCACATGTTACCCCTGTCTTCAGAATCTTGTCCCCAGACACCCCAGAGTGCCCAGGCCCGAGCCAGGTTCTCCTCACTTGTTGATCAACCGCCAAGTCTCGCCCTTTTCTTGGTGCCGGAGCTTGTCGAGCTTGAAAGATATCAAGCAACTGTCAAAGCAAGCAAAGCTTCCCTTGGCAAGCCACTCCCGTCGGCCAAGAGCGGCAACATTGCCTCCCCCATTTCACCAGGATATGTATTCCCCGAATTGGCATCGCGTGTGACCCAAAGGCAAACTGACGGATGCCAAGATAGAGGAGGCTGCCAGATGAAGTAAAGATGTAAAGATGGAGGGAGGATTACTAGGGAAAAGACTTACCCGAACAACCACCGGACACGACTGTCCGGCAAGCAAGAGTTGTATCAGTGTCTTGATATCATTCCCACCCTGCCATCCATCTGGGACATCAACACCCCGACCGGCTGTTCTTCGGCTTGCTCTGCTTGTTGAAGTGGCTGGCAATGGGATCATGACCGGCCATGAGGAACATGATGGCATGCGGGGGATTGCCTGCACATCCCTACCGGAATCTCTCGAAGGTTACCTGGTAGGTCTGGCACATGGCTGGTACTACCACCCAACGCATGTCGGTATCCATCTTGCTTTGGGTGCAGGATGCCCGGTTGTATGAAAGATAAATGCATGCACACTCGCCCCGAGAGGTAACGGAAGTCCGTTGCATTTTTATTTTATTTTTGCACATCCTGGGTGCATATATTATTTTGAGACCGACCGGGAGCAAGTGATCCAGGTTCAAATTGGTGTCTCTCCCATCTCCATCCGGGTCTCGTTTTTTCATATTTTTCACACCTTTCTCTTCGCATTCTCCCCTAGACCGGTTAACAACTTTCGAGTAATTGTTCCGGCTTTAAACAACCGCACTTCGTTGTGGGAGTATACATCCCAGGTATCAGCACCGCGGTAATAAAAACATTTCTTCATCCAGTCGTCAACAAGAGCCTCAACCATGGAATCAACCCACGAGCCCGCCGACCCCGTCGCCAAGGGCATTCTCCCCACTGCCCGGCAGTCATGGAAGGACCTCTTCATCTGGAAGCAGCGCGTCGTCGTGACCAACGTCTACGGCGAGACCGCAACAGAATGGGCAAAGCCCGTACCCCTCAAGAACCCCATCAGCCTGATGGCTCAGCTCTCTGGACGTGACTGGCTCAACTTTATCGTCGGTTTTGCCGCCTGGAGTGCCGACGCCTTTGACTTCCACGCCTTGTCCATCCAGCAGGTCAAGCTGGCGGACTACTATGGCGTTAGCAAAACATCAGTATCGACAGCAATCACCTTGACATTATTACTCAGGTCGATTGGTGCCGCTGCCTTTGGCCTGGCTGGCGATCGATGGGGGAGAAAGTGGCCTATGGTACTGAACATGATTGTGTTGGGCATCTTGCAGATTGCTACTATCTACAGCTCGACTTACTCACAGTTCCTTGGTGTGAGAGCTTTGTTTGGATTGTTCATGGGTGGCGTGTAAGTTTCTTTTCTTCCTCAGCATCCTGTTTTCGAAGATTGGTTTTGCTAACAAACTCCTAATCAGGTATGGTAACGCAATCGCTATGGCTCTGGAGAATAGCCCGGTCGACGCCAGAGGTCTGATGTCCGGTATCCTCCAACAAGGTTATAGCTTTGGATACGTGTGTGCTGCGTGTGCCAACCTCGGCGTCGGTGGCGGTACCGATAGTTGGAAGACCGTATTCTGGATTGCTGCTGGCTTGTCCATCGGTGTTGGCATCATCCGCTGCTTCTTCCCCGAGTCCAAGCAGTTCCTTGAAGCGCGCAAGAAGGGCAAGGCACAAGCGAACCCATCCCAGTTTTGGAAGGAGACCAAGGTGATGCTTCGCCAGGAGTGGAAGATGTGTGTCTACTGCTGCATCTTGATGACGTGGTTTAACTGTGAGTTTACCTCTCCCCCTTCTGCTTTGCAGCCACCCATCGAGCCACTCTAACCGTCCTTGCCATCAACAGACTACAGCCATACCAGCCAGGACAGCTACACAACGTTCATGAGAACGCAAAAAGAAATGGACAACACCGGCGCCAGCCGCGCCTCTATCATCATGAAAGCCGGCGCTTGTGGTAAGCTTACCTACCTAATCAAATATTCTCTCACCGAAATGACGGCTTTCTAACTTGTGATGAACAAACAGTTGGCGGTACTATCATCGGCTACCTCAGCCAATACTTCGGGCGAAGACGCACCATCATCGCCTCGGCACTCCTCAGCGGTTGCATCATCCCCGCGTGGATCCTTCCCACTTCCGAGCGCGCGCTGTCCGCCACCGGCTTCTTCATGCAGTTCTTCGTCCAGGGCGCCTGGGGCGTGATCCCCATCCACCTGAACGAGCTTGCGCCGCCTGCCTTCCGCTCCTCGTTCCCCGGTATCACGTACCAGGTTGGCAATATGGTGTCGTCCCCGTCCGCGCAGATCGTCAATGCCGTGTCGGAGAAGATCCACATCATAAGCCATACTGGCAAGCTGGTCGAGGCATATGGCCCGACTATGGGCGTCGCTACTGCAATCATCGTGATGGGCATCGTGGTTACCACGGCGTTTGGGCCTGAGAAGAGAGGTAGAGAGTTTGAGAAGGCACTGCCGGCTGGTATGAACCTCCAGCAGCAGCAGCAACAGAAAAAGCAGGTGGATGATTTGGAGGCGGGTGATATGGAGAAGATGCCGAGTGGGCTTGATGATGATGAGAAGAGGGAGGCAAGAGGCCAGCACTTGGAAAACGTTGCTGTCCCTGCTAAACAATAAGTGTGAGTGTGGTTTCCATGAGGGTGTTGGCAGCTGTGGAGATATTTCCGGGTATAGCGGCCCTGAACGGCATGCGCATTTTGCATGAGGATCTCTGTACTTGATACCAAATGTTAAATGCTAGTAATTTACTGCCTTTTGCGGGCTTACGTACAAGTCCGATACTGGTTTATTTCTTTGTCAGCTTGAGACCTCGGGCCAACTCCCCTACGTGTTCCCATAACTAATTGACTGGTTTCGTTCTTTGAGCGAAGCGTAGTCGTATGTTTGGAGTGTGGGCCAGTTCAAGACAGATCCCGTCCCGTATGCTAGGATTACCGAGGTAACGAACAAACAAGCCTTATATTTTATGCTCAAGCTTTGAGTTTAGTAATGTTGAAGGAAGGGGGTATCTTGATAAGGCACTTAGGTCACCTTCCGCTAAATGAACAGTTGCCCATCATCTTCCATGTGTGTCAGGTCACGCTTTCATGTCTACATTATACGAAGAAAGATTTTCCATTCAATTTTTTCCCATCACTTCAATACTCTATGATACTATGACAACTGAATTTTACATCTCTTCCAGTGTATTAACTTGGATTTCGTTGAGTGGATTTTCATTTGTATCCTATTCCTAACTCGAGATGCTTCTAACGGACTTGTGGCCCGTGCATTTCTGCATAACAGGCAGGTGCTGAACATATGCGAGTTGCCAACCCCACGTGCAGTCAATCTCTCCCCCGCCTTCTTCCATCACCGTGACTTCACAAGTCAACCTTGACAGCAACCACATTGCTCGACACGAAACCCGTAACAAACAGCCAAGCCTTTCGCCTTCCCCCTTCCTTCTCTGGATCAATAGCCACCAAAACCGCCGCGCTCGCGCTCCTAATCCTGCTCCCATCATCCTCAAACAAAAGTCTCTTCTCCCAAATCTCACCCCCATCAGCTTGCTTGACGGGCTTCGCAAACCACACCATGACCGGGTCCTTGGCCTCCGGATTTCTGGACGTCTCCGCCAGCGTATGCGCCTTGCCCAAACCGGCCACGACAAACCCGCTGTGGTCAACGCCGTCCGCCATGCCGGCGTAAGGGTCGGAGAAGTACGAGGGGTTGTCGATGGTGGAGTCGAATTCGATACGGTTGAGCACCGTGATCATGTTGGACTTTGATGTCGACGCCGATGGAAGCTGGCTGATGCTCAAAACCCCCGAGGCGGCGCTGGCGATGGCCACTTCATCGTCGTATCGGCCGTGGCCTAGTCCGTTGGCGTTATGGAACTTGCCGAGTGCCACGTGGGCGGTGACGCCGGCCAAAGCGTCGGTCTCGGCGGGAGTGGAGGGGGCTTCAAGGGAGAACTGCAAGTAGATGACGTCGGTCCATTTGGCGTTGGCGTACATGTCTTCCACGAAGCGCATGGCGCCGTGGTCCCGGTAGAAGTGGTCGTTGGTCACGTAGAGGGACGTGGGGGAGGTGACGATGAGATCGTTGGGGGTGCGGATGAGAGGATGCCAGATGGAGCGGATGTGAGTCGCAGTTGACGTGCCTATCACATGGTGGAAGACCTCGATTTGGGATCGCGCTTTGGGGACGTCTGCCGGTGGAGGGTGGATGGCTATGACGGGCTCGGGATTTGGGAGGTGGTTGACGGCGTAGATGTACACGGCATTCGGTTGCTCGGGGTCAATAAGGACTTCGATGCCATGGGTGATGAATGGTCCCTCGAAGTTGTCCACGACAAGACGTCGTGATTTCTTCGTCTACGAAAATTGTAAGTGACTCGGTTATGCGTATGAGTGTGGGGATAGGGTGTTTTGGACTTACTTCGGGGTCAATCACATGCAGAGAACCATGGTAGGTCTTGAGGATTGACGAATTGTTGAAGTTGGTCAAAGGGGGAAACCATTGGAAGCGAGTCTCGGGATGGTCCTCACAAGCAGTGAAGAGGGTCTTGCTGGGGCCATGGTAGTGCAAGTCTTCACAATGGACAGTGTCCGAGATGTATACAATGTCCTCTTGTTGGACATGAGTGCTCAGAGGGTTGGTGCGAAGGAAGCCAAACACGACGGCATTGTGGTATATAAATGTGCCCCAAGAGTAGATGGCATACGCCAACAAAGCGGCGGTAACAGACGGCCCCAGCAACTTCATGGTGGGAATCAAATTGGCACGAGGTCAAGGAAGGTGAAGATGGGACCGATGGACAAAATTCCGTACCCGAGCTTTATATGATGGTCTGCCTCCCCTGTCATCTTGGCCATATGCTGACTGTTACCATTGTACACTAGGAACATGATGCTTGGCATGGACCAGAAACGAGTTCACTGCCTCGATTCCTTCCTTGGAATCTCACCTCGGTCGCTCTTGTCAACGGGTTCTTTGTGGCCCCGAGCTGTTGACGGATCGCCCTGCGGGGTAGCTGTACGGAAGCGTAGCATGTTGACACCATATACGCAATAGCGCAACGGCTAGTAGGCTGTCATACCCCCCATGTTAGCGGGTTCGCGTACGCGGGGTTCGGCTATGAAATCCTTGTGGTTGAAGATCTGGGGTGTCGGGTGCGCCGTTCGGGTAGCACAACCTCTGCCTTTTAGCTTCTGAAACCCTCCGGATGTCTGGCAAGACACTCGAATTCCTGAGCCCGTCCACTACACACCTAGCAACATTACTAAAACCAAACATGTGTACGTGATTACATGTCGAAGATGTCGCATATCTTCTTTAGTCCACCGACAACAGCAACAAAGTATGGAGAAGCTTTAGCACAGCTGTCGGGAGGTGTACCTCTCTTGAAATGATCAACAACAGAACTGACCAGACATTGAAGTGTGACAAGCTTCTCTTGAGCCTCAAGCAAGAATTCAACAAATAAGAGTTCAGAAGGGGTTACGCGAGGAAGGGGCCAGAAGTTAGTAAATCGAAGTCAGGCGTGCAGGCTGGGGCCGTTCAGGGACCGGGGATCTGACCTGCCCGAATCTGGCGCTCGTTGAGGATTACGGTTCATGGCTCGATTAAGTTGGTCCAGCTTGCCAAAAATAAGCTCTTAAACATGGTTCGACAGGCTGACCCCACTGCACTGTTGAACAGACCGATGTTGTGTTTAAGAAGGGACTTCACGTCATACCTCTGCTTTGAGATCCCTTTCAGCAAGTTTCTAGACTGCACACTACCAGGACCTATCCAGATCTCTTTGAAGTCGAACGCGATCAATATGAGTAGCCGGGGTCTTTCGAACGTTAAATTGGACGTTTTTGCCAAGAGCAATGCTCATCTGACTAGGTACTACAACTGTGTAGTGGTAGTGATCACGAAGATCCATCGCGATGCACTGATTGAGAGTTCACCGCCGTCGCCCTTGGATGTCATGCAGTCTTCACTACTTACAACTGTACCTGCCTCACTTCTACATTCTCAACTTCCATCACTATTCTGTTCCTAGTTGCTATCCGTTTTGCACGAGACGTTCACCGCATGCACGTGGTTCAGCTTCTTCGGCATGGCGTCTCCCACGGCCCAGCTTCTGTTGGTTCGAATTATTTTATGTGCCACATATAGGCCAATAACGATACCCATCGCTTTGCAGTAATGTCTGCGAAGATGAACTGGGTGGTCGCCCAATTTCCGCTCCTAACACGTGGCATACATTTGTTCTCGGGTTGCCTACGATGAGCAGAAGCGGTAGATAAGTTAAAGAAGGCTGTGTTGAGCTCTTCTCTTCATTAATGCTGAAACATGAATAGGTACCCGTCCGTTGATAGCCGTGGATATCCAGTCCTCAAAATGTCGGAAATTACCTTACCTAGCGATCATTTCCTCATCAATCCCGCATTGCGAGGGATGGAGCCATCCGTCATGCCGTCTTTGGAATTATTCGCTGCAGGAGTAATCCCGTGGAAGCCTGCCTGATTAGCCTGCTAGGAAGAGGTACAAATGGTTCGACGCCATTCTGTAGATGGCCCAGTCATGAGTTGGACCACGGACTTAGTATTCCGGAGGTATAGCCGTTCGAGTCTCGCACCGCAGCCTCGAAAGCCATCAATATGATCGTCCAGCAGGAGAAGCTCATGTAGCCTTGAATATTTGCCTTGTACGCGTAGGCAACTCTCTCTCTTCGCACTTCAACGCTTTCTCACAACACAGTCTTCCACCTAATTTCCCCAAATTCTTGGCCTGCTGCTTCTTCCCGTCTTTGTTTGCATTGGGCACGCCTTCTGGCTGTAGGTCGACGATGTTGCTGTTCATACTTTCAACCGGCTGTGGAAAATGAATGAGGCTGAGCCGAGTCTGTCTCCAGAGACAGGACTGTGGCCGGCTGACCTATGGGAGCAACATGTCTTCGTCATCAACAAGTCGTCTTCCGATACTATACCCTCTCGACGGATATGTTACACCATCACCTCCTTTTGTTGACAAGTCCGCGAAACTCTCCCCATGCATCAAGAGTCGGTGTTGATGGAGACACTGCCCCAATGAGCCTTATCAGGATACTCAATGCTCTGTTAGGGAGAGCGAGAAGTGGACCTCGGACTCAGGAACATCTCAATCTCAACGATGGAGGCTAAGAGAGCAGGTTGGATGGAGCGACGTCAAAACCCTCGACCACATATATTAAGGGAAATCCCATCTCTGGTGGAGAATGGGGAGATATTAGCTTCACAAAGTCAACACTCATCTTCAAACCTTGATTACTCAGCTCAACACCATCCCTAGACAACAATTCAACCCCTCAACCTAGCCACTCTTCAACATGGCTGGCACAAGCAAACCACACGACCTGAAGTTCATCAACACTTTCGAAACCGACTTGGAGAGAAATGCCGCTTTTGGAGAGGGAACTGGCACGGACTATATGAGTATCTCGAACTTTGCCAAAGATGTCGATGCCACTGGCAAAGGTAGGTATCGGACGCATCCTTGGAGCCAATAAAACGGACACTAAACGGCCATGCCAGGGTCATCTACCACTACGACGACGACTACCACCGCCACCACCATCAACGGCAACGGAGCAACACCAAACACGACTGAGCCTCAGGCTAACGAAGATCCTGCCACTGACACTCCGCGTGGACACGAAATTTGCCCAAATCCGCTCCCCTAGTCACCTCATCAGCACTTCCATGGCCCTATGTGTGGCTGCCGCGACTCGGACTGGACCCATGGTGGCATGACGGCTCACGGCCAGGACGAAACGAACGCGCCTTAGCCAGAGCCAACCATGACGGACGCAGGGCACTGGCAAACACGGATGGGAGGCGAACGGTGCCAGTGAATGCCGGCTGGGGCTCCTCCGGGTTTTTGTCATCTGTGGCCTCCGTTCGGCGCGTCCACCAGACCTTCTCCTAGAGCAGCAGAAGATCCTCAACACTTTCAGCAATCCACCGGTCCATTGGCCAGAACATAGGATGCCGAAAATACTGACGGAAGAAAGCCTAAACCCCTGTTATATACAGCGAATCGGATCATCCCGGATTGTTTACTTTTGATCCGGTCACATAGGCAACAATCCTTTTCTCCAGACCCGCGGCAAAAGGTCAATTCCCGCGGACTGGCTCGTCATTGGAGAAAGCGAATGGAGGCATGAAACGAGCCTTGCATCTCAACAACAACACCCTGTTTATCATCCAATGAAGAGGTGGTGTGGACTGGGGAAAGGGGGGCCGGTCGGCCGGCCGGCCGTCGCCAGTTGACCCGTCTCCTAGGACGAGACTTTGGGATCTAAATGTTGAGGAGAGGAGGTATAGGTGGTTTTCATGATGTACCTAACGTGAATTTAGAAAGTTAGACACATATGTTTACCATATGTTTACGCTTCTGCAGATAACATGAGTACTTGAGTGGGTGGCTTGGTGCCTCCGTAGGGTAGCTCATTTTATATCCTGGTTAAACCCTAAACAATCCTGGGAGCTTGGGGGCCGCGACGTGTGTGGCCAATGGGTGCTTTTATTGTTATTTTATTTTTATTTATTAGGGTCTGTGGCCCGCATCTGCTGAGCTCGTCCATATATAAATACTGATAATTTCCCACTTTGCGTATCCTTTTACTCTTCCTCCTCATCTGTCTTGCAAACCACGATAGCGCCGACGTCTCGATACAAGGGCCCCCGTCCTTTTCGCCCCCATCCACGCAGCCACATAGCTCTTACGCGTTCGCGTACCCGGTAGGTCTTTATTCCTTATGAGGTAGAAGATGGGCAAAGCTGAGTGTCAACGGACGGATCATTCACAGGAGATTCGATGTCAAAGGCGAGGGGAAGGATGAAAGGTGCATTGATCTCTGGACCTTCTCCTCAGAGAAGGATCTGCCGGCTATTTGTCAAGGTTAAAACAGCGGCCTATGACTGTGGTGTAGATTCTTCATCTTGATGTACCAAGCCACTGCGACGCGACACCTCAATTTTCTCTATTAACCCTCGGAGGTCTCTGACCGCGACACCGGCTCCCACGAAAGAATCCCCAGGATTATCGGGACTGATTTTTTCCGGTGTTGTCGACATTGATACTAACATTTTCTCTAAGCAACCACCTATTATACCGACCAATTCCCTGCAAAACACAACCAAAGCACCTACCTTTGGTACCGTACACATCATTAAGAACAGCCATGAGTTTTGATATGAACTCTCCAGCTATGGGGTGGACCACGCACATTATTCCATGCATCAAATACATTGCAGAGCTCATCTCCTCGGCTCAGAGATCCGAGGCAGCAACAACAAGGAAAGATACCTTAGAGGTGACGGCAAATATGGGAATGGAGTATGTGTTGGTTCTATGTTTTGCCGGTCTGATGTACCTGCTGGTCCTCACGTTTTTGTTCGTCGTCTGCATTTCGACTTTCGTTTTTGAACTGAAGGAGAAAAGAGAAAGACGGGAGTACGCGGACTCGGACGAGCCATCACCTGATGAGGCAGGTAGGTAGGTAGGCAAGCATGAGTCAACTATGGTAGTTGACGACTGCGACATAAAGACCGGGGCGGTTGGTACGTGTACCAGCTTGTGCGTTCGGGGTAGGGGATTCAGAGGGTGTAATATTTTCTAGTGTCTGGGGAGGTAGGATCACATAATATGAGGGTACTGGGATGGTTAGACTGTTTTCGGTTTGGCATTGGGACATACAGTGAGCAAAATTGTTACCCTTATTACTTAGAATATATATTTCACGGGGCATTAGAGGAATATTCTCCCCTTTTTTTTCTTTTAATCACCTTTTCGCTCCGTAATGATCAAGCGCAAATATATCAACATCCACGATCGTGAAGTCTAATTCAATAAAGCACCGTAAAATGCGCCGAGGACGATTGTAGGTGCGAGAGAAAACAAGGGAACGAAGCTGGGGAAAGACTGGTAGCAAGCATCTGTGCCCAAGAACAAGGTCCATTTTGTATTTGATATTGACCCCAAGGGTCACCAACTTCCAAAACCGCACATCAATCCTCAAACGCCTTTCCCGCCTTTATGCAACCGCTTGCGCCTGTCCGATTGAACCATAACAGAAGCCCAACGCCCTCATATCCTTTTTTGTAAATTCACTCGCAGAGTACCAACCAGTACACCTCCTACTCCTCAGGCCCGGGCCTGCCATCGAGCCACTTGGACATGTAAGGCCCATCGAGCCAGTATCCGAGCTTCCTGTAGTAGCTGCGCACACCGACACCAGAGATAACGCTGATCTTCACGCTTCCATGCTCGTCCCTCGCGATCCTCTCGGCCTCCTCCATGAGGAGCGTACCAAAACCCTGATGCTGGAACTTCCTGGGGTCTCTGACGTGCAAAGGCACAGCCATACCGTAAACGTGCAGCTCGCGGACCAGACTGGTGGGCTGGCCAACCAGCTCCTCACGGAACGTGTACTTCTCGGAGCACTTGCGCAGACGGAGCAGACCGACCAAGATATCCTGCTTGGGATCCTCGTAGGCCAGGAACGTCTCCCAGCCACCGTTGGCGGTGTAGTCGCGACGGACAAGCTCAATCTGGTTCGGCCTGATCTTGTTCTTGACCTCGTTCACACCAACCTCACGAGTGCGTACATCGCGGCAGGTGGTTCCAAAGTCCTTCATACGCGCCAGAGCCAGCTCGCGCAGATTACCGTTCTCGACGCCGGATGTTACCAACGGCATGGGAATATCACGCTGGACGCGGTAGATACGGGTCCAAGGAGGAACGAGGGCCATTATCCTTGCCACGAGGTCGATCAAGCCGTTGGGCGTGTAGTTCTGATACCTGCCTGTCCTCCACAATTCGTACAGGCCCGTTCCACGGATGACAAGGGTGGGATAAATCTTCAGGCCATCGGTGCGGAAAGCTGGGTTTTCAAAGTACTCCCGGAACTGGTCGAGATCTCTCTCCATACCAACGTTGGGAAGATCGGGCATCATGTGACTGACCACCTTGAAACCGGCATCCTTGGCGAGGCAGAAGGTCTCAGCGACGGCAGCAACGGTGTGGCCACGGTTGGTATCGCGGGCGACGTCTTCGTAGAGGGACTGGACGCCGATTTCGAGACGGGTGCAGCCGTAGCGCAGCATGCTTGAAAGATGGGGCTGAAGACAGTAATCTGGTCTCGTCTCTATCGTGATACCCACGCACTTGATGTTGCTCTGCTCTCCCGACCTTACCGCCTCGTCCACGTTCAAGGTTCCATAACCGCTCAGGGCGTTGTGTAGTTGAGAAATGAACTCGTCTCTGTATGATTCGGGGAGCGACATAAAAGTGCCGCCCATGATGATGTATTCGACCTTGTCTACCGAGTGACCCAACGACTTTAGCTGATCAACTCGTCCTCTCGCCTGCTCGAAGGGGTCGTAGCGAGCCCGGATGGCTCTCATCGATGTCGGCTCATATCCCGTGTATGACTGTGTGCTGTACTCGAAATCGGAGTCTGGGCCACCGGGGCAGTAGACGCAAATGTTTCCGGTATACGCGATATGGGGGCATCGATGGGGCTTGCACATGACAGCCACTACAGCGATGCCCGATGAGGTTCTGATGGGCTTGGCGATGAGTCTGGGCAAGATGTACTTCTTGTAATGTTCGGGGACGGCGGCGATGATGGCGGTCAGTGGCGGGACATTGTTGATCTTGTGCTTCTTCGCAAACTTGGATCGCAGGCTGTTGAGGTTGATGTCCTTTTGCGGACGGCCGTTCTGGGCGGCTTCATGGTCTTCGATGAGCGCGTTCGCGATGTCGGCGCAACACCTCAGAAACCTGTCGTTTTCGGACGGCAAGTTGGCGTCCTTCTTACTGCGACTTACTGTGACCGTTGTTGTCGCCATGTTTGCGCTGTCTGGCTGGCGACCCTCGTATCTCGTTATCGTCGGTTTCGGTATTGGCGTTTAGACAATTATTTGAATGTTTTGGCGGGGCAAATTTCAGGACGCTTGTCGTTGGAGCTGCCGTACTATTCACGGCTGCCGTGGCTGTAACAAATATGCCAGCCGCATGTGCTCGTCTTTGTTCGAATTGCAGAGTGTAGTACTTTGAGGTCATGCACGTGACTCGGTACCAAATTGCGGCTGAACTAGACCTCCAGCCTCCCGTTGTTGAGCTGTCAAAGTGTGGCTTGTACCTCGGCGCGATCTGACAGTTTGACCCTGAGAATCCACCCGGCACCCACTGATACCTTGGCGAGCTCGGCGAGACAGGAAGGTACATTTGATACCGATCGGTACTTCGTGACGTACGGCTGGAGTCGGCTTGGCCGGGTTCCCACCGGGGCAACTGGGTCAGGTTTCTCACGTTAGGGGAGCGGCGGGGTTGAGTGTGGTCATGCGCGACAGTTTTGACAGAACGTTAGCGCAGTGTACCTGGCTGATAACGATGGACCCCATGAGCTTGAATTGCCGCGGACCCTGCCGTGGGCGGTGGGCGGTGGGTGTTTGTGGGTCCGCGACAGGAGCTGTGGCTCGCGAGCGGATCCTGTCATGGTGGCCCGAAGAGCAGTTGGAGACTTTTGACGAGGAGAGGGTTCCGTTGGCTGGCAGTTGGAGAAGCTCGAGCCGTCGACGACCTGAATTTCTACGTGCGATCCCGTGCAAACTGGAAACGAACAACAAAATCCCCATCAACGACATCATCGGCTCCATTGGTCCTCTCGCCCATATTACTGCCCTCTCCCTCCTCTTTCCTCCGGCGCCCTCTTATCCCTACTTTCGCATTCTTCCCCACACACATTCACAATGCAGGCTATCGCAAGGCAAACACGGCCCGCGGGCAAGCTCGTCCAGCAGCTGTCCAAGAGGACCTACAGCTCCAACTCGTCCCCCTATGCTGCGACCATCAACAACTTGAAAATCAACAGCGACACCAAGGTTATCTTTCAGGGATTCACGGGAAAGCAGGGAACGTAAGTTAGAGCTGCCTCCCCTGCCTAGAGCCCCCCTTCTTCCCCGTTTTCCCCATTGCGCCCTGCTTGTCGTGACTCGCGACGCCGATGACACGACTCGGGCGCATCTGGGGAATGCTCCACCTCCACACATTTGCCCATTATCACAAGCTTTCCAAGACCAGGACACCATGGGATGTGAATGACGATGCGAAATTGACTTGGCTGACGTTGGCTTGTTGTATAGTTTCCACGCTCAGGGTGCCATCGAATATGGTAAATCACCACCACCTTCAATACCACCATCCCATCCTTATCTCACGCTTATCGGCACCGATTCTCGGTCGCAAAATGTCGCAAACATGGAGTTCTGACGCATTGCGCCTCTGTTCTAGGTACCAAGGTTGTTGGCGGCACAAACCCCAAGAAGGCTGGCCAAACACATCTTGATCGCCCCGTCTTCAAGAATGTGAGCGAGGCCGTCAAGGAGACTGGCGCTACTGCCACCGCCATCTTCGTTCCGTAAGAAACCTCTCTGGATCACAAGCGCAGAAGGGCATTTGCTAACAATAAATGTGAAAATAGCCCCCCTCTCGCTGCTGCCGGTATCGAGGAGGCCCTCAACGCCGAGATCCCCCCTCGCCGTCTGCATTACCGAAGGCATCCCTCAGCATGGTTAGTACATTGGGTCGCAAGGACAAAGCGCAAAAGAAAAAAAGCGAGCATAGGAAGAAAAACGGACTAACAGGGAGTCGCAGACATGGTTCGCATCACCTCTATGCTCAGGACCCAGTCCAAGACCCGTCTCGTCGGTCCCAACTGCCCTGGCATCATCGCCCCCGGCCAGTGCAAGATCGGTATCATGCCCGGTTTCATCCACAAGCGCGGCCGCATCGGTATTGTCTCCAGATCCGGCACCCTCACCTACGAGGCCGTCAACCAGACCACCCAGGCCGGCCTCGGCCAGTCCCTCGTCGTCGGCATCGGCGGTGACCCCTTCAGCGGTACCAACTTCATCGACTGCCTCAAGGTCTTCCTCGAGGACGGCGAGACCGACGGTATCATCATGATCGGTGAGATCGGTGGTTCCGCCGAGGAGGAGGCTGCCGATTTCCTCAAGGAGTACAACACCAAGAACGGCGGCAAGCCCGTCGTCTCCTTCATCGCCGGTATCTCCGCTCCCCCCTGGCCGCCGCATGGGCCCGCCGGTGCCATCGTCGCCGGCGGCAAGGGTGATGCCAACTCCAAGATCAAGGCCCTTGAGGCCGCCGGTGTCGTTGTCGAGCGCTCGCCCGCCAACCTGGGCAAGGCCCTCCGTGAGGAGTTCGTCAGACGCGATTTGCTTTAAAGGGAAAGTTTGAAGGAGCATAATTCTTAATCTTTTGAACCTTATCTTTTTTGTCTTATTTTCAGGCGGGACGGATGAATAGTAGCAGCGGCCAGCCAACCACCAGAACCAACCAACCAAAACATTCTGTATAGCAAGGTCAGAAGGAAGCAGGGAGTGTTGAGCGTGTTTCATGTGTGACTGTGTGTTTGGGGATGATGATGAAGCTTGATATAGACATTTTGCCATCCCTCTTGGGCGTGGGAATAGGGCGTATACCGTGGTGCATTTATATCCTCTTTGCTCATCTTGCGAGATTCTGGTTGATAGATAGAGGTGAAATCATGGCTTGGGTGCGGGCGGTCAGGTTTATATAATTTACATTTACTTTAAAATATCTTCCACGGTGCAGCTTTGGCCTTGACAGGCTCAGGTGTGGCGTTTACGTTGGTCAACCGAAAACGCAGTTTATTTACTTGCCTTCACCTAACAGTACCAAGGCATCATTTACATTGTGTTATGGCTACGCTGTGATTTTGCTAGTATCCAAATAAAGGCAGAAGGAAAACCCAAAACAGGGAGGAAACGAAGAATCAGTACTTGAAAGAAGCCAAAAATTCCATTGCTCAGTTGAACCCTTTGCCATCCGTAAAACTCCATATCCGAATGCGGCTGATGCATAGACTAATAACAGAGAAGCCGGGCCAGCCTGTGTACCACCGATCAAACCAGTCAATTACCAGACCCCAGTTGTTGGGTTCTCCATCCTGCGCTTTCACCGTCCGCTATCAAGAGTCTAAATCCTCCTGGTGCCAGAGTGCTGATATGCAATCCCATATTTGCATCCCAAATAGCGCTGTGGTTGTCGCTCTCACAGCCCATCACCCACCCTTTGGAAGATGTGTTGTTACTGCTCGCCGAGGAGCCGTGCGGTGATATCGCCCATATACGCTTCCTCGAGTTCGTAGTCGTTGCCTCCGTTCCTATCAATACCAACGAAGATAAAAGCCTCGACCACCTTGTCAACGTCAAATCCCATGTTGACAAAACGGTCCACCAGGTCCTTGTTGTAGCCAGCATATCTGTGTTTGGTTTGCCCCAAGGTTAGTCATCCCTGACTTCTCATCCCCGAGTTTCCACACTGTTGTCCATATGGCTCTTTGCTTATCTTAGACTGTTCAATGTCCTGGGATGTTAAGAATCGCAACGTACCGGCTGGCATCGTTCCTTGAACCCTCCTTTGAACCTTCGTCATACTTGAGCGGAATCGCTTCCACCCTGGGCGCGCCCGCATACTTGACGGCCCAGTCGTGCGCCGTTCGGGCGAACAGCTTCGGGTTCTCGATCAACATCTTGGCGACCTGGGCGTCCTGGGGATCCTTCGGGTTCGGCGATTCGAGAAGCATTCGAATGGCGAGCAGCGCTGTCTTGATGGTACCGACTGGCGACCATGCTGTGCCGAGAATATCGAGACAGATGGCGCCCTGTGGGAAGAACATGGAGGTTAGTTTAGCCTTGGTGAAACCTCCAGCCCACATCTTGACATAGATCACAAACAAGGGTTACAAGGCAGGGAACGTACAGTGACGCTGCTGATGTTGGGGTGCCAGATCTTCGTCATCAGATACATGGCGGGCGGCTTGAACGGGTACTTATCGGGAATCTGAATGTCGACCTCGTATGTACCCCCGGCGTAGGGCGAGTCCGGAGGGCCGCTGAAGGAGCCTTTGAGGTGCGACAGGTTACTAGAGTTGAGGGGTTCGGCCATGACACCCGATGCCTCTCTGTCATTCCATATGTCCTGTAGTTCCTTCGCAACGCGGCGCTCGCGGGTAGTCGCCATGGTCAGTGATGTGGTGTCGGTGCAGCGGGATAGGTGTATGTAATGTGCTGCAATAGAAGCGAGTAGAGTTTATGGTATGCCAATAAAATCGTAGGAAGAGAGAAATGTTCAGCAGGATAAGTAGAATAATCACTGATAAGATAAACCTTGTGGAGGGGTCAAGGAGGTCCGTGAATAACGTTGCGAGGTGGAAGGGTTTCCAGGTGATGGAGGAGTTGGTAGTAGAACACTCAAGTGAAGGAAGGTTGTCAAGTTTCCATCCACAACTGTTCGAGCTTCACCAAATCGACGGGGGCTCCTCGGTTCTGAATGCGAGGTGAATGCAAGGCTGCAAGAATTTTCGCTGACCAGCTGAGATCCAGATGGTCGTCACTTCCTGTCGAGAGAAAGGAAAGTGCAGAAACGCAACTTCCGTCAGTGAAGAGTTGAGGTGGGGCGCCGCGTCCGTAGAGGTACCCAAAAGTGCCAAGACTCGAAATGCTCACAACAGTTGCCGAGCGTGGTGTGCCTGCTACAGTGTACTAAGGAGATGATACGGATTGTTTGACAGCATCAACCACGCAATGTTTATTTCCTCGGTTTACGGGCAAGGTCGGCTCCAAGGAACACACAGTTGCGACGGGGCAGGATAGAAGCAGGAGGCTCTGCCTCGGACTGCCCGCTGGTCCCTGGACTGGGCCCCTCCCTCGCTCAATGCCGTGGCCATGCGCTGTATGGGAAAACAGCCCGTCAAACAACACAAGCAATGCAACTGCCAGTGTATGGTCATTGAACAAGTTGAATGCAATTGCACGGTGAAATACCAGGAGCGCTCGAACGGCCCGCATCGTGCTGTTGCCCCCGGCAGCTTGATAGCTGCGATGGTCTGTGCGTCAGGTGTGCGACTGGACGACTGACGGATGTCGCGTTCACTGGGGGCCTGAACTGGAGCTCGCCATCACAACCTCAAACGGGCACTCCGCCAACAACGAACTCCAGGACAACCATTTCCATCACTGCCGCCCCGCTCAACGACTTAATATCGTGCGGCGCTCTTACGACTTGATATTATAATTCCAAACACACCGTCAAACCCCCTACCACACTCCCCAGAGTTGCGCAAGGCGAACCGTCAACATGGTCAGTTGGCCGCAACACGGAGCTCAGCTCAAGCTTGCAATGTACCACATACTGACTAGCTGCGCAGGGTCAAAATCAGTCTGGCATGGGCGGAGGCCAGGACCCTTCAAAGTCCAAGAAAGATAAGGTACGGTAGCTTCATCATTTTGATGGTTTCTTCGTTGCGCTGGACGTTGTTATCTTGCGGGACTCGAGCGCTGACATCATGGACATCGCTAACCTCCATCGCCACCAAAACAGAAAGATAAGCCCAAGTACGAGCCGCCCCCGAAGCCCACCACCCGCATCGGCCGCAAGAAGAAGAGACAGGGCGGTGCCAGCGCTGCCGCCAAGCTCCCCTCAGTGTATCCGACGAGTCGATGCAAACTCCGACTGCTACGAATGCAACGAATCCACGATCATCTGCTGCTCGAGGAGGAATATGTCGAGAATCAAGAACGTCTACGCAAGGCAAAGACCGCCAAGGACAGCAACGCTCCTGCGTCCGAGCTCGAGTCTTCCGACCGCATGGCGGACGAGCGCTCCCGTGTCGATGACATGCGCGGCAGCCCCATGGGTGTCGGTGTCCTGGAGGAGTTGATCGACGACGACCACGCCATCGTTTCAAGCACATCTGGTCCTGAGTATTATGTTAGCATCATGAGCTTCGTCGACAAAGACCTGCTGGAGCCCGGCGCCAGCGTTTTGCTACATCACAAGAGTGTTAGCATTGTTGGCGTGCTCACCGATGACACGGATCCGGCCGTTAGTGTCATGAAGCTCGACAAGGCGCCCACGGAGTCGTACGCGGATATTGGTGGTTTGGAGCAACAGATCCAGGAAGTTCGTGAATCAGTCGAGCTTCCTTTGCTTCATCCGGAGCTCTACGAGGAAATGGGTATCAAGCCGCCCAAGGGTGTCATTCTCTACGGTGCTCCCGGTACCGGCAAGACTCTCCTTGCCAAGGCTGTGGCAAACCAAACTTCGGCAACGTTCTTGCGCATTGTTGGTAGTGAGCTTATCCAGAAGTATCTTGGTGACGGTCCCCGACTGGTTCGCCAGCTTTTCCAGGTATGTAAAGGCTTTTTTGAGTTACGCCCTTAAGTATAGACTCTAACATCTTCATTAGGTTGCCGCCGAGAATGCCCCATCCATCGTGTTTATCGACGAAATCGACGCCATCGGTACCAAGCGTTACGACTCAACATCGGGCGGTGAGCGTGAAATCCAGAGAACTATGTTGGAGCTGTTGAACCAGCTCGATGGTTTCGACGACCGTGGAGACGTCAAGGTCATCATGGCCACCAACAAGATCGAGTCGCTCGACCCTGCTCTGATCCGTCCTGGCCGTATCGACCGCAAGATTCTCTTCGAGAATCCCGACCAGAACACCAAGCGCAAGATCTTTACGCTTCACACCAGCAAGATGTCGCTCAACGAGGATGTTGACCTGGAGGAGTTCATTGCCCAGAAGGATGATCTTTCAGGTGCCGACATCAAGGCTATCTGCTCCGAGGCCGGTCTTATGGCCCTTCGTGAGCGCAGAATGAGGGTGCAGATGGCTGACTTCAGAGCTGCTCGTGAAAGAGTCTTGCGCACGAAGCAGGAAGGCGAGCCCGAGGGCTTGTACTTGTAACATAATCGCATATTATCAGGTCTAATTTGCAAGACGTTTCAGATCTGGGCGGATTACGAATGACATAAGGATCTGACAATCCAGCTTTGAGATGGCGGTATTCGGCCATCACTAAGCGTACCTTGGCTTGGGTGAAGATATAGGGATACCGTAGCGTTTTATCATAGCGAAAGATTCAATAAAGGTTGACTCATCTTAGGGTATGTTTTCTACTCCTTGAAGTCTTGATTTGGTCATTCATCATGAAGTCCAGCTTCGTGTCAATTTTGTTATACAGACCATCAAGGCTACGACCGCCTCTCGTCTCACTACCTATGCTTTGCCCCTTACCTCTTTCGCCTGCTGTCCTTCCATACTCAACAGGCGGCGTCTCGTTTATCCGTCTGTGCCTATCCCTTTCTCAATCCTCGTACGCCCATTCATCATCCACTGCCCTGCTCGAACACCCATGATCTCCATTACGTTCTTTCCTCCTTGCCTGCTTATCCACCGTCCTCAAAGTCTCCATCAACCCCATCGCGCCCTCCGGCCAAACCTTCTTACCATCCTTCCCACCTCTCCCTGGTTCCGGCCAAGGCACATCGCCCCTCAAAATCTCCTCTACGCTAATCCCCCTCCTCCCATAGAACTCCGCATTCGCATCCCCCCTCGGCACCACCACCGTGCCATCCATTGACACCCCCGCATACAACCCTCTACTCTTGATATAACTATACACCAGCGGCTTCCCTTCCTTGTTGTCCCTGTCTTTTTCCGACATGGAAGAAGAACCCGACCTCAAAACACCCTCCACGCCCGCCCCGGCCCCCACCGGCCCAGCAACGATGCCTACATCCCCTCCCAAACTCACACGGGAGCGCTCGGCGAAAGCTCGCACCGCCGCTGGTGTGCGTAGAACGCAGATACAGTCGTAGATATCGATACCGGCTAGAAGGCCAGCACCCAGGGAGTGAATTAGGAAACCCGAGGGCGGCGACCATGATGATCCTTTTCCAGACGTTCCACCAGAAGGTAGGCGAGAGATGACTATCCCCGAACCAGAAGAGCCGGAAAGATGTAACCCCGTGCGAAAAACGGTGAAGATGGCTAGGCCGGAGCAAGTGGTTAGGACGCGAGGGGGGATTTGGAGGAGGCTGCTGCTGCTGCTACTGCTACTGCTGCTACTGCAAAAAGACTGAATGATACGTGCAGCCTTGTCGCATTCTTGATCCATTGTCGATGGCCAGAAGGCTTCGGAGCCGAGGGCGTTGGTTAGTTTGTTGATGGGCGTGCCGGCTTTGAGGCTTAGTTGGTGGAGTCGTTCGCTGAGTGTTCGTTTGTCTTTGTTGGGGTTGGTGCTGTTGTTGTTGATGTTGTTTGACTGTGAAGAGGAGCTTAGTCCTGTTCCTGTGGGCATGAGAGCTCCTGACATCAGTCCCGCACCAAGACTAGAACCGGGCTGATGTGAGATCACCGGCCTTGGAGGCTTTGGTGGTGGAGGGGGTGAGTATCGACCACTTCCATGATGTTGTTGTGGTGGTGGTGACGGCTGTGTTGTTGGTTGATGAGGGTTATGGTAAGTGTAAGCCGGCGGAGGAGCAGAATTGTATGCTAGGCCTGGCTGAGGTGCCGCTATAGGTTGTGGCGCTACTGGTGGTGTAGAAGGGTGATGATGGTGATGATGGTGTTCATCTCGACGACGCCGTCTCCGCCGGCGATGGTTCGGATCTCCTGAGCCACCATCTCCATAGATACTAGCTGTCTCCTGGTAATAATCGGGATTGGTACCGCCCAATGCGGGTATGCGGCCTCGATCTGCTCGTGATGACATCTGCGGAACGATGGTTTTCTAGAAACAATAGTAGTGTAAAAGGGAACGTAGGTAGTCAAAGATCGTCAAATCACAATTCTCTGTTTAACGGTGGAAATGGCTATGATACAAAGAGGAACAAAGATGCTTGTGTCAACAACGTACGCGTCAAAGAAGCATACCATATCATCTCGGAACCAGTGATCTACGACCATACAAACTGACAAAATACGACCGAGGTTGCCGTCAATTGCGCCTCATCTTGAGGCAGCACCAATGTTTTTCCTTCGCCAAGCAACCCAGGACACCAAGTCGACAACCACTCGTTCCCCAAACCTTCAAAGTTGTGCAGGTCAGCAATTCATCACCACCAAAGACTTCGCGGCAGCGCGGGGCAGTGCAATGATGTCATCGGCTCATCAAGCCTTACGGTGACCGGTGTCTCCACACTGTCCGGAACTTAGGTCTAGGATTCGAATTCGCACCGATGGCTCGTGCATGATTTCGAAATCTGGACCTTGAAAAGAGGCCAGACAGAAAGAAACTGCTTGGCAAAAGAAAGAAAGACAAGGATGGTGAGATGGGAAGGAGAAGTTTCGGGAGAAGTCAACACCGAAGATCGGGCAAAAAAGAGAATGGTTTGGGACCTGGGAGGCTCGAACTCCCGACCTCAGGATTACTCTGATGTTTTAACCAGATCATATGGGAATATGAGACCTGCGCGCTAGCCAACTGCGCCAAGGTCCCGATGTGAGTTGAGAAACAGCGGCTAAAATTGTGTTTATGTTATCTCCATCGGCACGTTGCCTTCGGAATATAATGCTTAGTGAAGCTTGCAGCTATCATTGTTCACTTTGCAAGCTGAACGTCTGAGAGACGGACCGGTTTTAAAAAGAAAAGTAAAATCATGTCTTGAATGGAAAAGGGAGAAAGGACGACGAACGGTTGAGAAATATTGTAAGGAAACATGATAAGGGGATTGATGTGCATAGAGATTGGGGAGATAAATCAAGAGTGTTGGTTTACACTCATACATTTGCACATGGCAACAGCACTGTTAACACCATTGCCATTCGGTTCCAACTGACGAGAGATACTTCCACATGATTCTGATCTGAAATCTTTTGTTAAATTGCAATTGCACTACAAGTGGTAAAGGTGTGAACCCATGTCAAGCCAGGAACACTATAATTAGCGACTTCTTCTTTTTCACAAGTGATCCAAGTGATTCAAAAGACACAACGTAAACGTAGATCAGGAAAGGACGCCTCCTGGAGCTTGAAGTACATTCAAATTGGTTTATAATGCGAAGTGGAAGAAATACCAGTAGATGTACACCATAGGTGGATGCCTATCGTGTCTGGTTCTGTAGAGAGAAATTCATTTGAAGTAGAGTGTCGTGAAGCGTACGCGTTAACGTCAGTTTGCCCATCGACGACGAGGGACAAAACTACACGTGAACCATACGCCGCGTCTGCTTCATTACTACCCAAGTCTCAGATAAGTGGTTGAGGAGGTTTGTAGACTGCATAAGTTCCTCAGGGAAAAATGAGCCCGAAGTCACAAAGTGATGAGAAGGTCATTATTTGATCAAGTTGCCGTGTGCCTTGATATAATACACTGGGGTGTCGGGTTGTCAAGTTGTCAACTAGACGAAGACTTCATCAGTTAGCTGAGTTGACACTCTTAAACCAATCCAACAGTTAATGCCTAGTAACACAGTTAACACAGGCCTAATAGTGAGCTGTCATAGGCGATATCAGACTTGAAGGTTGGCTGGCAAAGAACTTGTCTTGAGTTGTTGACTAGAGGCCGTAATTGAGGCTTGGAGATAAGAAGTTATCCTGTAGGCACAAAACCATGACATCAGAGGTTTTAGTTCGTAGACTAGTTGGCATTATTTGGCTAAGTACGCAGTAGTCATTCATCGGCTTACTTCAGCATGTTCGGGCTTGTGGACGGGGTGCCGCTGGACGGCATGGTCATCATCTACGAGACGCATAGGTCCCTTTCTGTCATGAGAACACGCCTGGCACGCACCACACAAAGGTCCCGAACTGCATGCTGAACGCCCGGGGGTATTTGTCTTGTTTCTTCCATTCATCCCATGCATGATCTCTCCATTGGTTGTGTGATCTCATCAATTTATTCGTATGAGGTCCCAAGCCTGGGACAAACTGCGAGTCGGAAAGCCACTGACTCCTCCACATTTCCTCGCAGATGTTGATGATACCCTGAACCGCGCCAATCTAGAGTGAAAACGCACAAAGGATGAAAAGTCGACGAAGCAACAGTTACTATCTCTAGTAACCGAACTCCTTGAGAGCCTCGGCGGTCTTGTCGTTGACCTTGGCGCTCTTCTTGGCCTCGGAAAGCTGGCGGGCGGCGAGCTTCTTGCGCTCGTAGTAGGCGGCGCCCTTGGCCTTGCGGCGCTCCTCGAGTCTATCAAGCTGTTAGCATCAAACGGCGCGTGGCTTCGGGGGGCAAGAGCTGAGGCTCTTGCAGAACCAACGTACCTGGCAACAACATCCTCGTACTTCCAGCCGACCTCAGAGCTGAGACGGCCAACGGTGCAGAACTTGCGACCGGGCTGGAGTCTCAGGACACGGAGAGCCTGGGGAACGACCATCTTCTTCTTCTTGTCATAGGGGGGAGGGACACCCTCGAAGACCTTGAGGCGCTCAAGGGCAGCGGCGCCACGGGCAGTCTTGTGGGGAATCATGCCGCGGACAGCCTTGTAGAAGATGCGGGAAGGAGCGCGGAAATGGAAGGGACCTGCGGGCAGTCAGTATCGTCTGACTGAGAATGTCGACTGTCGTCGTCGTCTTCGTTTCGGGAGGGCTGTAACTCACCACCGCGAGTGGGGTTGTACCGGGTCATCTTGCGCAGGTACGAGTGGTACTTGACTAAAATGGTGGTTTCGTGTCAGTTTGACTGTTCTCTTCTTTCGGTCCTCTTTGTTCGTTTCGCCCATGACTGCGATTCCCAATCTGTCTTCTTGCTGTGTCCAATTCCAATATCCTCCCAAGTTCGTCCATCGTCGCAGTCATGTCTCTCTCGGTTTCGTGTAGGAGTGAAGGTGTAACGTACGCTTGGCGCGGAAGAACTCGCCAGAGATGTTGAGGGCCTCGCAGCGGACAACAACGATCTTCTGGCCGTTGAGGAGCTGCTTGGCGACGATGCTGGCGAGGCGACCGAGGAGGTGGCCCTTGCCGTCGATGACGACCTGTAAATCAACAGGTTAGCCATCACAAAACTGCTGCTGCCGCACCCTTGCCGTTAAACGGCCCGTCTCGGTGTGCAATGTCCCTGAGTTCCTCCGATTCCATATCCGTATCCATCGCCGTATCGAACATGTCGTCTCCATCTCGTTCGGTGTCGCTGCAGCGGTCGGCAACCTAGCCATTCGTCGCGATACGGATAATGGAACCGGTGGAAACCACATCCATCATAAAATCGGTATTCGGGGATTCGCAACGTACCACAGACTCGAAAGAAGACATCTTTGCCGGGGAAGACTGGGTTGACAAAGAAGGAGGATTAGCGATCTGTCCGTCAAGCTCCGGCAGATCAAATGGGCAGCAAGTCTGGCTCTTACCTCGCGATGGTTGACGGTCTGCGACTTTTTTGTGTGTGCTGAAAATTGCCCGTGTGCTTGGTGTAGTGAGAGATGCACTAGTCCGTTTTCGGAACCGGTGGAGGCTTGCCAGCCAGTGTGGCCTTTTGCTGCCTGAGGCGTTGGGGTAGGGTTAGACCTACAGTCTGCAATTGGTGGGGCTGGTTTTGCTTCGCTTCCCCGTGTCTTGGCACTCCTGTGGCGCGAGACAACCACGCTGATAACCTTATCACGGCCCCCTTGATTCAGTCCAGGTTCCAAGGTGCTTGCAGTAGTTATCTCATGGGCACAATGACGGGAATTATGATCTCATTAGAGCACACTGATAAGTTAATTGCATTTCAAGTCGATGGTCATCAATGTGGTTTTGTGGCCTTTGCTATCTTCAGGTCATCGCATTGAGCAACGTGTGCTCACAGCCAACAGCCTGGTCGATCACCGTCACGTCACGTCACTAGCCATCAAGGTAGTTACCAACGGGTGTTTGGATGCATCGCGAACCGTGAACTGGGATTTTGGGAGGGACGCCAGTCAATTACCATCTATGACCTGGCCAACAACTTCCCACCACTTCTGACCACGCTCTATGCACAAAACGCTAGACTCTCTTTAACTTCCATGTTCTCTTGTCACACCACTGAACACGGTTGCGCGAAAGCTTCGACCTGGAACAGCAATTAAAAAGTGCAAACGAACCGAACATGTGTGGCTGTTGAAGTTACACCAGCAACCTTGATACGCCTGGCAAATGGCTGAAATACCGAAGAAATGTCGACTTTATAACGACGAATCGCCTAAATCCTTCCATGCTCATGCCGACCAAGAAGCCTGAAATGATAAAAGGTTCCGGGCACTGCGCTTATGACCGTCCACACTATGCCTTGAGAGCCTCGTCGAGCGTCTTCAGAACATCTTGGCACTGCTTCACCATCTCTTTCCTCCTGGTGCGAACTGCGACATCTCCTCCCGTTTCGATATCATCAAACTTTAGGAGAACCTGCTGTAGGATTGTCTCTGATAGTTTGAGGTGCTCCTCTGATCTCTTCTTAGGATCCGAAGGAGGATGGGCCGCAAACTGTCGGCACAATGGCAGGAGTGTGTTGTTGAAGTGGGCGGCGATTTGATCGAGCTTCTCGATGGGACCGCCCGGGGCAACCGAGGCCGGGCTGGCGCGAGTGACGCTACCGGCCGAGATAGCAGAGATAGCCGAGACCCCGGACACTCCGGATGCTGCTGAAAAGCCGGACTCGGCTGAAGGGGAGTGGGATCGAACTCGTGAAGCTGCCCTCTTCCGAGGGTCTTCAGTCGGCACTCTGAGACCAACATCTGAAGCACTCTCTTGCGGGCTCTGAGGGCTGCGGGCACCACGCTCGTCTCTGGTCCTGCCTCTGCGCTTCTTGCGGTGCTTCTTGGAAGGCTCTGGTTCACCGCGAACCTCGTGCCCGTCACGATCAACGATGACAATCTCATCGCTCCCCACATCACTGCTGCTCTCGGATTCGCGCTCGCTTATCGTGACCGTGATCTCGCTGTTGTGCTTGGCGCCATACTCTCTGACAGGCTTGTCATCGTCCCTCAAGCGGCGGCCCTTGTAGTACAGACGAATTCTTCCGTGGCGGTCAGAAATCCCCAAGATCAGCTTCACTCGCTCCTTCACATCGCTGACCAAGAGTTTGCCGTCGCCAATCGAATACGCAGGAAACCCCTCGGGGTACACGGCGTTCTTGTAAACAATGTTTAGAGCGTCGTCTTCAGGTTGTTCGTACCTGCTGATAGCCGGAACGGCAGCCGGTGGTGACCGAGTGTAGTCATAGCGTTGACTGTAGCGAGGACTTTCAAGATCCTCGGTAGTGATATAGCTGAAATCTTCCTCAGTCACACTCGGCACACCTCCTTGGCCAACACCCGAGTTCCAAGACGACAAGCTGGGGCGTCCCCACCAAGACATCTTTCCTCCCTTTCTGCCTTTGAATCTCCGGGTGGCGATGACGGGGATGATGCTCAGAGCGAGGAGTGTACCGGCGGTGGCACTGTAGACCTGGTTGGGAGAAAGACCGGTCGCTGACTGAAGATACTCTGAAGCTGAAGCCAGATGCTCAGCGGTCGTCTCGAGATAAGGCTGCAACTGAGTCGGGACTTTCAAGAAGGACGTGATGTTGGCAAGCTGGGCAATCAAGGCACCTGACGATGCCGAATCTCCTCCGGAAGCCACCTTTGCGACTATGGGCTGGTCCTACGACAGTATGCCGTTGACCTGCTACAAAAGAGAGAAGAAAAGGTGGAAATCCGAAAATCTATTATAGTTGATCTGGCCGGTTTGGGGGGTAATTGGGTTGACGTTCTTGACTGGTGAGATTGTATGTTACGGCGCTGTTATCGACTTGGCCGCAGGTGTCGAGCAATCAACGGCGGACAAGATCTAGATGGACAGAAGGGCGTGAGACCAATCGCGAAGCTAGGGCTGTAATTTTCTTTGTTCGTGGGCTGGCGAAGAAAGGTACGAGAGACCAGTTGTCCTTGACACCCGTATCCAAAATCGGTAGGGAAATGACGATTAGAACGACGATCACTGCCTCGGGGTCCAAGGGTCCTTTTTCAGGCTGTTGCGCAGATGCGGGAGTGGGCGTCTTTGGCAACAGAACCGATTGGGTTGGACAAGTCTAGCAGGGCCGGTAAGGTTGGGTGCGAATGGTGTGGATGGTGGCGGACAGGGTGGGAAGACGAGGTTCGGGTTGATGTTTGAGGTTTGAGGGTGCAACTTGAAGTGGACGGTGGCGGTTGTTCGTGTCAGGACAGTTTTGAAGTCAGCAGGAGAGGTTGCACATGGAGCGGGAGCTGAGTCTGAAAGGGCGACCAGGATCCCAACTTTTCATCTGAACACCCCGTCCGAAAGGGAAGAACCCACGGAGCCGCTAAAAGTGGTCCCAACTCCCAAGGCCAAGGCACGCCCGGGCTTTGCCTGTTACTTCTGCCCCGGGGCGTCCCTTCTGCAAACTGCTCCCATTGGAACCACATTAGTATCATTAGGTAATCCATCATGACTTGCACATTCATCGATTGCTTGGCTCCATGGCGTTCATCTCATGAGCTCAACGGCCTCTCCGGACATTGTTCATAGAATCCACACTACTTCCAGACTTCTGCTACGACGACATGGGAACTCCGTTCAAAATACTTTTGGGTCTTTTGGGGTCTTGCATCATGCCTTGTGGTTATGTTGGCTCCCTGCAAGAAGCCGCTTCAGGGCCTCGAATCGGACAGGACAACAGTAAACTCAACGGGATGTCGGTGTAAGTGTGAGATTAGAGACACCAACTCCAGGCATTGCCTCATCTTGAAAAGGATAATCCATCAATTTCGGATAACGTCGAAAGAAAGAAGACGCTAGTTTCCGTTCAGCCCCTCTTCGTCTCGCTTTCTAGTGCACGTTGGAGAGCTCAACTGGCTGGAAGCTCACCACGAAGTCCATGATCACCGGCAAGCCTTGTTCACACTGCCGAACCAGGAATATGAGCGTCGGGGTCACTCACGTGCATCGCTTCCCAAGACCCGTGGAGCCGCCTTGCCCTCTGCTCTGGGGAAAGTGGACTGTCTGCAAGCCAGGAATTACGATGCCGTGGCGGCAACAAGTCAATGACATGCATTTCCTTTCCAGATGAAGTCATGGCCGGGTCCAAGGCTGCTGACCTCCTGCTCGGCTCACATGCTGTGAATAGCTTCACTGCTCCAATGGGAAACGATGGAAAGTCCGCCTCGCCAGAAATTGCGATCTGGCCCGATTCGAGTTCCCGTTGAGCACAGTGTTGGAGAGGACCGGGCTTGCCAGGCAGGTTCAGGGTATGGAGTGTGGTATTCGCTTCACCAGGCCGGACACTAACTGCTCCGGCCGGCCGTGGCTGAAGTCAACGTCCCGAGTGGAACCCTTGATGGCGGCTAACCTCGCTGTTTTCGGACTGCTCTCTTCTTGTCGCCGCGCCTACAGTGGCATCAAGATCCTGGCATTATCAGAGAAAGCAAAGATATTGCACATGTCTGAATGGTTTGGAGCGATCCGAAATCATTCTGTGGTGCAGCTTTCATTTTCTTTTTTCACCATTTGCGCGGAGACTTGCCGAATCTCAACACAGATATCGTGGCCTGAAGTTTGGGGAAGTGGGGTCATAGGAAAGGGGGAGTTAAGATAACGGCGGGGAATTTGATGATGGCTTTCTGGTGAATCGTGGGTGAATCGCGCGGTGGGAAAGGTCTTTGCGTCATTGGGTTCTTTGTGTCCATGCAAGCTCCCAGGATGAGCCGTGTGGCTCAAGTTGAGACGGCAGAGATTTGAACTGCTGAGCGCGAAAAACAGAGATGATGGCGACATTCGTCCCTCGAGGTCCCTGTATCTGATTCTCAAGACACAATGTGAGACCGGCGAACTTCAACCGGTAGGACTGAACTGTTCTCATTGGTAACGCGGAAACTGGAATTACTCTGCAAATATTCTGCTCGAGTCGGTGACTTTGCAGCATCTTCGCGTGCCAAAGTGTGCAGAAGCCGCACAGTGTCGGGCGTCCCTCATCCCCGATGCTCTATCAAATGACCCAGTCCTTGAACTGCCCCCGATATGAGAGCCTTCCAAAACTGGAGTCGTGACAAATTCACACCGAATGTCGCAATCGCCATTTCCACCCCTCATATCCCGTTGTGCCCACCCTAGCTTGACACACGGTCACACACGCTTTCCAAAAGCTTCGTTTTCCGCAGTGCTTAAGGTAGTTTCCCCCAATTTGCCTTCCCCAACTGTTCTACCATATAAATCCTTCCCCTTCCCCTCTCTGTATATATATATCGCTCCCTTTGGACCTCAACCCCGCGCAACCTCTATGTCCTTCATCTTCCGCCGATTCTTCTCCAGCACAACATCCACCATGTCCGACGCCGCTACTCAGAAGGCTAAGCAGCTCATCAACGACAACGCTGTCGGTATGTGACCGCCCCACGTGTTTAGCTGTCTTATGTGTTCCCCTGCGCACTGGCGGCATGAAGTCGCGCGAGGTCATCAGCTGCATCGGCACGGGCCGCTACACGTGCGCTCCATGTGTGTGCGCGAGTCCGGCGGCCTGGTGCATGTGGCCATTCGCTCGCGGACCCTTTATTGTGTGTCTCTTGCAGAGACTTGCAGTTCCGGTCTTCGGTCTAGCCCTTGTCGCTGAGAGGAACTTGGAAATCAGCTTAACTCCTGTTTGCCTTGATGGCAGCCATTTCGCTGCTCGTCGCATGAAGGAAACCGTCGCTAACGAGTCTTTTCGTCGCCAATAGTTGTCTTCAGCAAGTCTTACTGCCCCTATTGCTCCAACACCAAGCAGATCCTCGACGGTCTCAATGCCAAGTACACCACCTACGAGCTCAACCAGGAGAGCGACGGCTCCGATGTCCAGGATGCCCTTCTCAAGTTGACCGGCCAGCGCACCGTTCCCAACATCTTCATCGGCAAGCAGCACATTGGCGGTAACTCCGATCTCGAGGCTGTTGTCAAGAACGGCAAGAACGGCAAGAAGATCCAGGAGCTCCTCCAGGAGGCTGGTGCTCTCTAAATCGCCCCTGACAGACATTTGTGTTTTGGTGGTTACGAAGAAACATGACGGGAAGAAAGTTGGGCAAAGAGGAAAGCAGCGTTCAAAAGGCTCACGTTATGGGAGACATCACGGAAAGCCCGAATGTGCGTAGCGCAACGGGGCACTGCTTCTAGTTTTAAAATCGCGGGATGGGATATCCAAGGATCTATCATACGGCGGCTGTTCGTCTGAAGCATTTTGCGGAAACAAAAACATTTGAAATACCCTAACATCATTGTCACAAATGAGTGATGCTTCAGTTTACTTGTGATTACCTGCGTGCAAAAAGCACCCTATCCATTATTCTTACATCAAGGCCCATTTTGCTCAAGCGGCATCGTGTCAAATCACCTCAACTAACTGTTTTTCATATTACTCTTATAATGTCTATACCACCTGAGCCGCAACAGTTCCAACCGGCCTCTCTACAAACTCCATGATGCCTTCAACAATGCTCTTCCTCGCAGGCTCGCTGGCAACCTTCTTTCCAGCCAAGTAGTTCAACCACAGGGCACGCGAGACGCGCTCATCATCAACAGTTCCAACCAGCTGTCTCCCTGCCGGCCTTCCCTCCTTCTTGTTGCCGCCATCGTCATATACAACGCTCAACTTACCCTCTCCGTCGCGGATCAACAGAAGCTCCTTCTTGGCCGGAACCTTTCCGCGGTTGAAAATCTGCCTGAAGTGCTTCATCGCCTCGCCAAACTGCTCGTCCCCAACCTTGCCAGCCCTCGCCTGGATCGCGCGCACAAAGCCATCCCTCAAGTGGTGGAAGTCGGTGTCGCGCACGGGGATCACGCGGAAGACGGACCGCGCAGGGATTCCGTCTGCCAACAGGCCGTCCCAGAGCTCTTCGCCCTTTGTATGGTCGAGCAGATCGTTGCGCAGCTGGTCGCGTTCGCCCGGCACGAGCGTCGTGGCGATCGGGTTGACCTTCTTGGTCAGCGCCGACTGCAGCGAGGCCACGTCAGCGGTAGCCACGTAGTAACCCACTACGTAGACCTGGATGCCGACAAAGGTGACGGTGCGCAGGCCGAAGCCCACGAGGGTGTACTCGGTCTTGTCGGCGCCGGTGATGGTCATGGCCAAGCCCGAGGCCCCGCCGGGGGCAATGGCTCCCTCAAAGCTACCGAGCGAGAGCGTGCGCGGGAAGGTCGGGACGGTGCTGTTGCCGGTCGGGACGAGCTCGTGGCCCTCTTCGTCGCGCACGACTACTTTGCGCTCGGCGGCGTTGGTACCGGCCAGAGGGTCGGTCGAGGGCAAGGAGGAGTCAGCTTGGATAGGATTCTGGAGCTCGAGCTTGATGAGGTAGCCGGCGTAGATCATGGAGCTGACGCTGCAGAAGAGCCCCGTCCATAGGAAGGCGCGGCGGTTGCGGGCATACTTGATTTGTTGCTCCGAGAGCTTGTTGACGTCGAGGCGGTTGAGGTGCTCGTTGGGCTGGCTGCGCGGAGGGCTGAGGAAGGTTCGGCGCGAAGCTCCTCCGCCTGGTGTTCGCGTTGCGGCTTTGGCTGCCGATCCAAGGGACCGGGGCAGCTGCTTGAAGGTTGACTGGCGAAGCATTGTCGTGGACGTGGTGGACTATCGCAGCTTCGGGGCTGTTCTGTATGTGCGATTAGATGATCAGTTGAATAAGTTGACTGGTCACCTCATGGCCAAGCTTCGCGCACGATCTTTGCAATTGTGCTGGGTCTAGAAACTTTGAGTTCGGTGATACTAGCTAGGTAGCCCCGTAACCAGAAGACGAGATTGACATCATGGCTTTGGTAGCCGAGCTCCGCAGCGCTAGCGGTGGGCACTCAATTCGAGTTCAGAAGCTTAACAGCAAACCACCAAGTTGCCTTGAGTTACTGGTGAAAACGGTTCAGAAACTGTTACCAGCTGTTAAGTACGATAAGACAGATAGATAGTACGCAGGACGATAACGAATGTGACCTCTGGGCATCGTCAAAAGTGAGGTTACCGATGGCCTTCCTGTCGGACAGACTGAAAGCTGGAATAGGTACTAGTGGGTTGCGTGCAACGGGTAGATCCCTTGGGCATATGCATGCTGGTAGTCATCGATGTTGATCAAGATACGGGTACCTATGGTTGCCAGATTATTCCTATATATGCACATAGCAGGGAAGAGAGAGTTCGGACGCAAAGCCATACTCGTCTGGGCTCACTGGGTCGCCGGTGGCGTTTCTAGCCCAGACGATTATGGGTGGTGATCAAAGGCAAGGAGCAAGCCTCCGCTCCCATGCTCTTTGCCCGCGCTTTTGCTCGTGGTTGCCGAACCCGCAAACAATCCTTTTCCGTCTCCATCAAGCGGATTGCTACCTCCTAGCAGCCTACCGAGAGGTATGCCTATCCGTTTTATAATATCCTCTCCCCTTCCCTTCTTTTGCACATATATTCAGTCTTTGCCGATCACAGAAGCCATATATACACGTGTATGGTAACACGAGGTCACCCCTCCAAGAGTGATACAGCCCGGACAGGGGCAGCTAAGGCGGGACGAGTTGATGTGATAAAACCAGGGTCCTCCGCGGGGTTATGTAGAGATATGCGAACAAAGCGCAGGCCTCTCCAACTGAACGCAAGGTCCAAAGCATCGGCATGAGGGTCGAGATTCGCACATCATTTATTGAGCTTCCACTGGCCAGCCACCGTCGTGCTCTAAGCGCCATGCAGAGCGTCATGGGCGAATAACCGTTGCGCACCTGGGTTCGTCTCGTTCCCGCTCGACCTCGATACAACCTCAATGTGCAGCTTGGGCTTTTGGAAGGATTCTGATATTGGGCTCATCGTCGTCCTTGCGTTTTGAAGTCTGAATGAAGATCTTGAAATGGCAGTTGACACACTCTCGACTCCAAACGACCTTCTTGAGATAGTGTAGGTACATACCTAGAAGTGCCACCATCCCGAGCCCGGTTTTCCGATATTGACAAACAGCGTCCAAACTCCAAGCTTTCAGACCGAAAATTGCTGGGTCTCGGATGGGACGGACAATCAATCGCTACCTGAACCTTGCTGGCCACCGTATAGCCATCGCCCTGTGATGATCAGAGGAGGAAATTGGCTTGTCTTTGCTGACAATATCCGAATTGCCCGCGCCTGACCAAAGATATTGTGATGGTTTGATGTCACAGAGTTGCACCAGCTGATGGCTCTCGAGATCTGTGTTGTTGCATCAATAAGAGGGGCCTACACACAATCTATGTCATGAGGCTGCAGGACAGTCACCGGACTTTGTCAAGTCCAGACCTGCGGGACTCTGGAGTTTGGAGTCCTCCCGTATGTCTCGATGTGTCGGTGCGCAATGATCACGGCTACTGATGTTTGCCTGCTTCCAAACTGTCATGTCTCTTCCCAAGCCAATAGCATGGAAACGGTGATCTGTGGAATAGTAACAAGTAGTTCTATGGGAGCAGGAGACATGCACGGAAGCTCAAGAAACGTGAATGCAAAGAGGGGACAGGGCAACGACTGTACAGCCGCCGACAGACAGCCCGCTGCGTCTATACACCACGCTACCATAGGTAGCGAGGCTAGATAGCGACAGGACTGGCGTATATCGGGACCTCCACTGCCCATCCCCTGAATAGGTAGGAACTGCTACAATGGCGTAACCTGCATGGCGCCTGGCTCGGCGATATCCAAGGTATAGCGGCCCGCCATTCTTGCCTACCAACTGGCCATCAAACCGGGCTAGCCATCACACGTATTAGAAATTCAAAGAAAGAATATGATCCAACCTTCCAGGAAGAATACGAACATCAGGACGAGCTGGAGTTTTACGCCCGACCGTTATGAGAACGGCAGTGACCCGAGAGCGTGACCGGGGAATGGATACTGCCTGCTTGTCGCTCACTGACGCTGCAGCTTTTCCCCACTCCTGTTGCCCTGTCTCGCCTTCTGCCAGCCAGGTTTCGCCCTTTCCCTTTTCCATCCAAAGTGAATGCCCTGCACAGTCAGTGCAGCTACGCCAGTGCCGCTGTTTCCCCCTACCAACAATAAACCCCGGGCCTTGACTTGCACAGCCGGCCATCCTTTCAAGCAAGCGGCCCCATTCACCTTGCAACGCAAATCGCCATCATCGACAATACTTCGTCCTTTCCCCCAACAACGATTTCCATTTTTTGTATCTAGTTGTATACAATAAATAGCACGCCTTTAGGAAAGGAGGCATCGGTGCTACCAACCCATCGGCACCCCATCTCGGCGGCTTCTTGACCAACTTGGACGCGAATCGTCCACCTCACCTCCGCTCACGCCGCCCCGACTTTCCCTCCCGTCTCCCTGAGGGCCATCTCGTCACTCCTAGCCTTCCTCCGTCCGCCCCTCAATAAGCTGAGGCTCCCTTGACCTGGCGTTTGATTGACCTGCGGCCCCTGGCCCCCTAGAACTTTCGCCCACCCCCGACGAGCAATCAACCGATCCTCGCGCCAACTTAATCATCCCTCATTACATCGCCTTGTTTCTTGTCGCGCTCCCTTCTGACAAGTCCTTCAACCCTTTGACATCTCCCTTCGCTTGCCACCAGACTGGCACAGCTGTTATCATGAGGCTACGTGAGTCTCTCGACATAATCGCCGACGACCGGGGAGCACCGATGGTCCAAGGGGACGCGGCTCCCGAAGCCAACCCGGAGTCCGCACAACAGCAGGCTCAAGACGATTCGCAATCAACCTCATCGTCGAGCACGCCTCCACCCGTCGATAATGAAGAATCCGACTTCTATCTCGCCGCGAACGACTCCCAGTCGTCGCTTGGTGTTCCCAACATTGAGGATATGCAAGTCACCGATGAAGAGTGCCGTATAGCACCTATTAATCGCTTGCCCAACGAACTACTCATCGCCATCTTCGTCAAACTCACAACCTCCTCAGACATTCTCCATGTAATGTTGACGTGCAAGTCATGGGCTCGGAATGCAGTGGAGATCCTATGGCACCGTCCAGCTTGCTCGTCCTGGGAACGACACACGACCATCTGCCAAACTCTCAGTGCGCCACGACCGTATTTTGCCTACCGACATTTCATTAGGCGACTCAACCTGTCGGCGCTGGCTCCCGAACTCAACGATGGCAGTGTCGAGTCTTTGGAGATGTGCAGTCGTGTCGAGCGACTGACCATGACTGGTTGCAAACGCATCACGGATGCTGGCCTCCTCAAGCTGCTCCAGAACAACCATGGCCTCCTGGCTCTCGACATCTCTGGCATGGAAGACATCACGGAAACTTCTATTTACGCTGTGGCCGAAAAGTGCCGCAGACTACAAGGCCTGAATGTCTCCAACTGCACTAAGGTCTCAGTTGCAAGTCTGGTGGAGTTGGCGCAGAGTTGCAGATTCATCAAGAGGGTAGGTTCTTTCTGCTACTTCGCGTTCATGGGGCAGTTCTGCCTTTGGTGGTGAAGAATCTGGGTACGAAAGCAAAAGCTAACGTCCTCTTTCCATGCAGTTGAAACTCAACGAGTGTACTCAGGTGACTGACGAGGCTGTTATCGCATTTGCTGAGAATTGTCCCAACATCCTCGAGATCGATCTTCACCAGTGTCGCCTGATTGGAAACGACCCAGTTACGGCGCTTATGTCTAAAGGCAAAGCCCTTCGAGAACTCCGCCTCGCGAGTTGCGATTTGATCGATGACTCCGCATTCCTTTCTCTACCCGCTAACAAGACCTACGAGCAACTCCGAATCCTAGACCTGACGTCTTGCTCTAGACTAACGGACCGAGCCGTTGAGAAGATCATTGATGTGGCTCCTCGCCTGCGCAACCTTGTGCTTGCAAAGTGCCGTAACATCACTGATGCTGCTGTGTTCGCTATCGCCAGGCTGGGCAAGAATCTGCACTATGTCCATCTAGGCCACTGCGGAAATATCACAGATGAGGCTGTCAAACGCCTAGTCCAATGCTGCAACCGGATTCGATACATTGATCTTGGTTGCTGTGTTCATTTGACAGATGATTCTGTCGTGAGACTTGCTACCCTACCCAAGCTCAAGCGCATTGGCTTGGTCAAATGCTCGAACATCACAGACGAGAGCGTCTACGCTCTTGCTAGGGCGAACCAACGCCGACCCCGTAGGGACGCTGACGGCAATCTTGTTCCCGGAGACTGTTACAACAGCATGCACCACAGTAGCCTTGAGAGGGTTCATCTGAGCTATTGCACCAACTTGACGTTAAGGGTAAGTAAATCTGTTTCATATCCATCTCAGTTCTGATACTAATATCTTCGACAGAGCGTCCTGAGACTATTGAACGCATGCCCTCGTCTCACACACTTGAGTGTCACGGGTGTCCAAGCGTTCCTGCGTGAGGATCTGGAGAGTTTCTGCCGCGAGGCACCAGCTGGTATGCCGATATTCCCCCCACCCCCAAGCGATGCACGTTGTGATTCAAAGGCTAACGAAAATTGCAGAGTTCACCGAGCATCAGAGAGCTGTCTTCTGCGTCTTTTCGGGTCAGGGTGTGACCAATCTTCGACGCTACCTTAACAGCGAGCATAATCTGACGGAGCCCACCCGTGGTGCGAGACCAATCGACGGAGTACCGAACCGTGCCGGCCCTGTCTTCCCAGGAGCAGCAGTCAATCCTATGCAGGTCACTCCACCTGGTCACCATGCCGCAGCAGCAGCGTTCATTGACGATGGCGAGCCTGATGCGGTAGATGATGACGATGGCTTGGAAGATGGGAGTGAGATGGTCATAGACACGCAGCCAATGCTTCACAATCATCATGCTGTTATGGGCGGGACTGCGTTTCCTATTCAGGGCGTGGCATCCACAGAACAGTTGCTGCCACCACCACCACCGGCGATACAGCCACAGCAGCACCTTATCACGAACCCTTTCCACTTTGTACCTGGCCAGCCCTTTACGCCTCAGGGCCTTCAGTTTTACGAGGCACTGCGAGCGACAGAATCCAGCATCGTTCATGGAACCCCTTCGCAGGTTCCATTAGTTGGACAAGCGACTGGGCTGGACTCGACAATCACTGAAGGCAACCATCACTCCGGAGCCAACAGGAACTCGCCAGGCACATCAACAGCTCAAAACCCGGATGCGTCGCAGGCCATGGCATCAAATCCTATGGAAAACGTTGAGCTGGCGATACTCACAGGGGCCCGAAATCCTGACGCGAGTGGCAGTGGAGGGGCGCCCGTTTAGAGCGCTATGGGGTATCGCTCTTTTAAGTATTAATACCACTGCTTCTTTCTTACTTGCCGGTGGATGAGCGGATGAGGATACGTTTTATTTTTGGTGGTTGGTGGGATACATAAAATTTTAACTGGAATCCTTCGCAGGCTGTAGCGGAGCGCTTCAATGACTTTATGATTATCACTGTGTGTGTTGATAGAAGACGCCGAGTGGCTATTCTTCTTATACCAAGCTGGGCGTGGCGGTTTTTGAGGGATTAAGAAGCTACCCCTTACATTATTAGGCTAGAAGATTGATATTTATGCCTTTATCTTACTTGCGTCGTTACATGCCCGCCTTTCGTATATGGGTTTTATCTCGTTTGGCCAGGTTTTTGGGAAGCGTGGAGCACCGAGGAGAAGTCAACATTAACAACAAACCGTATGTGATAACACGCGGACCACGGGTTCAATACAAGATATATTAGATATTTCCAACTCCCTCCAACTCCTCAGTACCTACCAATCAATCCCAGCGATTCTTTGTGACTGACCAAGAATATCCGCTGGCACAAAGCCCCTGGTCCCTGGGGCAATGAAGAGGAAGAGCAAGGGAACCGTACCCGGACCGGACAGATGATGTGGATACTACCATCAAACTAGCTCAAAGCCTCAAAAGATCTAGACTCTCCAAGACTTTTATCCTGAATAGCCAATGGCGACAACCCTTTTTGGCACTTGCGGGTACTGGAAGAAGAAATTCGATGGAAATGCGCGACAATCATGAAATCGAATTGCCCATGACATCGATGAGAATTTTATCACATGCAGGAACCTGAACCGGATCAGCAGAATCCGGGGTCTGGGGAAACGGGGCCTCAAGAAGAAATTCATGCAAGAGGAGGTTGCGAAGCTCAGCATATCTTTAACATTTGTCTTTAAGGTCATAGGGCGTGCTTTCTGATCTCTTGAAATGTTTGTTGATGCCGGTCGTCTTTAGATACATTGTCTGCGGCTGCAAAACACCGACGGGAGTTAGTCTTCATAAAGGGGCATTGAGCAAATCTGCAGTTTGGCTCTTCGCCATTGGAATGTCACGCAGTCAGTGGCTATGTCCGAGGGAATCTCTGTGGGCCTGGACTGGCAGCCGACAAAGACGACTGGAGGTGTGAAAGATGCTGGTATGTTGTTTGCATAGGTAGAATCAAGCAGACTGGCCATCTTGTTCATACTTTTCTAACGCCTGACGAGACGCAGGCGATGCTTACCGGTGATGGCTTGAAGAAGTTGACACTAGAGCGGCTATATTTTCGCTCTACACATGCTTCCATTCACTCATGGATTCTGAACATGGACAACGGAACCAGGGAAAAAGATAAAGTCAGGATACCCCATGTCCCAAAAGTAAATCTCCCGTCGTGTGGTGGATCACAGATCTGGATCTTGCATAGTCAGTCAGTGGATCTTGATAGGGGGCTACTGGACTGTGGACCCTGGAGGATAGAAGGAAAGAAGAGAAAACCACGCAAAAAAGGGGAACAAGGACAAAAAGACAAAAAAAAAGAAGTTCCCGAAGTTCCCCTCGACCGGAATCGAGCCGGTGACCTTTCGGTATACAATCTAGTCAATTACAGCCGAACGTGATAGCCAACTACACCACAAGGGGTTTTGTTTGTTGGAGAGGTCGGTCGGAGATAGAGCTTATAGTTCCGGGCTCTGGATGTGAGTTATGGGAGCGGTGCACAACTCCAGCTGAGAAGTGAGAGCTTTTGAATTCAATTGGATTCGAGACCAAGATTGCCTTTGTTGTCGTACGAAGTTGTTACAGAGCTGACCGCCGTACAACTTTATACGTATTGTACAGTTTTTTTTCTGTACGATGCGTATACCCTTCTGCACCACTCTCATACTGCATCTGTACTCAAATTTCGACCATATATACATTTTGAAGCTTCCATACGAAGTTGGAAAATTTATACAATTTTCTGTTCATACAAAACCCTAACTTAGATAAGGCTGTGTGAGGCTATTATGGGAGGGTTGCAACTTTGAAATCTGTACGAAATTCTGCCAAATGGGTGGTTTTTTTTGCGTACAGAGTACAGAAAATGCCATACAGCAGCCTCTATGGCAACTTTGTACGAGAACAAATGCAGTTCAAATATAATTGGAGGTATTTTTAGCTACCTTCACGTGTACCTTACGAGATTCTCTTATATTTCCAATTTCCAATTAGAGCTCTCAAACTTAAGTGAGAAGTTGTGGTAGGTAGAAGATATGTCAGCATCTTCCCGTAGGTGCTCATATTTGTAGACCGTTAGACAAAGTTGTTCTGCAAACAAAACCCCCTTCCAACGAGCGTGGTGTGGCGGTTTCATAATAATAGAATCTGAGCGCAAGCTCACAACCAATAAGGGACCTTGGCGCAGTTGGCTAGCGCGCAGGTCTCATATCCCCATATGATCTGGTTAAAAAATCAGAGTAATCCTGAGGTCGGGAGTTCGAGCCTCCCAGGTCCCATTTCTTTTGCTGATTTTTTTCCCCGATTTCCATCCGTCGCGATTGCCGGGTCTGTCACGTCCTTTTCTTCCCACCTCAATTTTTGAATGGCATCGCAGTCGATTTTTTTTTCTTCGGTTTTTTTCCCTACCACTCTGTCGGTTCGGAACACGGCGCGCATTCAGCAATGTTTCGAGAATGTTTCGCTACTGCACACAAGCCGCCAAATTGGCCATGTTGGTGCAAAAAATGACCCCTTTTGTGGGCCTCAGTTCGTCGTCATAGCAACGAAACGGAACTCTTCGCCGTGGCACTATCGAGGCCTGACTAGATACTTTCCGATTTTCATGACGTCCCGAGGTCAGGAAATGAATCCCAACACCATCAAAATTCCGAATCATCCATCGGATCTATTGCCTCGCTTGTGTGAATGCAGTCAACCATGCCTCGCCGCCAAAGCACTCTCCTGCTTGACGCGCGTTGTTATCAAGCAACAATATGTCGGTTACACAAGTCCTCGAAACTTTAGAGTTTCGACGGCTCGTTGACTCAAACCGAAAGTGCAATTTGAGCATACCGTCCGGATACTATAAAACCCAGCCGGCTATTGTCGAATTCCGGGCGGTAACTGGACCCGTGCATCTGAGGGGAAAGCGGCTCGCCGGCATGTCAGGATCTCGGACTCGGTAACATGCAATATATCCAGCAGATCGATGACCGGTGTCGCTAGAGATGCTACATCAGCAACGAGAGCCGGCTGGCTGAAGGAGGATGGATGTTAATAAATCCACCTTGTCCTCCTGGTTCGCATCTGATTCCTCTTTTCGTCAACACGACTTCATTAACGCTGAAGAGACACGGACCTGCTGCAGAATGTTCGCCAAAACCACTACAACCGCTCACGATAGCTGTTTCTGGGCCGAGAAGCGCATCATAGCCATCTCATTCGTCATCACCCTCTCCTACTTCCAGTATGGCTACGACTCCGCTGCCATCGCTGGTTTCCAGTCCATGCGTGGCTTCCTCGAGATCTACGGTCATGTCGATTCGCACTCGCCCATCGACTATAACATCAGCACCGAAGTCCAGCGCCTGATCCAATCTCTCCTCAATATCGGGAGTTTCGTCTCCGTTGTTGCCATCTATTTCCTGGGCTCGATGATCTCGCGTCGGTTAGGGTTATGGATTGGTTGCGCCCTCGCCTTTCTGTCTGTGTCGATAATGATTGGGGTCGAGAATCTCGGGGGATTATATGCGGGTCGCTTGTTGCTGGGCATGTCGAATGGGTTTCTGGTGCCGTATAACGTCATGTTTGTGAGCGAGTCGGCGCCGAGTTTGCTGAGGGGGCCAATACTCGGGATGACGATCTTGCAGACTTCGCTGGGGGCGCTGTTTGGGATCTTGGTGGACAACTACACGAATGTGAGGGAAGGTTATGCGTCATGGAGGATACCGCTGGGAGTGATGTACATTGTGCCGTCACTCCTGACGGGTTTCCTGTTTTTTCTTGCCGGACACGCCGAGGTTTTATGTGATGAGAGGCGAGGACGAATATGCCATCAATGCCATTCGACGATTAAGGGGCATTAAGGACGAAGGGCTGCTCCGAGCTGAAGTCGAGGATATCAGGAGCGCGTATGAGATGGAGCAGGAGCTTCATGCTGGCGTTCGTCTGAAGGACATGTTCCGTGGTACGGACCTGCGAAGGACACTGCTCAGTTATGGGTGCATCATCGGCGGAACTTGCACCGGAATCACGTTTATGGCGGGGTTTTCGGTATACCTGTTTTTGATGGCTAAGGTCGGAAAGCCATTCCACTGGGTCATGATATCTCTGGTCGTCGCCTTGGCAGGAAATATTTTGTCGTTTCCGGCTATGCGTATGTTCGGTCGTCGGCAGCTGATTATTTATTGTTCCGTTGGGTCGGCTGCCATGTGGCTCGGAATGGCCATCATATACACCGTTTCGGGCAGTCGCACTTCGACAGATAATGGTGCCGGGGCTGCAAAGGGACTTGTTGCGCTGTCAATCGTGTACGGCTGGGTGGCAGGCCTCGGACAAGCTGGCGTGCTGATTGCCCTGGCAGCCGAGATTCCATCGCAAAGATTGCGGTCGCAGACAGTGGGAACTGGGGCTGGAATCAACGCCTTCTTTGGCTGGATGGTGTCGTTCTTTTCGCCCTACTTCATCAACTCGGATAAGTTGAACTGGGGCCCAAAGCATGGTTATATCTGGGGTGGGAGCAACCTGATCTTGGCCGTTTGGACGTGGGTGTTTGTGCTCGAGACAAAGGGGAGAAGCTTGGAGCAATTGGATGAACTGTTTGAGAAGCGGGTGGGCGCGAGGCAGTTTTCCTCATATGTTGTAGAGAGGCAATTGGTGTATGACGTTGTAACATCCCGCGCGGAAGGAAGGAACGGCAAGGTTTCAGCCAAACACTACGTCGAGGACCGGGAGAAAGAAGCACCTGCCTTGACGGAAAGGACGCTCTGAGGGTCAGGTGATCAGACAAGGAATTTTATTTCCTTCATGTCATTACGGGGTCCGTCTTCGGGAAATCACAAGATCATGATCTACCCTTGCTAATGTACAAACTCAACCGGCAACTGCAAACTCCTTATGCGGCAGTGATCTCAACACCCTTCAAAGACCCTTCCCTGCGGTACTCCTCCAACACCTCGACATACGACAACATTCCTTCACTCCACCCTGACGATCTGCTCGCTTTCATCATGTCCTTCGGGTCCTGTCTTGCAGATTGCCCCTCCCCGTTCAGATACCCAGGAGTACAGCCCATGATGGACGCAAAATACGGGGCGCGCATCATGACTTGCATTGTCCAAGCCTCTTCCTCCTCTTTCGTGACTTCAACAATAGCTCGCGAGCCGGCACCCACCTTCTCTTCTGCCTTGGCCAAAATGTGTGCAGTGTGCTGGATGCCCACTTCCAACATCGTGATGAAGTTGGCTGTGGCAGCAGTTTGCGGGCCAAAAGCAAAGAACAGGTTGGGGAACCCGCTAGTGGCAACTCCGTGAAGCGTCGCTGAGCCGATGTTCTTCCACTTCTCGTCCATCGACAGGCCTCCACGACCAATAACTGAAATACCGGTCTTGGCCGCCGGGTTACCGTTGCCAAAGGCTGGTGACCGATAACCAGTACTGAGGACAAGAACGTCCAACGGGTCTTCCTTTCCGGCAAAAATGAGGCCGTCCTTTGTCGCCGCTTCGATACCTTGGCCATTTGTGTCAATAAGATGGACGTTGGGCTCGTTGAAGGCTTGGAGGTACATGTCACTGAAGGTGGGCCGCTTGCACCAAGAAGGGTACCAGGCCTTCAGCTTGTTTGCAGTCTCTGGATCCTTGACGATCTGATCGACGCGGGCACGAGCAGTTTCGGCCGTGGGAGTATCCATCTTGTACAGGCGTGCCACGTTCGCGCCAATCGCCTCAGGAGTAGGCTCGATAAGACCAAACCCAGGAGAGCCGATCAGGGCAGAGTATGCTGGGATCCTTGTCCAGCCGTCGTTTACCAGGTTCTCTTCTCCCTCTTTGGTGGCAAGGCTCATGTGGGCGGCAAAGTTGAGCGCGCGCTCCACCTGCCAGCCCTTCTTGGATGCAATCTTGGTTTTCCTGCTGGGTGTCAGCCGTTGCTTATCTTCTCAATGGATCATAAAAGGAGTCACTCACCATTCTTCAGGATCTGTTGCCTTCTGATCACGGGGATGCACGGCCGACGGTGTGCGTTGGAACACATAAAGCTCCTTTGCCCACTTGGCTAGCTGCGGAATGATCTGGATGGAGGTCGCACCAGTTCCGATAATTCCCACCCTCTTGTCCTTCAACTTCTCCATGTCTGGGCTCTCATAGGATCCTCCAGTGGCAGAATAATCCCAACGAGCTGTGTGGAACATCTCACCACCGAATCCTTCAAGCCCAGGAATCTTGGGCACATGAGGGACGTTGAGCACTCCCGAAGCAACCATCAGATACTGGCACTTGAGCGTCAATTCTCTGCTTGGCTCGTTTGGTCCGCGTCCCTCGGTGATCTGGACAGTCCAGAGTTTCTCTTCCTCATCCCATGTCGCTGCCTTTGCGTTCGAGCGGAACAAGGCCTTGTCGTGCAGCTCGAACTGGGTGGCAATCCGCTCAGCGTGCTCGCGTAACTCGGACCCGGGCGAGTACTTCTGCTTGGGCATGTACCCTGTCTCCTCGAGAAGTGGCATGTAGATGTAACTCTCAACATCGCAGTGCAGGCCCGGATACCTGTTCCAGTACCAAGTTCCGCCGAAACCGCCGGCGGCATCGACTAATCTCACATCATCGGGCCCTTTGATCAACCCAGCCTGCATGAGGCGGACGGCATACAGAAGACCACCGTACCCACCACCGAGGACGAGAAACTTATAGGTGGCTCCGTCCTTGACTGTCTGTTTGGCATTGAGGGCGGCGTGGTCGGCCCAGGGATCCTCGGCGATAGCCTTGAAGCGGTCTGTGTCGGCATCTGTGAGGTCGAGGAATTGGGCAGGGCCGTCCGCCCGGATGCGCTTGGCAGCTTCTTCGGCATATCTCTGTTGAAGCTGGAGAAGTCTCATGTCTTCCTCGGTTGGGAGTTGGGAGTGACCGTTGGTGCCGTCAGAGGCGCCATTGGGGATGTTGTCTTTGACACCGTTTGTTGAGTCTGCCGTCATGGTATTGTGGGAAGTATTGGAAGGATTGGAATGATCTGAATACGAATTAGGTACAAGGTGAAGATAATGATCAAGTTATTATATTATGTAGCTGTAGAAGAGCTAAGAGCAATGGATCATTTGTAAAGTCAAGTTGATCACTCCGGCACTCCCACCTATATATCTATACATCTGCCGTCCTAGGTACTACACCGAATCATGGAGACGACCAGATGAATAACCGAACGAACACGGACCGTGAACCGGAAGAGGAACCATATCCCCGCCCGTCAAAAACAACAACTTTTACACCCCGATGTTTCACTCCGTCTGGAGAATAGGGGGTCGTTCCTTGAAAGCGAAAGCGAACTTCCCGTTTCGTATTCGGATCCACTGCTCTTTTTGGTGTGAAACCACCTTCTCCACAACGAAGCCAAGACATCCCTCTCAAGAAGCTGGTGAAGCCATGCTACGCCAGGGTACCGCATTTACTCAATCCCCCCAAAGAACCAAATATGTGGTGAAACCACTATCATCGCGGAAAACAAGCTGATTAGTTTTGAATATGTGAAAGGTCCCAATGTTCACAAACTAAGAAAGCGAGAGCGAGCGGTGTGGACAAGTTCGAAATTCTCACAGGGTTCTTGCTGTGGAGCACTTGTCGATCACTTTGATATAGCCCCAGATTTGGGAGAAGGAGACATGGAGAAATGGAGGTACCTGCGTCGAAAAGAGACGACGATGTTCTTTACCGGTGAATGGACGTTTACAGTTCCTTACCGCTCTACCTCAGAATAGAGATACCAAACGAACAAGGTGCGGGAGCGGCCGGGCCTAGGTGATGGTGGCCAGAACTAAAAAGTTGACATCGGATTCAACAGCCAAAGACATCTGCCGCTCGCTAAACCTTTGCCGCCGCCTTCTTATTCGGTACCTTGCCAACCGAGTTCGAGACTCGATGCACATGGGCTTGGGAGCTGCTACCACACCTCCTCAGCAGGTTTGACAGATTCCTGGACTCACGAACTGGTGGGGGACACGACATCCCGCTTGCCACTTTCCATTCATGTTAGTGATCGTACTCGGTCGGTCCCTCCTCAAGTTTATGTTTTTTGGTCGGCGACCTTCACCTCCTCGCACCTTCTTCCACAAAGCTGAATTAGCCCCCAAGATCCTGCCATGCATTATGAGATCGGAAAAGGTCCTGACTGGAGGCGGCTCTGCACCAGCGTCTAGAACAGGACAGAAAAAAGAAAACAATGACGTCCTTGCTCGTTCGATCACAGATCATGCATTGGCGTATCTTAGTGTTGAGTGCAGGTGATACAGTGCTATTGCTGCCGCCAAGACGGATAATATCTCCTTTTCCCTTCGTCGTTAAAGGTTACATGCAACCTAAGCACCGTCACCTCCCTTTTTCTCGATGTGGAAGTATCACCAAAAGTCTGCTACATATTATTTGTGTTACCACCTCCAAGCAACTATAATATCATACTGAAAGCATCGGGGTCTTGAATATGCCCGACCCGCGGTGTGTAGGAGATACTGTATGAACATGATCGAGGATAGTCCCCTGGTATTGCATTCAACCACCCATGTCTACAATACAATGCTGGTTGTTTGTTAGCTCGCTACACCTATCATACGGGACAAGATCTATCCCAAAGTCTCCTAAACCTTACAAGGACAGTATTTAATGGCTAAGTACAGTTTGAAAAGGTATTGATGAGAGTCAAGAGGGTATATGCAATATAAAATTACGCTTTTGACATGGGGCGAAACGGATCGATTAGCTATGTAAACGCCTACCTAGGAAGAATGACCAGAGGTCTCGCGCTAACAAGCAAACCAGTATTAGATTGCATAGCGTGTAAGTGACCTCCCCCGCAAATAGTCATGTCATTTATGAACTCCGGAGTCCGGACGGGGGGTTCTCCACTTGTGCTTACTCCGTCCTTGACCCATGTCCACGACCAACGACACCTGGTCTTTGGTTAAATACGGTGCTCTTACAACAACGTGGACACAAGCACCTCTCCCGAGTCCCGTCATCTCTTCCTAAACTTTATCTCAAAGTTGCCCTTGAACTTCTGAAGCTCGTTCTCGTACCAGTTCCCATCTCACCAACCCCACCTCGTCATCATAATCATCATCATCACCATGGACGCCAAAACCCTTTACCCGGACTTCGACGACCTCCCCAAGGTCAAAGGTCAACCTCAAGGTTGCGCCTGGGGTCTCTTCGACAAAAACGGCGTCAAGGACGTCTACGGCACTCTCAACTTCATCACCCCCGAGACCGTCAAGGCCGCAGCCGCTGAAGTTGAACATGGCATTTCGGTTTCTCTCAAGTTCGTCTTACCTTACCTTCTTGCGCCTCTTGTTCGCTTGTCTTCTAATTGCAAATCTTGCCTATCTTACTAACACAAACCACTTAAAAAACGAAAAAGCTGGGCCCTAAACGCCATCAAATTCCCCCTAGGACACCGCCAACCTCCCGTGCACACTCCTCTCGTCATCGGCTCCGAGATGGGCATGAAGGGCCTGCTCGGTTTCGACGACTCGCTCACTTTCAACACGCAGTACTCCTCGCAGTGGGACTCGCTGTGCCACGTCACGCATTCGCACTCGGGCGAGACGTATAATGGGTTTGTGCCTACCGTTGAGAAACTAAGCACCACTACTTCCAGCAGTGCCCAAAGCGAAAACGAGGTGCTGCCGACCATCGACCGCTGGCATGAACGGGGAGGCCTGGTCGCTCGAGGCGTGTTGATCGATTGGAAGCGTTACGCTGAGGAGGTCAGGGGAGAGCGGAGCTTCCATTCGTTTGACGGGTACAAGATCACTGTGGACGATCTGGAGGAGGCGGCGAAACACTTTGGCGTGGAGTTCAAAGCGGGTGATGTGCTGCTGGTGCGGACGGGGATGACGGGCGTTATGGAGAAGCCGACGGCGGAGGATTTTGCCAAGATGGCCGAGTCGAAGATGGCGGGCGTGGAGGGCAGCGAGAGGACGGCGAGGTGGGTGTGGAATAAGAGGTTTGCGGCGGTAGCGGGAGATGGGGCTGCTTTTGAGGCAATCGAGTACTCGAAGGAGACGGGACTGGATCTTGGTGAGTTTATGAAGTCTCTTTTTTGTTCTTCTTTCTTTGTTCCTGACTTGGGGTGCTTGTACTGACAAATGAACGATTGGCAAGTCCTCCACCGATACTTCCTCACTATGTTCGGCATGTCCATTGGCGAGCTGTGGGACCTCGACGCCCTCAGCGAGGCGTGCAAGAAAACGGGGAAGTACAGCTTTTTTCTGAGCTCCGCCCCGCTTAAGCATCCCGGTCTTGTCGCTTCTCCTCCCAATGCTACTGCTGTACTTTGAGGGGCCATTGGAAGGTAATGAAACGTAGAAGAATAACAAATGCGGCTTGTAACTGCCGAACACCAAAATCCGAGAAACGGATAACATGAAAGCCTACCATGTCATCTTGAAGTAGACGTAAATCACCACACAAACAAACATCACCTCTCCTCCAGCCACTCACTCCCTTCCTTTCTTGCACACGAGACTCCGGCCCGCTTTATGTCAAACCCAAGCTTCCTCGCCTTCCGCAGCCAACTACCACCCTCCAAGCTCCTACTCCCTCTTCTGCCCAAAGGGTAGATACTTAGTATGACTCCCCACAACCACCACCTCCCCCCTTTCCCCCCTTTCCCACCCCCCACCCTCAACCCTCTTCCTAATCTCAAAACCCGTAAAACCCAATTTCTTCCCACGTCTAGAAACCCACGCTTCCACCTCGAGCGTATCCCCCTCCCTAGCCGTAGAGCAATAACTCAAATGCATATCGGTGCTCACCCCCGTCGACAAGATCTTCTTCCCGTCCTTATCCACCGCACCGCTGTCCCCAGCAATATCGGCAGCGATAGCCATCCCGCCCGCCCAGTCGCATAGCGCCCCGCTGACGGCGCCGTGCAGGATGCGCTTGCTGTTGAGGTGGACTGGTTGGAGCGTCAAGTGGGCAAGGATGCGGCCGGTGGGTTGCGACACAGCGGCTACGAGGATGATGTCCGAGAGCAAAAGGTTGTAAATGGCCGAGTTGGGCCGGATGGTGTCCCAGACGTGTTGGACGTGGGCGAGAGCAGGGGCGGAGGAGGTGGAGGGCGTGAGGGGGAGGAGGACCGAGGTGGAGAGGGAGGGGGAGGGGGTGGTGAATGGGAGGGTTTCTTCTTTTTCTTCTTCTTCTTCTGCTGGTGCTGTTGCTGGAGAATTGGAATCGCTTGAAGTCGTTGTTTCTTCAGTCTGGGTTTCTGCGGCTTGGGTGGTTGTTGTTGTTGTTGCGGACGCTGGCGGGATGTCCCCGGCAATAGTGAAGGTGTTGCTGTTTTCGGCCATTGTGGTTTATGAATTAGGTGTGATTTGATCACAAGTTCTTGATGATGCGGTGAAATTGATTTTAGCTTCAAAATGTTGCGGCTGTTATGTTGTTTGGGTTTCAATGACGTGGTGCAGTGCAGTGCGTTGTTGGGTTGTTTGTTTCGGAGGTGTGGGGGACGGGCGTCAGGACCCGACCGGAGGTGACATCGGACCTTTGCGGGGCTGTGGTCCCAAACGCTCCGTCTCGGGCCGGCTTACAGCCGTTACCGTTTTAAATGTTTAGCACCGTGCTTGGCAGTGTGTGTGTTCACATCTCCATTTACTTGTGATCAATGTCTTGTGTTCTACCTGGAAACATCTTTGAGCGACGCCGAACAAATGCATCAAAAGGTATGATGGCCTCAACCAGTTAACTCCCCCGCCATGAAACCCCCAACAAAATAATGCTCCCCAGGTAAACCAAGATCTCATCCCAAAACGCCTTCCAAATCCCAGAAATCCATGCTCATAAATCCCTTAAATCAGCAATTATACCCAACAATCCCATCACCAAGCACCACCCCACCCCTCATCATCGACACCCTCCTCCCAATGATGCCGTCTTGCCCGACACTGATGGACAGGTTCTCTTTCAAAGCGCACATCTGACAGCTGCTCTCGTCCAGCGTGAACTGCTTCAGCAGCCCGCATTCATGAACGGACTTGGTCATGTCGCCGGTTTGACTGATCTCTACATTAGCAAACACGAACCCTCCGTTTCCTTTGCCTTCCTCATTGTTGGAGGACGCACAAAAGAGAACTTACTGTATAGAAACAATCACACGATCATCGAGCTCGGAATCCGAAGAGTCGGACGAGTCTGAGGCATCTCCTCTTACTGGACCTCTCTCGGACAGCACCGGGGTCGTTGATGGACTGATAAACGAAAAGTGGGTGGCTTGTTGGCTGTTATGGTTCGATGGGTTGAGAAAGAGGAGGTTGCCTAGGAGGTGACGGTCTCTGGAAGATAAGGAAAAGAAGTCGACTCGGGCGCCGATTCGAGGTGTTGAGGATGGGGTTTCGGGGCCACACATTCTGGGTGAGAGTATGAAGGAAGGTAGGAGGTGGTTGAGGTGGTTGCCCCTTAGTTTTTTTGGGCTCCTGAGTTGGTCTGGACGGGGAAATGAGTGATCTTTGAATCGGTTTATCTTGGTCTTGACGAATATATTGGGATTCTGGTGCTCTTCAGGTTCAGTGATCGACCTGATATTGGTGTATTGATACGTCTTCTATTATTCTTAGAGTTGAGGACCTTGATGGATATATATATCAATCATCAAAGCTCAACCCCTTAGGAAGGCCATCAAGGTTCTCTCCACCACAACCATTGTTTCCGAACCAACCATCACCAACGACGACCAGCCCTTGCAACATCTTGCTCATTCAAGTCCGCATAACAGTTGAGATATGCCTGCAAGAGGACGTTGCGAGACGTTCACTCACAGGGTCAAGCATACCACGTGTGACGTGCGGCAATGGGTCCAGAGGCCGATAGGCGTCTAGGAAGGCTCGTGGATACCAGTTCGTCCCATCTGGAAACCTTCTCAATACTCGGGATGAAAGGAAGATGTGAGACTTGGATGACGGAAACAAGCTCAAACTACCGCTTTCACTTTGCTCTGCCAGTTGTAGACAGGTTGCAACGGCCCGTTGACGTCTTTGAACGAGAAGGTTTTGCGGCCGGCGGACACAAGATCCGCGGTCAATTGAGCACGTTTGCGCGCGAATCTGGAACTGTTGTGACCGCTGCAACGCCCTCTGTAACGGCAGGCGTGGCAGGTACCTGTACCTTGATGGAGCCAAGACGTCAGGGACGTTCAACCGCGCAGGACGGCAGGAGATCATTCAGTCCCACTTATCGCTTGGCAAGTTGTTTAGATTGACCAATCACAGAAGGCATTGGAAACGCGACAAGTGGAATCAACAACCGAGTCCACTCCACTCCTCAACTTCCACTCATCATCCAATTGTCGACGTTATTTGGTGAGCACCTTGACGGCCGCACATCGTGACACTCAATTACTGTCATTCGTCATCGCAACTTCCATCTCGTAGGATCAGACGAACTCAAAAGGCAGGCGCGTGGTTAACAAAGAGTCGGTCAAGATGGTCAATCTAGGAAATATCTGGCAAAACCTTCTTGCCTCACAAGCTCCTCTTCAATCCATGACAGGAAACGCAACCACCATGTCTGGCCTCGCGACTTATACGCTGCCACAGCTGCCGTATGCCTACAATGTAAGCCATTGAGGATGCCTTGTCGTATGAAATGGTGTCTGTCCTGCGACCAATGCGGCATGGAGATGACGAGTAAGGAAGAACAAGAACACCATGATGATGTCTAACACCAGCATCCCTATCTAGGCTCTGGAGCCCTACATCTCGGCCCAGATCATGGAGCTTCACCACAGCAAGCACCACCAGACCTACGTGACCAACCTCAACAACGCCCTGCAAGCCCACGTCGCCGCCATCACCTCCAACGACATCCCCGCCCAGATCGCCCAGCAGCCCGCTATCAAGTTCAACGGCGGCGGCCACATCAACCACTCGCTCTTCTGGAAGAACCTGGCCCCCGCCGATACACCAGAGACCAACCACTCGGAGGCGGCCCCTTTGCTGGTGGCCGAGATTGAAAAGACATTCGGCAGCTTTGACGGCTTCAAAAAGGCCTTCTCTGCTGCGCTCTTGGGCATCCAGGGTAGTGGCTGGGGCTGGCTCGTCAAGGAGTCTACTTCCGAGAACAGCAGCAGGCTGCGCATCGTCACCACCAAGGATCAGGATCCCGTCGTGGGCAGCGGTGAGGTGCCCGTTTTCGGGGTGGACATGTGGGAGCATGCGTACTACCTTCAGGTTAGTCGGTTGTTTTTGTTTTTTGTTCTTGTCCTTGTTCCGTGACCCGTCCCACCATGACTGACACAGTTTACCCCTCTTTTTGCAGTACCTGAACGGAAAGGCCGCGTATGTTGAGAATATCTGGAAGGTGATCAACTGGAAGACGGTTGAGGGGCGATTCCAGGGTAGTCGTGAGGACGCCTTTGCAGCCCTCAAGGCTCTGCTATGATTGTGGTCGTGGTCGTGACCTTGTCGGCTTGACGGATTTGTCGCCGCTATTTTCTTCCTTGCGTGTCGACAAATTTCAGGATGTTTACTACTCGTTTACCAGCGACTCATGAATACAATGTCTTTTTCCTTCATTTTTCTTTTTCCCTTCGCCCCCGTCTTTGTTCCCCGTCACTGCTTATCTTCAACACCTACCTACCCCCACTTGGGTATGACTATCATGTTTCAGCGCCCCTTTCGAGTACGGTCCCGAACTTCCAGAACTCTGTCTTGTCTGTGTCCTACAGCCACGCACCAACCTCTTGAGAAGACCTGAGCAACAGGAATGACAAGCGTGCCCACGGGCTAGAAAGAGCTTACACGGGTACGATAGCAAATAGCTGGAAGTTTCCGGTGTTTGCTACTCCAATTTTCCGTTTCACGAACTTCTATCGGCTCTTGCTCATCCCTTTTATATGTCACCGACCCCCTGACATGTCAAAATGCACACTCCCATTGTGGCGAACGCCCCAGTATGCAAGATCTCTTTGACAGAATGCACCCCGGGCTAACTCCCAGGACGGACGTCACGGAGAGGCCTGGCTGGTTGCCTTCCCGCTCCGCAACGCATTTGATCGGGACTGCAGGCTTGCGCTACCTGCACAACGGCAAGCTACGTAGCATGAGCTGCAGGAACCAGAAGCTATACTGACTGACCAGGGATGAACTCCCAACTTTATAGCTCCGAATGACCGAGACAGCCTCATCCCATTTACTTTTCTGTTCTCTTCCATTGACTACTCACTGATAGGTAGTATCCTCGGTTGAATTATGTTCACAAGTGCCACGTCTGTGATTCAGGAACAGGACAGCAACACCTCGTGCGTATGAGACAACTTCGTCCTATATCATAACGTATCATGGCATCCGAGCACGGTAGCACTGGCCTGAGGTTTTCTGGATGGAGATGAGACACGATGCCAATATTTCACCAGACAACACACCCCCACATGGTACAATCCAGAGCCCAACTATCCTCCCTCCTCTTCGCATCCGACGGGACGAAGCGGGTGCTCATCCGGAGTCACATACAATCACACAATCCCGCTATTGCTCAATGGGTCACTGGCAATTAGGCGACTTTGCGCTAGACCTCCTCATGCACACAAACTACAAATCGGGAATTTTTGTCAAGATGACTTCCATTTGATGCTGGGGTTCGGACATTCCCCTGCTGTGCTTGGCCACGCGGTATACCCTGGATAAGGGCCCGTGTATTGGTGAGTAAACATCTTTGCGGTAACGATGGCACCAACATAGCGACTAAAAGCCAAAAAAAACCAAAAAACCATTGTTAACCGGTACAACCAAAGGGTTCCTGCTACCCAAAGCATCACAAACCAAATGACAGGCTCGGAAAGCCGCATCTGTTTCCCTCAAGATATGTTGTCTCCCCGTCATTGCATGTCCTGCGGCCGGGGCGAAGGCCTATGGCCGGGGACTCATGCTGTCCTTTTGATGCCGGCAGCCGTATGCTGATCGAGTTGATCGACAGCACAATGCTGCAGAAAGACAGGAGCGAGCTACCTGACAAAGGATATTTGGGAGTGTTGTCGTGGATCGGGATGGGCATGCGGAAGGGTTTAAGGATAGATATATAAAGCTTAAACTATCATGAGAGCATTCACCTTCCGTCAGCACGGCCTCCTTATGTACTTCCACTCTTGGACTGTTATTCCTTCTCTCCTAGCCCCCAGGGTGAACTGTAGCCACGATGCTTGCATTTGTTCATCTTGCCTTACTGGGCATAAGGTACGTGCTATTCCAGCGTCAAAGAACTGAGAGATTAGAAATTAACATTGAGAGAAGCTTCACTGCCGTCAATGGCATGCCTAACAGTCTTGGGCGGCGCCAAGGGTATGGCCAGAATAACGGAGAAACGTGCACGACAACCCACACCATAACGGTTCCTGTCACCTTGGTGGACTATACCTACACAACTATCACAATCTCCGCGGATACAGGAGGCACACCAATTTTCCCATCAACTGTCACCGTTTACTCTGGCTGCCCGAGCTCCTTGAGCAGCATCCCCGGATTGTCATCCGATTCTGCCAGCTCCTCCCAAAGTAGCAGCACACCGACAGGATCATCAACTACCACAAGCCCCAGCCAACCCAGCTCTAACGCCACGTCCAGTTCTACATCAACTGCGTACACTTCTACCGCCCTTCCACTCTCCTCCTCGTCCCCTTATGGTTCATCTAGCAGCGGCACCGCCTTCCCGCCCGGCGACTCAACGACACAAACGGGCTCCCCGTTGTTTGGTAACTCAACCACATATGCCGGTACATCGACTTCATCTGGGGATATTCCCGGAACAGGCTCAACGGCTGTGCCAACCGCAAGCAGCTCCACGGAATCTTCCAGTAATAGTTTATCCTTGACCGAAACTTCGACCTTGAGCACTCGTCTTCCCATTCCAACTAGTCTTTTCAGTTCTTCTTCTGAGACACCATCTACCTCAGACTCATCTTCGGAAGCGACACCCTCTTTGGGGACCAGCAGTGACAGCAGCGTGATATCATCATCTTCGTCACGAGGATATGGCTCGATCAGCTCGGCTTCTACCTACACGAGAGACGATGTTGACGCTACACCGGGCACCACCCGCACCATCCACCTTACCAGCACCGCAAGCACAACGACCATAGTGGTAGATGGGTCCATAGTACCTGGGACCACAGTCATCGGGACCATATTCACCGGGAGCACAGCAACTGGTAAACCCAGTGTCGGCACATTTGAGACGACCGTGACAGTGACACAAGTAGTCACCGCAACCGTGGACATCCCGAATGAACTGGCAACTACCGTTACCGACAATGAGACAGGCTTTTCTGATTCTACGTCGGTCGTGGTCATGACTTCCACGGGCCATGTTATTGTCACCATCACGCCCAGCAGCATTCCTTCTGCAAGTATCCCGGAGATTGACACAAGATCGGTGGTGGTCCTCACATCCACAGGCCATGTCACTGTCACTGTTATGCCTGGTGTCACCTCTGCAGGTATTCCGGATTTTGACACAAGCGCAGCAGATGCGCTTTTCACTACTACCAACTCTGCTGCCCCGTCGGTTGTTGAGGGTGCCCCGGCGAGCTACAACGAAAGCGAGGTATCTTACCAGCCCACTACCAGCTATGAAGCGACTTCTTCATCTTCAATTGCTGGTAGTGTAACGTCAGCGGACGTTACGAGTGAGATGTCGACAACTGAATATTCGACCAGCACACAGTCGCCAGAGTCTGTAACTGAGTCTTCAGCAATATCTGGGAGTTCAGAGTCTACCACGACCTCCCCAATTTCCAATCCAGTCCCAGTACCTTCGACCACTACACAATCAACAGATTCTGTGACCGAGTCAACCACGACGCCCGGGACTTCAGAGTCTACAGAAGTCTCAATGTCCATCAGCTCAACCCCATTGTCACCGACCAGCGATTTCCCTTCATCGAGCAAAGGGATTCCTTCGACTAGCCTCCCTGGTAGTAGCACATCTTACTGGTCCACTGATGACAGCACACAAGCTTCATCCGCCACTTTTCTTTCAGCTAGTGACACGTCAACTCCTACTACAACACCTCTACCGTCGTCCTCAGTCACCGAGACACTCATAGCTACTGTTACCTCTACGTGGTTAACGGGTGTTCCTGCGCCCTCGTTTACTTCAGTCTCACCATTTACTAGTCAAGACTCCTCAGACTCGATCCCAACACTCTCCACATCATACGACAGTAGTTATAGCTTTACTCTTCTCGTACCTACTTTTGAAACCTCGTCAGAAACGACTTCCTTCGCCAGTCAGACGTCGTCGGGGATCCCTGAAGAAGGGGCTAGTTCAACTGCCGCTGTTACGGGATCAGAAACTACATTGACGACGCCATCCCCAACAACGCTGTCTACGGTGTCGGTCCCGTACTCATCCCAGGTTTCTGGTGATGACTCGACTGCGACCTCTTCGGCTGAGGAGAGTGAAAGTACTAGTTATGGTGCGGAACTGAGGAAGATTAGTGGACGTCAGGACTTTGGGCGGATTCAGAGAGTATAAGGTGATGGGTCTTGGTTTTATAAAGGTAGAGATGCCCTTTTTTTGTTTCTTTTGACTGCGAATTTGCAGTGTAGTGGTTGTTGGTGAAGATAAGAAGGAACAAGGAGAGTATGGGTTCAAACTGTACTTGCGTTGCTCAAGGATGTTTCCAGGTAGAACACACAAGACATTGATCACAAGAAGGGAATAACAGATAAAGGAAGATGTGAACACACAGGCAAAATTTCCCGTCTACATGATGGTTGAAACGTAACCGAAATCTACCCAACGAAAATTCCTACCCATCCTTAACGCCAAATGCCAAATGCCAAATGCCAAATGCCATGCCGTGCCGTGCCGTGCCGTGTCATGTTATATGCCAATCATATACCCACAACCCAACTTTGTCGCTCATCCAAGAAAAGCATAAAAATGTCGGAAAATCAACCATCACCCATCATCCGTCCATCATCTTCTTACGCCTGAGTCTCATCCCAATCCGACCATCTCCTCACAACCTCATCAATATCCGCCACCGCCGCCCTCGTGTTATCCACCTCAAACCACTCCTTATGCTCCTTCCCGCACGAAGGGCACTTGCCGCGGTCCATAACCCTCAGCCCGCGCCCCTGCAGCTCGATGTGGATGAGCCTCTCGACTTTGTGGCTGTGCGGCATCTTGCGCATCACGTCGCTGGTGCTGGACGACGAAACATAGGGGTAATATCTAATCAACGAAATGTTGTATCCGCACTGGCGCTGCCACTCGTTCAGACGGCGCTGCACATTGTTGGCGCGGCCGATCTTGAGCAGGATCTTCTTGTTTTTCTTCTGTGCGCCGCCGCCGGCACCGCCCCTGCCGCGACTGCGAGGCTCATCATCGTATGAGGTGGCGTAACGATCGAGAGCGTCGCTGGCCGCCCGCCCGCGGGAGGTCGATCGCGATCGTGGGTTGGTGGTGAGCAGGGCCTTGGCGGCCTCGTGCGGCGGTGTCGCCGGGTCGCTTTCGGGCGTCAGCCAGAAGATGTAGATGTAGCCGGCCTCGTCTCCAGCAGAGAAGCCCTTGGCGAGTTCCTTCATCAACAAGGAAGCTGTCTCGGGGGAGGCGGAGTGCGGGATCAGGGACATGAACTGTGCCGTCTGGGAAACGTTGGAGCCCGCTGGGGGTCGTTGGCTCGACGAGCTCGGTCGCGGAGAGACGCCATTGGGCGCCAGGTGGGAGGGCCGCGAGGATCCATGGTGCTGTACGGGCTTGGCTTGTGGTCGCGGCGGCGGAGCTTGTTCCTCGAGCTCGAGGTCTAGGGGGATGCTGAAGCAGCAGCACCAAAGCGAGGAGCTCTTCTTTTGCTGCGCCGGTCGTGGAGGTCTTTGGTACTGCGCTGATGGCCGTACTTGGGCCGAATTGGTCTTCATCAAGCCCAGACGCTCAGCTAAGGTGTCGAGACTAGAACGCTCCTCGGCAATGGCGCCGTGGGTTGGTCGGACGGGCCCGGGAGCCGAATGGGCAGCCAGGCGAGCCTGGTCTTTGTGCTGGTGGCAGTAGAGGCGCTCATCGGTCGGGTCGCTGACCTTTACTTTTCCGCCTTGAGGGAGACTGTTGGGGCGTCTGCAGGGCCGGCCCGAAGACGTGATTCCGCGACATGTTGTTGATGGGTTTTTGGAGTCGTTTCTGCCAAGCCTGGCCTCGGGGGTGTTTGTGAAGATGGGCATGGTGGAGGCGGGTAGGTCGGTTAGGCGCAGCCCGTAGCGGAGTTCGTTGTCTTTGACGGTCGAGTCTCGCGAACAAAGGAATTTGTCTCTGTGTCTGTGGTCGAGACAGGATCGGGCTTGAGGGGCAAGACAGATAATGATGAGGATATTGATCAAGAGGGAACTGAAGGGCTGGGAGAAGGAAGACAGAAAAAAGAATATTGACCTTCTTGTGACCCCATCCCCAGCCCCCAGATGAAAAGACCCTTGCAACAGCGCCCAGCTTGATCCATCGCGACCCGCATCGTTGGCAGTGAAGAGACTGGGGGCCGGCGGTTATTCGCTGCCCTAGAGGCTGTTGATCCGAACTGCCCATTCAACTGATGGAGCACCGCCTCACAGCCTGTGTTCGCTCTTGCAGGGCACGTTGGTTCAGGGTCCACACTGATTCATCACCAAGCAGGAGCGCCCCAGTTGGGTTGCGACCCAAGAGGCCTCAACTTCCCCGTTACAGTACTGGATTTTCCAGCGATCTCCCCAGTGAATTCAGGCACCGAAACGCCCGCTGATGTCACGTCCCAAAGCATCTGCCATCCAATCGTCCCCCTCTTCCCACTTCCCCGGAATCGACATGTTCAATGACAACACATCTCGTCGTCAATTTCCTTGACCGTTTCTTGTCATCGAGGACAGAAACAAATCGGATTGAGCGGCACCATGAACCTCATTCTACCGCGGCTACATCATTCGACCAACACTGCAATCTTTGCGCGCATGGTGAAACAAAGACCATGCAGTGACTGACGGGACTCGACCGACTCGGAATCTTCAATTGGAATGAGGGAAGCACAGGAACATTCCATCCGCCAAAAATACCATTCACCTTCTCAGAAAAGTCATCATGGTCACCAACGGACTTCAGCAGCGTGGCCTGACACATGGCTTGCTGTTTCTGACAGAATTGTTCGGTACATACCGGTGACTATGGAACTGCCAAGTCTCGTGATCTGCACTGCACTCTTGGCACTCAGGCACAAGGAGGTCATATACTTACATAATGTGCTACTATCCTAACTGCGACGCTGCCACCATCAACTTCCTTCCGACCGGGAAGCATCTCAGGATAAGCAATTCAAAATGTTGAAGCCTCCAAGCATCTAGTACGCGAGAAGACACTATTATTGTGCTTCATGTTTTTTTTATCTTACCACACCGGCTGAATGCAACACTGAAGGAAGTTTGTTCTTGTTGTCGGACCTCCCCATCTTCTCAAACACAACGCGAGGGAGGCAAAGGGGAAACAGGAGATGGCTTACTCTTTTGGTGTTGACTCTGAACACTTGGGTATAATCCTCCAGAGTTTGCCAACATGTCGCTGCAGTCTAATATGTTCTTGCTTGTTCTTCAAGCACCAATTTCTGCGACAACAACGATGTTGAACTATTGCTCATCAGCATCTCTCACCAAAGGACCACTTGACCGAAAGGGTCAAACCCCGAGCCCGAAGCTTTGTACAGTACACGATACTAGTAAGCAGTTGTACTTCTCTCAAAACTGCCGAGACGCGCAGTCAAGCGGTGCCGGGCCCATCTCACTCCCGCCAGAGTTCTTTCGTGGCCCAGAAGCCCGAGATCAGATGAGTCGCTCCTTCCATCTTCTCCGGGAGACACTGACCGGAAGACACGCTTTCTACCCGACGGGACCGAGCCAAGTTCAAATAACGTGGAAGGCACCGGATCTTGCACATATTGGCTGTTAGGTATCTTATCATTCTGCCCTAATTCCTGCACCGGTTCAGCATTTCTCACAGATCGTCACATTCAAGTCCTCTTCCCGACACCCACACTTGGCATTCCGCCTCTCAAGCTTGTGATAATGACGCTGACTGAATAAACATAACACATTTTGTAATTATACTACAGACCATTGAAAGTTCTTTACTCTTCTCCCATAGTGACAATCGAGCGCTCGAGAACATCATCCCTTCCATATTTATCTTTCCGTACTACACGGACCCGACCCCTTCTCGCCAGCGTTTGCGTAAAGGACCTCGTCTGATTTTGTTGCGCAATTCCCGTCCCTCATCTACCCCACTCTTACATCCTCCCCATCGCAAATCTTCGACGCAAGCCCCAGAAGCAGATCTTGAGGTCCAGCCCAGCGTCATCGGCGAGTACCTCTCTCACCGTTCTAATCAGCGACTCAACGACCGAAAGAACGGCAGCGGCAAAGCACATGGCCACAAATTTAAGATTCTCGCATCACTAGATCGGTGATGAATACCATTCAACGATTTCTGCAACACGTCTGAGATCATTCTCAACCCAAGAAGTCGCGATTTAACCTTCGCTGCTCCTACGTTTCAAGATGTTCGGACTCACCTGGGATGAGCAAGCACAGCAGCACCTTGCTGAAGAGAAGCGCCTTGCGGAGGAGCAACGGAAGAAGCAGGAACTTGAACTCGGAAGCCAAGACGACAGGAGTGCAATTGGATCGGCCATTACGCGACGTTCCTCGTCCACGGCGGATAAGTCTGGTGCCACGAGTAACTCAAAGGGCAGCGCTGTATCGAGGCTTAAGAAGGCCTTCCTAGGCACACGTCTGTCCGACAAATCTGACGACAAGCTGCGGCCAAGCTCTTACTACGGTCCTTCCTCGAGGCTGTCATCCTTCTTTGCCGAGAACAACTACATTACTTCTGGCAACTCGTACCAACTGGTCAGTGATGAAGTCAACCACACTGACGAGCGTCATAAGCTATCAAAGAATAATGCCATGGAAGACCAGCGCAACGAGCTATCAAAAGAGGATTCCGTGGATGACCAACCGAGAAAGCCCGCGTCGCCAAAGAAAGGCCAAGACAACACAGCACTGGAAGCACTGGAGGGCTTGAAAACGCCTCCATCCAAGCCGCCTGCTTTTGTCATCCTCACGACTCCTTCGACGCCGGAGAGTTCTGGCAGTCGCACTTCCAAGGATGACCCATCGAATGCAACACTTATCCAGTGGCTGAGTGAAGACTCATATATAACGAGGACAACCACTGTTACATACGAGCCTCTAGGGGACGCTGACGTGAATGACCAGGTCATGGAAACCACCATTTCGGTCGATCCCTCGCCCTTTGCCGCGGCCAAGAGTTCAAAACCGCAACCTTCACCCCCATTCGTATATCCTCCGGTACCAGCTGCGGCTGATGCGGTTCCGTCATTCTCATCTCTTGTCGACAACTGGTTCACCGCACTTCAGAGCCCCAGTAAAGCCGTCTCACCGAGTCCTCCAAGCGCGAATAATAGCAACACATCCGGCCCAAGCCCCGTCAAAGATTCGGCCGAGGCTCATGCTCCGACTTCAACCCAGGGCTTCCTTTCAGTTCCCAAGACCCCAGGTCTTCCCCCAAAATCAACCAAGCGCAGAGTAACCGACGCGGATGTCTGGAAGCCACCCAATGATTGGGGATGTCAATCTACTGCCGAGATGTTGCCAAAGATTAATGAAAAGCCGAACAAGCAAAAACCCAAGAACAAGGATGTGGCAAGAATAGAGAAAGACGTCGAGGCTATGGCAATCTCCAGCCCCGAGAAGATTTTATCTCGCCTGGCGCAAGGATGGGGCGAGCCGTCCGACACCGCGTCACACATGCAAGAGGAGCAAGATAGAAAGCGCTTGATGCTTTCGGTGCTCTGCGACATGTGCCAAACTACTATAACTCCGGGGGACATGGCGATCCAATCGCACCAAGACGCTGTTTACGCTCCAAGGCACAAAATCCTCGCCCTATTCGAGTCTGAAGGTAAGCCTACTTCAGTACCGAACACTTGCCGTTCCCTACTAACCTCCTCAGCAACTGCTTCCTATCTAGCTGCAACTTACTTAGAGGCCGCAATCACCCACCTCTCGCTCTCTCCGCTACCACACGATCTTTTTCCAAATGTACAGCCACTGTTTGCACCACCTAACAAGGCGTCCATCTCCTTCGCAGCAGACTCTTTCAACACAGTTCACTGCCTTTCACTGCCGTCACTGGTACCAGCCCACGAGATCCTCGAGGTTCTTAAGCAAGTCCACCGCTGCCTTGCTCCGAACGGCGTTCTGCAGTTAGTGCTGCTTGACCCCTTCCCAGTGGCAAGGCGACTCGGCCCTCGCACAAGAAAGTGGTTTGAGAAACACATACTCTCGAACCTGCAGTCACAGTCTCGCTGTGTCAGACCAAGTGCAGTCTTCCCAGGATTTCTAGAGGAAGCGCAGCTCCGAGTCCATGAGGAAACATGCACCAAGACAAAGTTCTTGGCCATACCCCCAGATTCCACAGATGTGTTCAATGATGATCAAGAGCGCATCCAAGAGGAGCTCCGAAGCGTTGTTGGCAGAATGCTGTGGCAGGAGGTTTGGGGGAAGATGGTTACTGGTGACGATAACTGGTGGGATGATCCCGAGTGCGTTGAGGAGTGTTCTAGGCTTGGGACCTTCTTTGAGTTCAGCCGGATTGAGGCTGTCAAGGTCGGCAATACCGAGGCTTTGGGGGCTTTCAGCGTCGGTTGCTGATGCTGAAGATGGGATATACTCAAGCTTGCAACCAGAAGAAGAAGGCAAGAACCAGCTTTCAGCGTTGTGCGACAGGTACTTGGGCACATTGAGATCTTTTCCTGAACTCATTGTCCGTTGTCCTGGGAATCCAGACCAGTGTCTTTCCCTTTCCATGTCTTTCTCTTGTTCGTGTCTTTCTGTCTTCATGTTGACCATATACTTGCTTTCATCTTGCTTTGACGAACGTCTTGATACCATGTTAGGCAATGTCGGTTATGAATAGGTGTTTGGGTTGGATGTAATAGCTGGTGAGGGTGAGAGAAATAGGGTACATATGGATCATGTCGGTTGTTGCGGAACAAACCGGAGAGATGTTGTATCTTGACAGTGCCATAAGAGGACGTGGCGTTGACTTTTGCCGGAGTAACTTGTCGAGTCATGTAAATAACTAACCCTTAATCAGTAATACCGTTGTGACATCCATCCTCTCCTGTCGACTGACATCCCCGTTTAACACTTTCCCCTGCCGACAATGGTCGATGTCGGGGCAGGGTGTCATATCCCCAACAAAGCCTGGATGGACACTCAATCGTCACTCCCGCTCAACTATCTTGTTTTCTCCCAAACTACGGCTGATGAAGATTGAACGCACTGTAAGAGTTCTAATTCTATTGGCAAGGTAATAATCGAGATTTCATCAACCAGACCAGTCACTCGTCAACATAGACGCACATAACCACGAAAGCTGATTTTGTAAAATCAAGGGTTAGGGTCTGCTTATTGTCATAAGCGTTGTTAATATATCAGTGTATACTTGGAGTGACATTTTGTACCTGGGCTGCGAGTATCAATGAGCTGAGCTCAAACGCTGGCAACACGTTTTCTTCGGAATGCAATTTGATTGACTGGCAGGTACCTTAGATTCGCCTTTCCTCCTTTTCCCAGCCGGGCTTGAAAGCAACCAGTCTGCGTAGCAGCAGAGTCGCCATTCTGAAGCGCCCCATGTTGACCTGTAGTGCCACGGCTCTCTCATTCTTTGAGCTCCATCCACAGCAAGCATAACTTGTCGAGCCGAGAACATGACGGAATGAATGGCATGTGCCAGACTACAAGTGACCTGTCTGTCTCCGAGACGTATTGTTTGGTAGATATGGGTATGGTGGGGGGTGGTGGGGGTCGTCGTTATGGAGCCATCGAAGGAAGAACCCGGTCATCTTGTGGTCAGGTCGGTTTGATCCAGAGGCGGGGGAACACGGTGCGTCTGGAACGAGACTTCGGTCGAAACCTCTTCATTTTCGCCCTCAACGGGGCCCCTTCCAGAATCGGATGAACTCAAGGGGGGGGGGGGGGGTTATTCATGATAACGGGTTGGTCGATAAGGTAATCATCCGTATCTATACCAAAGAAACCAACCCAAGCCTTCTTCCTCTTTCCACTGCTGCAAAGGGTATCTTGAACGCTTCTCCTCTTCCTCTCCTAGTTTTGCTGATGGCACATTTTCCCCCTCGTCTCCATCTCGCATCATGTCGTGCCTTGTTCTTCTTGATGATCCAGATCCCGTGTAATTATCCCCCAACGCCAGTTGTTGTAAATGCATGGTTATGTCTGTGTGGTGGTGTGCTTTGCTCAAAGGGGATTTTAAGAAAAGTCCATCTCGACCTCCTTGGTGGCGGGGGTCTCCTCGGCCTTGGTCTCGGCGCTCTTCTTGCTGGTCTTGCCTGTGTTGTCGCAAACTTGTTAGCTCGAGCCCCTGCAAACAGTGATTACTCTGCGCTTCCTCTCCTCCTTCTGGCCATCTCTCCCCTTCCTCCCCCCACCGTTCTTCCCCTCCCTCGTTTCACCCCATCCCAAGCAAAAAAGAGTATAATATAAGAAATGAGAATCGTGTACTAACCAATACCCATCATCTCCTCCACCTTCTCCACCTCCATCTTGCTCAGTCCCTCCTTCTCCATCTTGCGCCTGATGGCATAACCCATCTTCTTCTCAAGCTTGCGCTGCGCCTTCTTGCCAAGCGCCTTCTTAGGTCCGCTATTGGGAAGCAGACCGGGACGGGCGCCGCGGTTCTGGTCGTCCCTGGTGATCTTGTGGATCTTCTCCATCTTGCCCTGGGCAGACTCCTTCTGGCGCAGCTTGCGAAGGGCAGCCTTCTTCGCGATGAGGCGGTTCTTGGAGGGGCCGTTGGGGTTGCGGACGGAAGGCATTTTGGCGGTGGTTTGGCTGGTTGGTTCTGGGGTGGGTGGTTGTTGAAAAGCTCGAGAAGGGGGCTGGGGATTGGGTGGGAAGACTGAAGAGAGGTCGATGTGTTGTTGAGAAAGTCAAAGGTAGGAAGGAAGATGGGATGGGGAGGCAGGGAGGTTGGAGATAAGATTCAGATGGATGGCAGATCTGAACTGGACTTGAGGTTCGTCCGGTGGAGGCGACCGAAGGAACAGAAACAAAAATTTTGTGGGGATCGCTGGAGCCAGTGTGACGTTGATGCATGGCTTGGCGGTCTAGGGGACTTATAAGTGGGGCTCTACTGTGACTGCTGAAGAGCCGCTGAGAAACAGTTGAACAGTGCTGGAATGGGATGCTGAAAGTTCCCCTGAGTGGAAGTAAACAATCAGGAGGTGTAGGTAGTGATGGCTTGATGTCAGTCTCTTGCGCAACAAACAACTATTGATTAGATTAGGACGATATAAGGACTATATATGGTGGTGACCAGCACCTTTTTTCTTGCTCACGGAATTTCAGGGCGGTATACAAAAAAACGGAAAACAGACAACGGCCTCTCCAACTGCTTAACTAAAAAAGTCCTCCCATCATAGTGATCCCAAGATCTTCCTTTCTATATTTCATCAGCATCATGTCTCATCATCAAGATTAGAAAACATCGTAAGTAAACATGAAGAGCGAGATGGAAGAACAAAGACAAGCACAAGAAAGCGGACGACAAATCCAACGAAGGAAAAAAAGACAACAAAAAAAAGCAAAACAACTTCCCCTCCCCCTTCCTGGAAATCAAATCAAGATCGACACAGCCGTATTCCCCGGATCTAGCACCATATACGGCAAACTCCCCTTCTCCATCGCCCTGCTATTCTCCCACACAGTCGTCTGCGTCTCCCTCAGCCTCTGATACAACCTCTCACTAGCCTCCGCAACCATCTTTTCCCTGCGTCCCTGCTTGGTCTTATGAACGCGCCACATACTCGCCGCGTAATTCAGCAGTGACCGATCCTGCGGTGCTCTGAAGCTTAACAACCAGGGTACCTGCGCCGACAAAAGCCATTGGCGCTGCCGGTTAATGGGCAACGAAGCAACGAGGTCGTGTTCTTTCATCTGCTGCAGCTCCGAAAGGGAAGTAGGCGGCGCGGTGCACAGCATAGGCGGTTTAGCAATGACGAAAGCCTGGTAGAAATTCTGGAGGTAGTTAACGGCCGAGTGGAACGAGGTGGCGGTGTGGATGCACATTGTTACTGCGTCCGTGAGGGAGTAGAGGTCTCTGATCTCGGGAAAGGAGGACATGTGAGCGCCTCCCTGACGCATTTCGGCGCACCAGGACTGGATGTATTGATCTTGAGCGACGGATTCGTCTGACGGATAAGAGAGGGCGAGCATTTCGGAGACGTAGGACCGTAGGACGGTCCAGAGGGCCAGGACGTCCTTCGCGTAGGCGTAGTTCCGGTATTTTGTGCTGGAAGAAAGACCCGAGGCTGTGTTGGGGAAACCACGGCGGGCGAGGTCGTTAGGGACGTAATTCCCTACGAACTCGTAGGTGTCGTAGGCGTGGCGGATGAAGGAGTGGCATTGCTCGGGCGAGATGCCGACTATGTCGACGATGACTTGCGGGACTAAAGTGGCGCGGGCCGCGGCGTTGACGGAGAGAGTCTTGTACCAGTGAGGCGAGAGGAGGCGGTAGACGGGGTGTTCCATAGGTAAGGACCGGTTGGTGCCGACGATGATGGCTTCCTCGACCAGGTGGGCGAGCGTGAGATGGACGGTCAGCTCGTGGCGCATCCAGTCGGTCACTTGGGCGCAGGTTTTGGCGTAGCGCCAGGGCCAGTCGGTCTTTTCGGTCCGAGTCGAGGCATTGGGAGTAAGACGTTTGTTGAATATGGTGACGGATTGTTCTACGGAGCCGCGGTAGTCGATGCAGATGGCGACCGGGTGGAGCTTGCCGTCGTCGTGAAGCTGGAAGAGACTGACGGCACCGACAGACCAGTTGTCGTCGCTGCCGGGTTGTTTGTGATGGAGGACGGCAGTATGGTCGGAGACACCGACGGCGTTGCGGAAGTAACTCCCGTCTTGGACGAAGAGAGATGCTGGGTCCGCGGCTTCCAGGGCTGAGATCCATTCGTTGTAGCCGCCAATTCTCGCGGCAGTGAGGAACTCGCCGATCCATTGCTTCCCAGCTTGCGTGATGGTCGTAGGGTTGGTACCAGTAAACTGCTGTTCGGCAAAGTGGCGGTCGCTGTACCAATCGTCTAGGAGACCGATATTTCCACCGCTGGCAATGTCGGTGCCTATCTTGCGATGAAACCTGTTGTAGTCGTCGACGTCCTGGATGGTGATGCCCTTCTCCGGTTCTCCTCCATAAGCAGCAGCGCGAGCCTTTTCCAGCAACCACTGCTTCGTCCGTCCAAGAAACCCATCTTCATCCGGAATGAGTTTCTGCAAGATGACTGCTGTTTCGAGCAGACCGGCAGTGTTGAAGACGCCAAAGACCGTGTAGTTCTGATTGACCGGGATATGCTGGAGATGAGGTGGGAACTCGGCAGGAGTTCCATCGGCGTTGTTGGGATATGGCGTGAACTGGTAGATGTTCCTTTGCTGTTCAAGTGAGACATATCTGGGAAAGGTAGGTTCAATACCGAGCACGTCAAAGAGAGAGTTGAATCTACAGGGGAAGTCAGTTCAACATCTTGGTTTCTTGGCAGACGGTGTTCACCGCCTCATAACTGTAACCACACATCAACTCACCTTTGTTCAACACGCTCATACGCCTGTGTCAAGGCGAGCTGTGTACCCAGATATGTTCCTTCACGGACATTTCCTTCTGGCTCCTTGATGTTCTTGGGATCATTGGGATCAACCTCGGGATACAACTTCAGATCCAGCAGCTCACTGTGAAAAATGCCTGGATCGAAGGACGGCAGGGGACAGTCCCCAACTGCCTCGGGCACAACCTGTTTCAGAAAGTCCTTTTTTTGCTGGATGCTTCAGGATTGTCTTCTTGTCTGGTCTGGACGCTGCCTGTGTTGCTGTGGGGACAGGCAGAGACAGATCAGGAGCTGGGTTCTTGTGAATAAGTTTCTTCACGAAAGCGACAGCTCGGCGAGCCAGTGATCGTTTCGGGCGGGAGACCGCCATTGTGATTCTTCAGTTTCCCTCAGGGACCTTTTCTCTGGCGTGCAATGTGTGAGGGCACACAGATCCAGCTGTTGCCGAGATGGTATGAAGTTGAAAAGAACATTTTGTCGAAGCGGTGGACCACAATTCGGACTTGGGCTACCTGATTAAGGTTGGGCGTGGTCTTGCAAGATGACGTTAATGCGGACACCGCCCATTTGGCCATTTGCGTGCCACGCCCCGCCTCCCAGAAGTTTAATTGTGGTTTCCGAATAAAAAAAACATCAAAAGACGAGGTTGGGAAGCTTGGGATTGCGGAGTACCCAATCCAGGTACCGGTCAACCGGCCTAGCGATGTGGATGAGAGGCTGCCAACACAGCAGGGTCTACATGCATGAAGCATGAACTGCGTGATTTTGGGTCGCCGGTGCCAATGAGCGTCCATCAAGCTATGCCCATCTGGGTGGAACCATCGTTTGAGGCGCAGATTTTGGGAACTCGGCTATTGTTTTGGAAGCCTCAAAGAATGGAAAAGGAAGGGTTCTGTTCGTCGTTGTTGGGCGGATTTGGCACGGGTTGAAAATGTTCCAGATTTGAGTGCATTCCCAGGTTTGGTACTGTAGGGCTGGGGAGAAATCGACCGTGGACTTGTCTTGGCCAACCACGTATCATTGAACAGCTCCCAATGGCTAGCGCCATGATTTCATGGCTGATCGGGCATCTCCGTGCCTCAGCCGGAAGTCATTGGCCAATTATGTTGCTAGGCATTCATTGTTGCTGGTCCGTTGCTGGTGTTGACAACTTTGACATTTGTTTACTTGGTGACCTCGAATAACCAATGACAGGACTGTATAGTAGGTACTTCGTTAGTAACATATTTGGTTGTGGGAGGGCACTTTAAATGTTAGTGTTAGAGTACCTTAGCCCACTGAGTGATTGGGCTTTGACTCCGCCCAGCCTCTTTCTCATCCCCATCCGCCTAACGAACTGACCGACCACATCAAGGTCATCTCAAGCCCCCAAAATCATATTCGTCCATTTTGTACGCTTCCTGTACATGTTGGGTCTAACCTGAGGAAGTCAATATTGGCCGGCCAAATAGTTCCCTGTGGGAGCTGTATCCGTTTCAATCCGCCCACTACCCGACCTCCAGACTTGTCGTTCAGCCTGATTAGTACGGACGACGCACAACGGACGATGCCTCGGATTTGCCTCAACAAGTCGATAACCTACAATACAAACGGGCGGGAGTCGATGCCAGCGGTGTGCTTGCTCCAGTCGAAAATGATCATCTGGCACCATCCAACAACAGAACCGCCGCCGCCATGACTGCACGATATTGCGACGACTGCAAACGTATCGACTTCGACAGCAACAGTGTCGATAACGGAGTGACGGTTCCCTTGGTAAATGTCAAAACATGTCCTATGTGCTCCTTTTTCCACGCTTATCTTGTTCGCCGAGGTTTCAATTTCTCAGATTCAGCCAAGTTCGAGTTGAAGAGGCGAGATGGAAGAGGGTGGGTGATCCATATGATTCCGGATTGGTTTTACTCCATATCCCAGGAAAGACTGGGCTCCTACTTTAGGCTTGTCTATATCCAGGATGCCCGCGACTCTTGGCTTCCTAAAGAGGGCGAATTCAAGAAAAGGATATACCCACACTTGGTCGATTATGGTTTCATTGCAAAGTAGCTTGATGACTGCGACAAGTGCCACGGAGACGTTTGCTTCAACAGCCACTCAGATGCCGATCTTATTCCGGGGCTTCAGTTCATTGACTGCACTGCCCGGCGTATAATACCGGCATCCGGGGCTGTTAGTAGCCCGTACCTGACGCTAAGCTACGTCTGGGGTGCGGCTTCAGGAAGCACATCCGAGCATAACCATAATTGCGGCAGCTGGAGAGGACGCGGAGTATGGCTTGCCGGGCGTCGGCTTGAGGGCACGCAATCCACAATTGCGGACCGATTCTGTGGGTGTGTGTACTGGGGACTGGCTCCCACGACCACTCATAGCATATCACGTACCCAAAGAAGATATCAAATGGTCTTTCTGGAATACTCGAGGTTGGACATACCAAGAAGCTCTCTTGTCCAGGAGGCGCCTTGTCTTTACCGACAACTTTATATTTTTCCAATGCCAGAATATGGTTTACGAAGAAAGCCAGGTGACATCAAGACCAGGATTGGGTCGAACTTACGGGGACTTGGTTTTCCCACATCTCCAACATTTCGAAGACCACATCGTGGGATTGAGCGCAATCAATGAGTTCTCAAAACGCGATCTCTCTTTCGATCGAGATGCTTTGGATGCCGTCAGTGGCATCTTGAACATATATCGGTCACAGAGTACTCGTGACAGTGGTGTCGCCGTTTTGTACGGCGTGCCTCTGACACTCTGGGGTAAGTTTCCAGAGGAGAGACACAAGAGCCTTTGCGAAACAAGCGTCCTAATCCAGGGTTTATCATGGACGGGCATTTGGGAGGAAAAACCCATCGGTATTCGGAGGGCTGAGCTGTCTTCGACAAAGCTAGAGCGGCCACGGAGGAGCGAGTTCCTGAGCTGGACCTGAATTAGATGGAAATGTATCTCCGAGTACGAGTTGAATGTGGCTACCAACACTGGCTACGATTATTTAGCTCATGGAAAATGCCATCATCCGGGTAGTGTGTGAGGACGGTCAATTGGACCTGGCTTGGGAGGAAGATGCGGATAAAATTCTTGAGAAGTCAGTCGTTGGCCTGAACCCAAAGTTCTTGGACATCAAGGGGACAAGTTTCGACCTGAGCCTTGTCTGGGACCCCGAGATTGGTGGTTGGAAGTTTATTGAACCGCTGCCCTTCAAGCTATGGAGCCGGCGTGGTATTTGAAAGTATCCTATCCCACCGGACACCTTGGAGAAGGCGAAGGGAAAGTACATAAACTTGTTGCGCTGCTTCTTTCGCATTTTGTATATGAGTCGGAGCCACAAGTAGGGAACGATCGCGAGGTGATACACAGCATGAGACTGCTGTTACTTCAGCCAGTTAGGTACAGCGCTGGAAGATGGATATATGAGCGCGTAATATGTTCAGCGTTCGAACTGTGCTTTCTAAAATCGTAATATTGGTCGTTGTTGCGAGAATTTGAGGCCGGGCTTGAGGAGAAAGAGTTGCGACTGGGTTGAGTATGAATCGAGATCTTAGAGGTATTCATACCTAGTAGAGGTAGGTTCAACGAGACAGACTAGCAGAGAAGGAGGAGCGATGAGAAAATGGAGTCAAGTTTTGGCTTCTTCAACATGCCCTCGCGATACATGTCTGATACAATATTTCAGCTTCAATGACATGCCCGACAAGGGACCCCACTGTAGAGCCCTATGGGTACTCTGTCGGCCAGCGATAAGCCCCACTGCAACGTCCAGGGTCAACTGCTGATAAGGAGACCACCAACGACACTAACACCAACTAACACTAGCTCGACAGGTGCCAACGAACACCACATCTCAACCCCTCTTCTTGTCGTTTCTGCTCGTTTTCAGCTGCTGCCTTTTATTTAGTTTTTTTACCCTCTCACTCATTCGTAGCTGCTTCAGTTCCCCGAATATACACTCGATTATTCAGGAACTCGCAAGTTCCACCGGCGCAGGCGCCTGCCTCATTGGATTCTTTGTTTCTTCCCGTGAGCTTTTCACTTGCTGCTAGAGCGCCGCTATCACAATGAGCGACAGCGACACCCAACCCTTGTTGCGCATCCTCACTGCCATAATCTTCATCCCCTCGCTCCCACTCTGTATCACTCATGGCGTTCTCTCACACAACCCCATACCGGCCGTTGGGCTCGCTCCCATGGCCCTCTCGGCCGGCTACTCGGTGTTGCTTTTGACCTACCGCCGCCGCAGCAAGCACAAGCAAAACAACCGTCGGAGCATCGGACATGTGGAGGGAGACAACGATCTCGAGTCCGTCAGGAATGGAGACGAGGCTGGAATTAGCTCCAGTGAACCACTCATCGAAGGTGGAGCGGAAGAGCCGGCATATGCGGCATCGGAAAGGTCTCAAGCAGAGCTGACAGCCGCATGGGAGGAAGAAGCGGAGGAGAAGAAGACGCCTCTCTACGCTCACACCATCTTCATCTTCTTCGTCGACAGCATCCTCGCCGCGGGCGTCATGGTCGTTCTCGTTTTCACGTGGATCAACACACAAAAGGGCCGAACAGGGATCAACAATCCAGTCTTGGGCGGCAAGCTGGCCATGTTGGCCGCTTACGCCACCATTCCTTTGTTGGCAAACTTGTAAGTTGTTCCCCCTCAATTCTGAACTTCCTGGCCTCGTACTGTACAGACAAAACTAACATCCGTCGCTCTCCCCTCTGAGAAGTCTGATCCACACCTACCTCGCGCTCCGCGGTTTCGCCATCGGTCTAGCCCTTTACCCGCTAATCCAATATGCCGCCTGGCACACCCTGCCACCCGACTGCCCTAACTGCAGCAGCCGTCTGCGCCCGGCCGCTCGCCCGAAGATCCCTTGGTATGACTTCGTCTCGCGACCCAGCCGACCGACTTTCAAGGCACCCAAGTGGTGGTCCCACCATCAGCAGCGACGGACGGTGGTGGATGTGGTGGGCGCTGGTGGCGTCGATGATGATGCGACAGCGAGACTCTTCGTGAGGAATGAAGACTTGGAGAGTGTGAGCCATCTTGGAGAGGATGTGGTGGCGGTTGAAAGGTATAGGGATGAGCCCGACGCCAATGGGGATGCAGAGGTGGAGAGCGTTGAGGCGAGGAGTTATAGGGATGGGCCTGAGGGCGAGGACAATGACCGCCAGGAACGGGAGCAAGAGGGGCAATTAGAGGGGCAGGGCGAAGAGGAGCAGGAGCAGCAGAAGAAGGGACAGGTGGAAGAATTGTTGCAAGTGCAGCCAGAAGGCCAGGAGGAGGAGGAGGAGGAGGAGGGTCAACAGAAGCAGCACCAGCAGCCTGAGCAACAGCAACAGGAAGGGGACAATGATGCAAGCAGCGAGAGACTCGAAAGGGTTGAGACCCGCGACCGCGCTTTGACACCTGCTCTGATCTAAGCAGCTCAAGGCAAGGGGTGAACCGGAGAGAAAAACAAAAACAAATGCTCTCTGTTATTGCGCGGGGTGCTTACGGGGGCGAACAAACCCGGCGAAGACGGGTTGGATTACGATGTTACGACGTGCAAGAGCACACTCAAAATGTTGGACATGGTCACCGCGTGGTGATGGAGCGTTGAAAAAACGGAAGGTCTCACGTGTTACAAAAAAATGCTTTCTGTTTCTGCTTCTTTTCTTTCTTTCTTCGCATCTAGCATGTCTCGCGCGAGCATTTACGGATCGCATACACGGTAGTTCTTGACGGCATTTAGTGCTAGATACCCTCCTCGGTTCTGGTTTGGGACCCGCTAGATTTGTCAAGATTTCTTTTACATACACACGTTTGGTTGTCGAGCAGGTAGTCGGACAATGTAGACCGAAAAGTTGGGTGGCAAAGCAATGCGTCCTTAGTGTGCTACTGTATCTGGAGTGAGAGTGGTCCATTCGTGAGGCCTGATATGGAGAAACACACATCTTCATGAAGTGAGGTTCTCGACAATGTTTTGGGCAAGCACATCAAGTAAATAAGAGGGAACTCGGATGTTCGGACTAAGGCTGACCGAGGGAAAACCCTGAAACGGTGAAGGGAAAGAGGGGAATTTGGAGGTCGTTATTGGCAAGGAGAAAAGGAAGAATCTCCAGACTTTCGCTTTCAATTATGATGCTTATGGACCAGCCTAAGAAAACGAAATAAGGAAAGGGAAACAAAGATCTGGTGGTCGAGATCCTCGGCAAAGCTCACCGACCTACGCTGATCACGATCCCATTTCGAGAAGGAGCAACGTCATGAGCAGTGGAAAAATAATTCCCCAAATCAATTTCTCCCGTCTGCATTCGCGGTCCGTCAACCACTGCAGAACTAAACTTGGTTGGCTCCTCTTCAACCGCGACTCTGCTACAAGCGCAACAATACCATTCGACATTGGCCATCGCGAATCCCCTCAATGCGACACTGCCGACTTCATGACCAGTCTATCCCAGGAAACACTCCGAGTCAACGGAAACCAATTCAAAAATCATGAATGATGATTGGGATTACCTCGACAGAGACCCTCCGGGGGAAGTGATCGTCAGTAGAGGTAACTTTTTCGAGACTTCAAATACGGCCGGACTCCCATTTCCGGGAAAGACTGCAACCCTTCATCGGCTTGGACACTAGACATTCAAAAGGGCAGTCTATGATGCGCTTCATCAACAGGGCCCTCAGGTCGCCGGCCTGTGCCCTCTTACTACTATCGTCAGGTCTTCAGTATGTCCTAGGAGCTTCTAGCCCATCCTCAGCTTGGCCTATTCAGGGCAACGACCTCCAAGACCAGATCCAATGGGACCACTACAGCATCATCATCAATGGCGAACGACTGTTCCTTTTCGGCGGCGAGATGCATCCGTTCCGATTACCAGTTCCTGAACTATGGGAAGACGTCCTACAGAAAGTCAAGGCCATGGGCATGCGCATGATCTCCATCTACACCCACTGGGGATTTCACGCTCAGACGCCCGACCAAGTTGATTTCGACACCGGCGCACACAACCTGACCCGCTTCTTCGAAATGGCCAAGGAAATTGGTCTTTACGTCCTTGTACGACCAGGCCCGTATATCAATGGCGAGTTGAACGCTGGAGGACTGGCACTTTGGTCGACCACGGGCGCCTATGGAGAGTCGCGGTCCAACGGGTCGGCATTCACCGAAGCATGGACTCCGTATCAGACTGGCATGTCCAGGCTCGTCAAACCGTTCCAGCTCACCGAGGGCGGAACGGTCATCATGTATCAACTGGAGAATGAATACGGCGAGCAGTGGAAGGATGTTGAGGCCAAGATACCGAACCCGAAGGCCGTGTCCTACATGGAGAAGCTGAAGGAGAACGCCATCGAGAATGGAATTGTGGTGCCTAGTGTACACAATGCTCCTAATGCTAATGGACGTCCTTGGTCGAAAGACTATGACACTGTCGGTGCTGGAGGAGATGTGGATATCTACGGTCTGGACAGCTATGTGAGTTTCTTCTCCAAGCGATTTCCTTCGTATGGTTTACTAACAGAAATACCAGCCCCAATGCTGGTCTTGCGTAACAGAAGAATGCGGAAACAACATCAAGCCGTTCGCTGTTTCCAACTATCACGACCACTTCCAACTCGTATCCCCGAACCAACCGTCCTTCATGCCCGAATTCCAAGGCGGAGCCATGAGCCCCTGGCTTAGCCCGGCTGGTGGATGCGCCGAACGAACTGGAACCGAGTTCGTCAACTTCTATTATCGCGACAACATTGCCCAGCGCATCACAATTCTGAATCTATATATGATTTACGGTGGTACAAACTGGGGTTGGCTGGCGGCTCCTTTCCTGGGGAGCAGCTACGACTATGGTGCTGCAATCTCCGAGGATCGCAACATTGGCGGCAAATACTACGAGATTAAGAACTTGGGTCTGTTCACTCGTGCTGTTAATGAGCTTGCCTACACGGACCGTCTCGGTACCGGCATTAACTACACGAACAATACGAACATATTCACCACTGAGCTCAGAAACCCCAAGACTGGTGCTCGGTTCTATGTTCTTCGTCATTCTACGACGTCTTCGGCCTCTGAAGAGACCTTTGCCATTAATGTGACTACAAGTGTGGGAAGCTTTTACGTCCCCAAAGTCGCACCATGCCCCAAGCTCATTGGTCACGAGGGCAAGATCTTTGTTGCCGACTTTCACTTCGGCAAGCATACGCTTTTCTACGCAACAACAGAGGTCTTGACCTACAGTGTCATTGATGGAAAGACAACACTGGTGATGTGGACTCCTGTCGGAATCTCCGGGGAGTTTTATCTCAAGAGCGCCAAGAAAGGTACGCTAGCCTCCAGTAGCAAAGGTCAGACGGCCGTCTTTGACTGGCGGGATAAGGGTGTGCTTGTTGGTTTTATCCAGCGTGAGGGTGCGACTGTGTTGGAGTTCGATAACGATGTTAGAGTTGTCCTTGTTGATCGCAAGACTGCCTACAAAACTTGGGTTCCTGCTTTGACCAAGGATCCTAAGGTACCCGTGGATAAGACTGGTGAGTTCAGATTTCTTCTTTGGCAAATATCAGTTGCTAACGAAGCTTAGCCATTGTCATCGGGCCACATCTTGTTCGTTCAGCGAGCGTGCAAGGAAACACCATCTCCGTCACTGGAGACTCCACCAACGCGACCGATATCGAGGTGTTTACGTTAAGCCGCGTCTCTACTATCAAGTGGAATGGAAAGCAACTTCGAACCACAAAGACCAAGTATGGCACACTCAAGGCATCTCTCCAAGACCCGGCAAAGCTCTCGGTCCCCAAGTTTGGATCATGGAAATCGCAAGAAAGTCTTCCTGAAATAGCCGTGGGTTATTCCGATGACGGTCCAGCCTGGGTCATCGCCAACCACACCACAACACCCAGTGCCACCAAGGGTACCGTGCCTTACCTCTTCTCGGACGAGTACGGCTTCCACACAGGCATCAAGCTTTGGCGTGGTCAGTTCTCCAGCGAGTCCGGAGCTACGGGCGTCTACCTCAACATCCAAGGAGGAACTGCCCATAGCTGGTCTGCCTTCCTCAACGGCAAATTCCTGGGCTCTTACACAGGGGACCCAACAGTGGCCGCCAGCAATGCAACCCTCACGTTCACCAACGCAACAATCTTCACCAACCAAACCAACGTCCTCTTTGTGATGCACGATGACACAGGCCACGACCAACTCTCCGCAGCCCTCAACCCGCGCGGCATCCTCAACGCCACTCTCCTCACCTCCAACTCCGGTGCTACCCCCAAGTTTAACCTCTGGAAGTTGGCTGGAACAGCAGGCGGCTCTGATGCGAATCGCAGTACCCTCGATCCTCTACGCAGCCACTACAATGAAGGCGGTCTCACCGCCGAGCGTCTCGGCTGGCACCTCCCGGGCTTCGACGACTCCAACTGGTCCGACACATCAGCCTCCCCAGCGCAAGGCTTCGCCGGCCCAACAGTTCGCTTCTACCGCACTTCCCTTCCTCTTAGTGTACCCAAAGGGCTAGACGCCTCCTTCGCATTCAAGTTCACGCCCGTGGACACTTCCAACTTGAACTATCGCGCGTTCTTGTATGTCAATGGATATCAGTTCGGACGATATTACCCTTCTATTGCTTCCGAAAACGTGTTTCCCGTGCCGGCGGGTGTACTTAATCATGGAAGTGATAATGTTATTGGTCTTGCGGTTTGGGCGCAGACGGCAAGGGGCGCAAACGTGGATGTTGAGCTGGTGACGCGGTACGCAGTAGAATCGTCTTTTGAGAGCAGATTTGATGGGAAGTATTTGCAGCCGGGGTGGACTAAGGAGAGACTGAATTATGCGTAGGTGAAAACATCGGGAAGAATGTAGAATGGATGGTGGTTGTCGATTTCGGGATGGATTCTGCGACAAAAAAGAGACAAGCTCAACGACAAGAACAAGACTCGAACGTACGCCTTAGACTCCTCCGCTATTCCTCATCTGGCTACCCTCCTTCTGTTCTCTCGTCTCTGATTCGTCATACTTCACATGATGTCGCACAAGCTGCGCACATGCAACCACCTCCGCCAACGTGCCATCAAAACGGTAGGCCTCATTTCATGCCCACCAGCTCACTGCGCTCTTTCCTCATTACCTAAGTACGCAAAAAGGAAGAATAGTAAATAGAAAATCGTAAGTCACAGTCCGGAGGCGTACTCGCGGCTTATACTATTTTACCTTTTGCAAAGTATGACACCTAGCAGAGATTTAAATCCACTTAAGGTGCGCGCAAAGAAAAGGTAAAGGAGGTATAAACCGTAGTGTGCGTCCCGGGCTGTAACCGTTGAGAAAGGGACGGATTTGGTGCTTATGTATGAACCACGGATCAATTTGGGATTGAACTGGGGACAGCCTGTGCACGAGGGTGGGACAGGGTGTAGACCCTAACCCTCTTTTCCATGGGTGTTCCGGTCTCGCTGCGTTTATGAATTCTGGGGTCACGATGAAAACATGTCTCTTTGCTCCTACTTGATTGACTGTGTTCATAAATCAATCTGACGATTAAGAGACTTAATAAATCTTTTAAAAAAATCGATAGCTCAGGTTTACGGTCTGTTGGGACCATGGCTGCTAATGCAGGCAGGCAAGCGCATGAGTGTCCATAAGCCACAGGTACCTATGGACTCATCACTCTGCAGCCTCTGCTAAAATATCAAAACTCAGGTGGAAGATAATATCCATGTGTGTGTGTGTGTGTATGTGTGTGTGCAGTCGACAAGGGTGAAAGACAAAAGTCAACGAGGTGTAGCTGTTTTTGGTTTTCACGAGCACTGGTGTCAAATACAGTATGTATGCAATTATTCTCCCCAAGTATCAACACTATACTAACACAATTGTACAATCTTCACGAGGGCCCTTCTTTGACCACTGTGGTGTCTCTTCCTTCTAATCCCATCATTATCTCAAGTAAAGCGACGGAGGCACCTCTCTCTCTCTCTCTCTCCTTCCTCCTTCCTCGGTTCTCCATACAAACCAAATCGTACAATAATAACAACAACGGACTCTCTTTCCTGGGTATCATGCGTAATGTGATCATGCTTGCAGGTAAAACGCAAAATGAACCTCCAGTGTAGTACCTGTAGCGAAACGGAGGGAAATAGAACGGGGAAAGAAAAGCTAGCTCTACCATGACTGTTGGGAAAACAAAAAAAGAAACCACGCCAAAGCCATAGACGAGTGGATGCTTCTAATATACACCTTCAACACCTGAAATGCAAAGACAAGCAAGATACAAGTAAACAGGGGGGAAAAAGAAGAAGAAAACAAGGAAAAGAATGAAAGGGGTAAAGGGGGTTGCTTTAACTGCGGGCGCGATAGCTTGAGCTGTCAGGAACCGAAAGAGGAGCTGAGTGACTCCTCCACGCCGATGGCCTGCAGAAGAAGAATCCGGAGGCGGTCTTTAGGCATCATCTCGGCCTCTTGAAGATCCGTCTTTCGGACTAGCATCCCCTCCGGAATCTCCCCCACATTCTTGGAGGACATCCGCCTCATCGCCTCATCACCTCATCTTCCCTAATACGCTGGCGACGAAGACGCACCCGCACCCGCCACCGACGCCGCCACCGGCGCCGCGGCCGTCATCTGCACCGTCGGCGCCATATTATTATTGTTCGTCCTCGGCGTCGGCACTGGCGACACCGATACAGGCAGCGCCATAGCCTCCGTAAGCGCCTGCAGTTTCTGCACCAGTAACGTCGTCTGTTGCGTGTTTTTTTGGACTTGTTCTCTTAGTTCCTCGTTTTCTTGTCGTAGACGCTTGATTTCTTCTCGCAGTTCGGACGTCTCACCGCTACAACCATCTAGGTCATCGCGACGTCGTTTTCGTTTTAGGGATGTTAGAAGTTGGTGGTGGGAATGTGATGGACCGGGACCTGCTGATGGGGTTTGGTGCTGGTGGTGGTGTTGGTGTTGATGTTGGGCATGTCCGCCGAGCGTGTCATCACTGGTTGCCTCGTCGGATTCGATGTCGTGCATGTTGGTGCAACCATTTGATAACCCCATACCCATCGCCATACCCATACCCAGGCCCATGCCCATCCCTATCCCGCCGTTTGTTGTTGTTGGTGTTGTGCCATCAGCATTATGGGTATGGACTCTTCGGAGATGCTCATTGAGGTTTTCGAGCCGAGAGAACCCCTTGCCAGTGGCGCGCTTGCAGCTTTCATGCGGACAATGCAACGGGTTTTTGGGCCCGCCGTGCTTGCCGTGTACTTCGCGCTCGTGACGCAGAAGGCCGCCGGAGTAGGTGAAGCCTGGTAGCTTCTCGCAACCTACGGCGCCGCATTTGTAAGGGCGGTCGTGCTTGTCCATGTGTTTACTGTTTGTTTGAGAAGAAATGGATGGTTGGTAATTTTCTTGATAAAGGGAAAGGGGAAGGAGGGAAGGGAAAACTTACTTCCACTCGCATTTGCGACCGAATTCCTTGATATCCTCCACACAACCCGGCCACAGACAAACGAACTTCCCCTCGGCATTCTTCGTAGCTTGACGAACTGGTTTGGGGATAGGCTTAATTCTCCCTGATGATGGTGCTACTGGTGTAGTTGGCGACTGCTGCTCCTGAGGATGTTGTTGTGAAGGCGGCGATGGCGCAGCCGCTGCTGATGTCAAAGGTTGTGTTACTTGTGTATGCTGATGTAGATGTGGTGGCAACTGAGGATGTACAAGAGCCTGCTGCTGCTGCTGTTCCAGTGGTGATTGTTGTGCCAGCTGAATAGGCAGGGAAGCTTGAACGGACAGTGAGCTCGAGACCGACACGTCTACCGATACCGATACTGGTGCCGGCTGCTGCTGAGATTCGGGTTCCGGGGCTGAAGCAGCAGTGAGGTAGTCGTTGAGTCGCGGATCCGTACTCTGAACGGCGGCACCGAATGCGGCCCTGCTGCTGCTGCTGCTGCATGCGCGTTGCATGTGGCTCGGGCAACTTCCACCAAGTCGCTTGAGAGGTCGCTCACAACGACATCATTCGCGTTTGTGAAGCGATCGGTGTCGGGTGAGCCATGGTGTTGCTCAGTGAGATCTTGATGCTGGTTGTTGGAATCGTGAGAGTGGTGTGGTTCGTGAGATTCGTGGGGTTGCTGGTGGGTGTCATGAGCTTGTGGGTGAGGGTGGTCATGAAGGGAGTGCTGTTCCAATTCTTGTTGCTGGGTATCATGGGTGGTTTCTGAATGAGAGTGGTGTTGGTGTTCATGAGAATCGTGGGTGATGTGGTCGTCAATGTCCGGGTAATTCTCATCCTGGAATAACTCCCGTTCTTCGCCATAAACGATACTCATGTTCGTTGACTCTGAAAGTTTCACCGTGCGCGACGGTGAACTTGAACACGGCGTTGGGGAGAAGTTATGCGGTTGCCTGCGCCCAGACGGTATCGGCTCCTTCCTTGTAAGTCAGCCGTCAAGGGACGTTTTGTGAGTGGTGAGATTGCTTGATCGCAGATGTCGAAACTTTTGAGATATTTGTGAGAGTGCAAAATCTCAACAGCCGATGGCTGGACTTTAACGATCCTGTGTAATAATCGTATCCGAATATCGAATCGGCCTTGCCCCCCGCAGTCGGCGGTGCACCTTGTCTCTTACACCCCTATCTTGTTGATACCGTATCAATGTCAATATTGGCGCTGGTTGGACAGGCGACGGAGGTTGATACCTCAGGCAGGTAGATTTTGCTTCAGGTTGTGAATTTCGATAACGTCCGAGTGGACGCTCTCAAATTTTTGGAGGGGTTCGGGTGTTGTGGCTCGGTTCCGGCCCGCTGACGCACGACACGTGGAAGGTGGTATCCGACAGCTGCTGGACAGCTGTAAAGTTTGGGGCTGAATGCTTCGAAGAGGCCTCCCACGTGATTCGGAGCTGAATTAATGTTAGTGCACCTAGTACTTTCTGTAGCTTTCATGATGCTTACCATGATGTGATGACAGCGCAACCTTCTAGATATATCTCTTTCAATCTTTCATAAGAAGACCACGGAAGTGAGCCGCAACCCGAATGCTGCCCAGGTAGCAACCCAGACAAAGACTTTGGAGGCAGCCGTGAAGTTTTCGCTTGAGGGTGCACGCCTCACCGCGGAAAGTGACTCACATGGGTATCACGCACTAAATCGTCCATGGCTGAGAAGCCTGAGATTTAACGAACGCGACATCTCAATGGCCATGCCAGGTTGACTCGGTTGACAGCCCATGGCGCAAGGCTGCAACGTCGTCCAATCCCAATATCTCCCGAGATTTTCCATTACTAGGTCGCTGCCCAGTTCGCCCTTCGCAATCCATGGCCCAAATGTAGACCGTCGGGTGTGGCTTCCACGATGGCCACGACGCTGTCCTGCGGGCATCAGCCTCATTCTCAGCTGTGAACCCGTCTCTCTGGCCCAGTCGGATAAGTGACTGCCAAGGCATCCCAAACAAGTGATCTGCAATTTGAGGACGGGGACCTGGTATCGAGACCATGCTAATGTCGGTAGATAGGTATACGGCGAGAAATTCCATGGTATGCCCAAGGCCGAGTGTGTCTTGGCCGGCCTGAGTTGGAACACCGAAATGCGGAGCGCTTGGGTTGCTTCTCGTCCAAAGACTCGACTCTTGGTGGATGGAAAATATCGGCTGGTGCCTGCTTGCCAACAACTCGGTTGCCAATACCAGTCCAGGAACCGACTTCACTGCACGGGATTTGTCGAGGGCTGGCTTTTGTGGTGAGCATTTGCCGGAGCCTTCTTGGCGTACGCGAAAACACGTCCCTGGACACCAGTCGTCATCAGATGCCGAAGCCGTTGCAGACGAGTGTGGCTCTGCTGTGTTACTCGTACCCTGCCTGGGATGTAGTGGGAAAGGGTTAGTCTGGAACAGGCTACCGAATGGACGTCACATCCGGGTCATCGCCAAGGAGGGCCTAGGGGGAGGGAGAAACTGACCTAACAACATACGTGAGGCACATCACATGGCTGGTAGGAGATGGTAACTGGTGCGAGACTGACCAAGTGAGTGAACGAAGGTTTCTACTAATGGTAAGCCGCGTTGCCCAGCTTGGCCGTATCGATACTGCGCCGTAAAGTGAAAGCTCACACCGGGGTGAGTCACCGAAATCGCGGGAGTGATCTGAGTGAGACTGAGCGGCCGATGAGAATGAATGAGATGTATCACCGTGAAGTTGATCTCTATGCGGGTCGTGGTGAAGGAGTGTGATTAGTCGTGAAAGACGGCGAGGGTGATGGCGCACTTGCGTAGGTACGGCCTGTATCTTGTCTTCTAAGAAACATCGCCGCCGACGTGACGCGTCTTGTTTGCAGTGCCTCCGCGGTTCACGGAAGGAGGATGGTGGTGTGGTAAGATCCCGGTGACGATCCAGGCAGCGTAGGCAGGTACTCGGGTCATCCCGCAGTGACATAGGTAATCAGTCAGCAGCTTCTAATCCACGTGCTTTCGGTCAGCCATCCGGGAGACGAGGCCGAGATATCCGAATCATGGTGGTCATAGTGGTCTATGTGGCCGGCGAGGTTGCCTTGGTTAGCTTGGTTGGTATGACAATAACGTGACCATTGCCTAGACTTAGCTGGTATTGGATGTTGTGCTGGAGGCAACTTGGCATAGTCGCCTCCATGGTCGTGTGCGCTGGCTTAAAGGGGCTGCCTAATCCATGATGGCAAGTTGTGTTCAATATTGCCGTGTTGCTGGCTAAAGTGCAGAGATAGTCGACTTGCCGTGTGACCGAGAGTAAGGGCTCGGCCTTGGTAGGACAAAATGTGGATTTAATGAGCATTTGTTGGAAGTCTGTGTACGTTAACCTTCAGTTAGCGTGTGATGAAGGACAGATTCGAGAATCAGAACGGGATGTGCTAGATGATCCTCTATTGGTGAGTTTAGACCGAGTGTCGTTTTGATGTGAGGAGCATGAAAGCTTGCCGTAATCAAATGAGATGACGAAGCCTCGTGAAGACTTGATGATGCGAGAACCTTGATGGGTCTGTACCACCTGACGGCCTTGTCATTTGGGAGGGAAAAGGCAGGAGAAAATGACACTTCAGTTCCCGCCTGCAAAATCTCCCGTCCAGAAGACGGGAAAGAACGAGTTACACGACTTTGTGACACTCCGATCGTTTGTGGCTTCTCCAAGGTGCAGTCGATTCTTGTCTGCCACTTCCCGGGCGATAATGCGATCAGCATATCTTTTTTTTTTTTTTTAAAACGAGGCCGGCAACGCGCGTGATCACCACTGACAAAAGTCGGGCACGACTAAACAGGACGATATCATGCAGGGAATAATCACCTCCTCCATTACATCAGCTAGCATCGAGCTCAAACTATATGACCTATAAATATACAAACTAACTAATAACAAAGAAAGGGGAAAAAGAAAAGTCGTTACTTCATATCATAAAACATCACATTTTTCATAACATCGTCATAAAATCATCATCATCATCATCACCATCTGTCCATCCGTCCGTCCTGACCAAGCCCATAACCATCCGTGTACTTGTATGCAGCCGTTGTCCCCGGTCTTCTTGTCCCCATCCATCTATCGTTCGTTCTATCCTAATGGCCATGCCATTTCATGCTTTTTAAACGTCTCAGACGTATGAGTCCGACCAGGCAATGGTACGGATCCTTCTATACTTTTCCTTCCACTTCTCAAGATGGCCCAGCATCTTCGCTCAATTTCCCCTATGTCCCATAACACTCGAACTGATCATCAACGGAACATAGGCGCTCCCGTTGCCACTAGTCCCTCTGCTATGGCCGCCAGCACTGCTCTCGAGACTTCCATGCCCGTACTTATAGCCGTGCTGGTCTCTGTGGTCATCCCTCCTCTCTTCCCTTCTTTCCTCCCTTCTTTCCCTGTAGTCTCTCTCCCTGTGTCTTCTTCCCGCATCATCTTCACTCCTCCGCCCACGGTGCACCACTGTTTCGGTCCCAGCCATATGAGAGATCCCGGGGGTACCATTTCTGGAGAACCCTGGCGTCCCCGCCCTGACGATACCGAACAACCCTTCCTTAAGTCGTGCTCCAAAGCCAAGAGAGGAGGAAGTAGCGCTGTTGTGATGAGGGGGAGGAGGGATGGTAGGCGGGGCGCAAGTGATCCCGCAATCAGCGTGGTGGTGGTGGTAAGGGACGCTGAAAGCCAACATGTCCTCGTGGTCACGATCACCAGTTACAGCTGAGGTGGGAGCCGACTCGGCGGCGCCGGGTCTTGCGCGAGAAGCGTTGAGGGCAGCCATTACGGCCGGTGAGTCGTGCCCGTGGTGACCGGAGTGTTTGCGTCTCTGACCAGTCGACGTACCGGTCTGGTGGTGATTATGGGAGTTGGCGCGCTTCAAAGGGAACGGATTCGGAAGTTGTGGTTTGATGGAGTGCGAGTTAGAGCGCTTAGGCGGCTGGGGACGCGCCGTTGGCTGAGGAGGTTGATCGATGGATTCCCTGGTGGAGGGCGTGCCGTAGGGGCCGTGAGCAAATTCTTTGCTGAGCTTTTCGAGGACCTGTTCCCTGGCCTTTTTGAGGGCGGCGGCCCGGTCTTGCTCGGATTCCACGTGGGCCTCGAGATCTGCAAAGAGAGACGGCCCATCGGGATTAGACGAAGTGGAGTCGCGGAATAGGAGGGTGCCGACAGCACCGCCCCGGGCATTTTGTGGTCCACTGATGCCGAGGAGGGGACCGGTTTTGGAGGATGGGTCGTAGACGGTCGGTGAGAGGACGGCGGGGAAAGGGTTGGCGTTGAGAATGGGGGCGGTGATGTTGAGTCGGGCAGCCTGAGGAGTGTCCAGAGATGGACGAGGAGAAGGGCGATGATCTTGCTCGGTCATCCGGGGAGGAGAGCGAGGAGGGGTGGGCGAGGAATAGCCCGGTGGTGGTGGAGGCAATGCTTTGTCTTTGTTGGACGCACCACTGGCAGATTGGGGAGGTGACGGTGGGAGTCGCTGGGTAACGAGTTGTGGTGGCGTGTAGGGTGCGTTCTTGGGTTGAGGCGGCTGAGGGACGTCCTCGTCATCGACACCGCTAACTTCCGACAAGGTCTTGAGTTCAGGCAAAGTTGGCAGAGTCGTGACCTTGTCATCCTCCGGGTAGTCTCGGCGGTGATGACGATGCTTGCTGCCATGGCGAGAGCGTGAACGAGAACGGTGCCTATCGCTCGACTCGTCACGGCGGGAGTGCTTGGTCTTGCTTCGACTGTGGCGTCCTTTATCCTTCTCCTTTTCGGTGCTGCGGTACCTCCGCTCATCGTCACTGGCATTTTCACGGCGCTCACGGTCCCGGCGACGCGACTCACTGGCCTCCTCTTCCTCAGTGATGCTGCCATCTCCGCGGCGGTGCTTCCCAGAGCTCTTTTTACGAAGCCGCTGCTTCTTGATCCTCGTGCTGACAGACATGTTGGTGCCCATTTGCAGATCGGAAACATCCACCTCCTCCTCGCCCTCCTCGTGGATCGTGGTGATTGTACCGCTTCCTCGTTTGTCGACTCCTCCGCCGTCATGAATGACAATATTGGTGGCCAGACCGCTCGCGGCAGCAGCGGTCACACCCCTAGCCCACTCCTGCACTCCCACCTCCAATTCATCCACCCCGTCCTCTAGCCATCCTCCGTTTACCAACACCGTCTCCAAGTCAGCATTCAACAACTCCCTTGTCATAGCCGTAGCAGCCGACGACTCCGTCAGCAATGTCTCACAGCCGTCCGTTGTGCTCGACAACCCGCTCATCTGCCTCCTCTGACCCTGCCTCATCACGCTCCCGCTTTCGACACTCCCGCTAATCGATCGCCTACACCAAATGTCCCCCTTCTTCCCGCCCTTGGCCCTCCGTTCCTCCTCGTCAAACAGCGGCTTGAGTGCTTCGTCCCAGGTTCCCTCTCCGACGAGCAAAACCTCCTCGAACTGGAACTCCTTTACTGTTCGCATGTGTCGCTTGACTAGCCCGTTCACCTGACTTGCGTTCATCGTCGCGTTTCGTACCGACAAATACTTGAGACGAGGCATGTCAATCTCTCTTCTCATTGGCCTTTCCGGTAGCGGGCTCATGGAGTCCGTCAACTCGTTGAACAGTTTCTTTCGCTGTTTCTTTCCTCCAGCTGGCGCGAAAAGAGGGTCTTCGCCCAATGCTATAGGACAGGGCCCCTTCTGGTGTCCATCCCACGTGAAACTGAATTTCTCTAGTCGTGGAGCAAACCAACGGATGAACTCATCCATAATCTTCAGGTGGTCCAGCCCGGGCGAAGTAGGGTGGTAGAAATCCCAGCTCTCGACGCTGATGTATAACTTCCGAATCTGTCGCCAGCGGCGCTCGGCGGAAGGGGAGACGCCGTATCCGGAGCCGGGGGTGTGCCGGAGGTAGTTGAAGGCTGTTGGGTGGACGCCCGACAGCGACAGTTTGGAAAATTTGGTGAGCGGGGCCCGTTCCAGAGAGATGCGCAAGCTGATTAGGGCGTAGTCAACGCAGTCTCTGCGATACCGCTCCTTGGGGTCCTGGCCGGGGGTTTTGATGGTGAGGTGACGCATGTTGGGCAAGTGACGAATGGCGTTGATAAAGGAAGGCACGTTGGAAGCGGCGTGGAACAAGGGCGGGTACTGCTCCGTGAGAATCTGACCCAGTTCGGTGCTTGTGAATTTCGGCCTGAACAGCGCGGCGGTCATGGAGGTGATAGGATGATAGAGGAAGGAGATTTCATGGCCTGTGGTCGGGTGGATTAAAGGTGGAAGAAAAGTGGCGTCCGAATGAGGGAAGGAGAAGGTGAGATGCTCGATGTGGTGGCCGATTCGACTGAGGGCGGAGATGCGCGTCTGCTTGGTGAAGGTGTTGGCTGTGAAGGTTAGATGGGTTCTCAAGAAGAGCCGCTTAGTGAGGAGAGCAGAAAATGTTGAGTTGGTGGCGCGGACGGCGCAGAGGTCACTCTTGTCGAGCAGGTCGAAGAGTCTCTCGCGGATGGTCTCGTCTTTCCACAGGCAGTAGAAGTCTGCTTGTGACTTGGTATTAGGTGCCATGTTCGCTTTTGCATGTCTTGGACAATATGATGATGTTTTTGGGTGTGTGGTACGGTGGTTTGAAGATGACTGGTCTGGCATCACACCTTTCCCATTGTACAAAACTTGGAGTGAAGAGAAAAAAATATGATTTGATCAAAGACAGGTGAGAAGAAGGATACGATGGGTAAGGGAAGGGAGGCTTTGGGTATCTCAGATGGTGGCGGTGGTCCACCGGTGTAAGTCGTCTCTATCCAAAAGACGATGATGGTTCCCCCAAAGTCCGATGTCGTCAGAAGAGGCAAAAGTCGTTTTCGGTTCCAGACCTTGTACAACAGAAAGGGATATGAAGCCAAACAAAACCAAGAGAAGAAACAAGAAGGACTTTCTGTTTTCCCAAGAAGAGTGGAGGAGGACTCGAATAGGGAGATATACCCCACTGGTGACACCTCATCACCGACCGACATACATGGACCTACCACTCGGTATGTCTTCCCCTTTGAACTACACTAGTAGTTAATCACGTATCTTTCTTCAACCGTGATTTGGCGGTCGGCCGGTCGCGCATTTCCCCCATCCCATCCCAGTAGTTGATCCTGCCCCATTCATCCACTCTCCCATGGATTCAATCATCCCACCAACAGTCGCTGGCTCCGACTCCGCGAATCGATCAACCGTGCAAATTATCCCATTCGACCACAGGCCATAGCCATGTCCATGTGCCATTTGACATGCCATGCCACAAAGACTACCACCTCTTACTGCATCCAGGACGTAAAGAATGGACCATACATAGCAGGCCATAAGTTGAATACCTGTCAAGGAGACTATCCATGGAGCAGGAAGCATATGCCAACCATCAAAGGAAGGCCATTCAGACGGTAGACGGGTGTCTTGACTTGGATATCGTATGGCTGTCAGTGACCTGTTTTCAGTTGCAATCAAAGTGCCGTCTCTCGTGCATTTGCAGATGGTTGCAAGAATTCTGGGGCGGCATTTCGGACGGCTGCACCATGCAATGTCGGTCGGGACAGGAACAAGTGGGTGGGAAAAAATGGATGGGGACGGAATGCGAGAGGCTTCGAGAAAGACTTGAGACGGCTGTGACTGTGCAGTCTTTTGCTCCGTAGACTCCGTAGACTCCATTGCGAGCGCGACCTCCGGCCTGGACTTGATTTGGACGATGGTCGTTGGCTGATGGTGAAGTGTGTCGTTGCTGGTTGGTCGTTGTCTTTCTTCCGGGCCGCGCCGACGACTGTGAGTGGTCAGACCGGATCAAAATGTTCAAATAAGGTCGCGCCCCCCGCATGACACCAATGCAGCCTGTCTGATCTCTGGGGCCTTCTCATCCAGTCGACCTCACCAAGAAACGGGATGGTGCTGCAACTAGGGGCAACCGATTTGATCCAAAGGTGTGGTGGCAGTTGGTGGTGGGGAAGACAGAGAAAAGTTGAAACAATGAAACGAAACATGATGGGGGAGGATTTGGCGATTCAATGCGGTAACCACCGTTGCCAAGAGTGGACAAATGCTTAGCGGAATCTTAACGTTTGCGACACATTGATGGGCGATCATGAGATATCCAAGCAGAAGACTTTTGGAATTTGCATCAACCATGAAGAAGGAACAGCGAGCAAGTATAGTCTTGATGTTTTGGCTGACAAAAGAAGGGCATAATGCGTCGTTTTTTGCCGTCTGCTTTTCGATACCTGGTAGTTGTACAATAGTCAGCCAGTTGCTACTTTGGAGAACAGAGTGGTGGTGTGAAGCTTATCGATAACAGTCGCATCCAACCAATCACGCACTTACAATTTGACTTCCTCGGCACCATCACCCGTGCTCCCGTCTTGTCCGTCCATCCGTCTCCGTCTCTCTGTCAACGCACACACGCCGCTCACGACAGCGGGGCATTTCCGTTCAGTCCATCTGGGCCAGACAGTTGACGTGGATCGACAGGATCACATCGCGCCAGGGGTTGAATGGAGAGTTCGTTCCGCTCCGGGCCCGCGCGTGCGTGTTTGGTGAAACGGGATGGTCCGGGACTGGACCCTTCTTGCGGCCCCGCTCCGCGGTTGTCCCTGGTTGTAGGGCACAAGTTATCAGGTACACGTTGGCGCCCAAACGTCTGCGATTAGGCACATGTCAGATTTTCCTGATCAGTGCTGCTGGTATAAAGAATCCGTGGCTCGCCTTGCTTTCTGCGGTTGGGGTCGCAGTTAAGCGCTGGGTACGGTGGTGACTGTGTGACTCTCTGCAAGAACACCGTTATGGAAAGCATTCAACCGAGTGCTGGTGATGTGGAAGAATTTGTTCGGATCGGGATGGCCTCGGACATCTCTCGATGACGAGACTCCAGCACTCTAGCGCTCCCCAGTTGGCTGCTGAGTTGTCAGCCCCTATGGACCCGGGGGAGAAAAGATCAAACACCTAATCAGCTAATGTGTTAGCAAACTTGGAAGATCTGGACAGCTCTCTGAGTGTGCTGGTTCTTTTTGGTGGTTTGATCCACGGGGAGACTCCGAGACGCAAGTTCACCGACGGCTGCGCCGGCAGATAAAGGTGGGTGGGCGGGGTGCCTCTTATATGTACAATCCATCAAGACGTGGTCATGTCGAGAGAGTGGGGGAACAGAACGGTAACGGACTGCGCAACTCGACCGCGTTTGGGTAGTAATTGAATCGACGATTTGTTCATGGCTGGCTGAACGGTTCCGACTGCTTGACGACGTCGTTGTGCTGAGTGTTGTGATTCCTCATCTCCAAGTGGGGCAGACGAGATAGTGAACATGAAGTTGGTTGACCGGTACAGATGGATGGCGTAGTAAGACGGAGAAACTAAACACAAAGAATTGGAGGACCAAAAGATTGAAGACGAAGAAAATGAAGGCGTCCCGTTCAACCCCCGTCACAAATGGAAGCAAGCGCTACCTCCTATCTGAATGATAAGAAGATTCACTGCCTGTCCGAAAATGAGGATTGTATAAACAGGAAGGACCCAAGTACTACCTACCTCTACAGTAGGGACGTTTCATTTGGAAGGAAAGAGCTACCTCAAGGAAAGAGTGCATCATGGTGCACATTCGTCCGTGGTTCACGAAATTAGGGGAAGGTGCTCGTCATTCATCAGTTGCTCTTGCCGTTCCACACGATTGACAGACTGATGACCGGGGGAGTGAGGACCAGTCGGGTTGCACAGATTATCAACTTTCTCAGATTGTGAAGAAACTTTTGGGTTTATTGCCTCATTCGGGGGGCAAAGGCTCACTCACACTTTCACCAAGAGAAAGCCTAGAAACACTCCACGAAAAACCTACATCCACTCTAAATCGAGGCCAACAGAAGACTTTTCTCGACCCTAGACCTCACATGCATCCCGAAAAATGCATTTACCTTGTGAAGAAATAGATATCTCTTTTTCCTCTCGGAACTAAGAGTGGGTATAGGTTTTTCTTGGAGTGCATCTAGGTTTTCTCCTCACCAGACTTCTCTCTAGGGCCAAGAAACAGCCGTAATAAAGAAGCCAGGAGAATCTTATGTCTGTATTTAAACTCACAAATGGGGTGGGTATGGGAAATGAGCTCGATGGGATCAATCGCTTTTTTGTATTCCGTTCCCACGATGAACCGTAATTCAGCTCTATTGTAACTTGATATGCACCCATGCGCTTGTAATAGTATCTCAGGCAACCGATGACCAAATCGTAGACTGATGATTTTGAGCAACAATGTACAGCAGCTCTGTTGCGTTGAGGGAGGGATGGCTTGACAAAGCCACCTCCAAACCACTCAACTTCGCTGGTAGCCTATACCAAGGCCACCGCATCCAAGCAATAACGCCGTTCTTGTCGGCGCCGACTGAAGAGCAATGTCAACCCGGTCGCTGCCGTGGCGAAGATATCCATAAGGTGAGACAAGATCATCGCATCCAAGAGAGCCCACGTCGGTGCTTGCTCAGTGATGTCCCCTTGACCACTGGTTCTTCCCACCTCTGCCCCTCCGGCCGCCGCCAAATCCACCGCGGCCACCACGACCACCTCCACCAGCACCACCACGCCCACCACCACGTCCGCCGCCGCCAGGGCCATTTGTAAAGGTATCGCCTCCCCTGCCATGGTTATAGCTCTGGAACTCCCTCAGTCTTTGCGGAGGGGGACCAGGCGGAAGCGGCGGGTTGTGTCTCTGTCCACCAGTACCGCCACCGTTCTTGCCGCGTCCACCACGGTTACCACCAAAGTTGATCTTCCCGTGTTGAGCGGACCCAGGTCCCTGATTCTGAGTGACGGGAGGCCTAATAAACCCCTCATCTTCTTCGTCCTCGTCGTCCTCAAAGAAGACATGTCTCTGCGGGGCAATGCTGTGTCCAAAGTCTGGACGACCGTTGCTGTCCGCATCCCAGTCCGCATACGGATCCTCTTCTTTATAAGGCGCCAACACAGAGCCCTTGGGCATCGGCTGCAGTGCGATGGGGATCTTGGCTGATTCCGGGTCGATGTAGAGCTGCTCCACGTTGCTCTTGCTCCACGTCTCCCACGCGGTAATAGTAGACGGGCGCGCCATGTTCATGCCGCAGTCGGCTCCATAGTGACCTGCGTTGCCGCAGCAGTAGCAATAGACAGGCAGAGCCTTGACTTTGGATGAAGTGAGCGGATCGGGCTTGTAGGTACGCCAGAGCTCAACGCAGGTCTCTTCCAGGTGATCGGTAGAGCCGCAGATGGCGCAATCCATCTGGTCGCGCGGGAGGGCAAGCCTCTCGGTGCAAGACTCGGCGTCGTGACCGAGTTGCCTACACTCGGTGCAGCGGCGGCGGGTGGGACAGGCGTAGTAGGGGTGCTCGGCGACGGCGCGGCACCACCGGCAGGTGAGGAGGGGGCATTGGGAGGAGCCGTGCGAGTAGGAGGCGCATTCGACACAGAAGAGCTGGTTGTGCTCGAGACCGCAGAAGTATTTGTGGCGGATGTGCAGGTCGAGGTCTTCGTTTCTGGGTGTTGCGGGTTGTGATAGTTGTTGTTGCTCCTCGTTTCTGGCGGCCACCGCTTGTGTGCGCTCGCTCTGCTCATCGGCAGCTTCTTCTCTCTCTTCATATTTTGGAGGTTCCACTGTCTCATCTTGAGCAGGCTTTGGGCTGGCTGCCGTAATAGCATGGTAAACGGCTTCAACGTCCTCGTTGTGGTCAAGGAAGAAATTCCTAGCAACGTCCTTTCCGACGGGAATTTTGTTCTTGCCCACAATTTGTCTGAACCAATTACACCAGGTCGTCCAGATAACGCCCAGGAGCTCCGGTGTATCGGAAGTCAGAAGGTCTGGATTCAGGTTGATGAACTCCTGAGACCATTGAAGGAATTTGGTCCTCCAAAGGCGATTGTTCTTCTTCAGATTGTCCAGATCCGACTTGGAGTCCAACGGTGGAATTGTCAGATTCTCGAATCTGGTGCCTTGGAGGGTGAATTGGGTCCAGCTTGCCTGAGCAAACTTTCCCTTCTTCTTCAGCTCCTGAGCCTCTGTCTTTGGCTCCTCTGGCTCTTGACCTTCTCCATTGAGTGCTTCAGAGATGACCATTCCGAGTCGTTCACTACTCTGCCTTGTCAATTTCGCCTGCTTGATTCCACCAGCCACCTGATCGTAACTGCAGAATTTTTGATCCGCGTGGTCCTGCAGCCACCGCCCCCAAGCCTTGTACAAGAGATCGGGGTTGTTCATCTTTTTGGCCTGAGCCTCGTCCATCGTGGTCTGGGGCCATCGGATGTTGTGCCTGATAAGGGCCCCACAGAATTTCATAAAGCGTTCCTGCCACGACTCTGGGTACCTTGGTCGGGCCTTGAAGTTCGCGAAGGGCTCATGAGGAGGAAGGGCGAGCCAGCCATCCACGATATTTTGGTCTGTCGGCGATGAGCTCTTTGGACGCGTTTGGTTTTTAGTCTTTGTGCTAGGTGCCGCCGTGTGTCTCTCTGGTGCGGTCTCTGGCGAGGGTTCCTTCTTTTGCGACTTTTTGCGTAGGCTTTGTGATGTGCTCAGCGATATGAAGGATGTCCGCAGGCCGCTACTAACGCCGCGGTTCCAACCACCTTGCGCTGGCGTGGTTTCGGCTCCAGCCTCGTTGTCCTTGGGCGACGCTGCTTCAGACCCGGAAGGCGACTCTCCTATCTCGCCCTCCTCGAAATCATCAGCCGGCGTGTTGGAGGCAGCCTCGGCATTTTCCACCCGGGCCTTTTTGGCTCCCGATGCATCCGATTCATCGTCGGCCGGCCTTTTGCGGCTGGGCGGTGAACCTGGAGCGCTCATTGTGGGTTGGGGTATCGATATGTAATAAAAGTGAAACTAGAGACAGAGTGAGTGTCTGATGAAGTTAAAGTGAAGTGTGGCTGCAAATGCCAGTGTCGAAATTTTAGTGGGGCAAAACGCCACAAAAGCAAATTCCTAGACCTAGACCAAGAATGGCCAGATTCGACCCTGCTTTCCATGGTAGTTAGCTTGGTTTCCAGTGATGGAAGTGAGCCGAACAAAAGCATTGAAGCTGAAAGCTGCATGTAGATTCCGATATTCAGGAATAAAATGAAGAACAAACCCATAAAAGAGTTCGGATGGTAGGGAGAGGACTCTCAATGGTGAGTACGTCCTGTGCGCGATGGTGACGGGATTGCTGGATCGCGCAAAGGGTCTGAGACAAGACGCCTCAAATCAATCATAGGTGGCTCACCTTGTTCCTCAAAAGCTGAGTGCTTAAAATTGATGAGCTGAGGTCGATATGAAGGACTGAATGAATAGCAGCACCGACTGACCGGTACCACCACCGCGTAAATTGAGCCGGTCAGACACAGGGTCCGTTCCGGGACAGTCGTCCGGAATGCGCTTGATGATGCCGGGGTGCTGACAGCGAGATGGCGGCTCTGCAGGGCCGAGATAAATAGGAGGGTTGATGGCGCGAAACGAATCTCGAAAGGTGAATTTGACGTTTTGCAGTTCGCGTCGAGCAAGGATTGGGATTGGAGTGCGACAGACCTTAGGCGTTGGGCCGAGTAACAATGGCGTCAGGGTTAAGAGTGAAGGGGCTGCGTTGTTTTGGACTTGACCTGTTAGACTTTGAAGAAGGTTTACTACGAGATCTGACTGTGTGCAGTGCAAGCCGAAATTTCACAATTTCGCAACCTTACACGATCTGGTATGTACCGCGCTGTCTTGTTCGCAGTGTGTGACGCTAGAGGTAACAGAGAGCACCGGGGGACCCCTTGTGGCCGGGGCGGTCTAGAGCCCGTCTGGTAATTTTGGAGAATATGATACCAATGATACGAGATCCACAATTCAAATGCTCAGCCTCCACCAATGCCTGCTGTGAGCTGGGAGCCCGGTTGCAGCGAATTGCCAGTTGCTCGCCTGCCGCCGCAGCCTCAAGCCTCACGTGGGGAGAGACCCCTTTCATCTGTCGAGTGGGAATAAGGGTGTCCGCGGGATGCGGGACGGCGTTGGAGTCTGGAGAGGTACCTGGGGGTCTCTCTTTTGGGGATGCGTGGCCTCTTCCTTGACTATTCCTTGCCATTGATTTCCTCATGTTGATGATTCGTATTTCACTGACTATCCTTGCCAAGCAGACCTGTCGGGTGATCTCCAAACTATAAGCATTTCGTTACCAGAGTCTAGCCGGTAATTCATTGAAGCTGAGTGCTTGAAGAGAGAAAAAAGAGAGTCCAGACTCCAGAGCACCACTTCAGGCCGGACAGGTACATGTAGACAAGAGAGGACTTCCCCACTCCCGAGTGCCAATCCCGGTTGCTGATTCGCCCGTCTGTGGATTCCTTTCTCCAAAGTTAACAACATCGGCCATTGGGACAAACGCGGAACTTGAATACAACCAGCACCCCTAGACTTGGCCCTTTTAGCGTACAGGGCCTACCTTAAGCTTAGCACGTCCCCTCTCTCCAAGTCCAGTGTCAACCTCTTCAAGACCGGCCTTGCTTCACCCCGACATTCTAGATTCATACCGACAGCATTCGTTCATCTCGACAACCGAAATCTACCAGACGGCGCCAGCATCGATTACGCCGCCAATACCAGATTAGCGAATATTCCAACTTTGTCCCCCCCCCCCCTTTTCCACCTTTTCTATTTTGGTTGACTGGCTGGTTTCCTTTCTCCAAAATCCAAAAAGCCAAAAGCCAAAAAGCCAAGTGACATCATCCCACCTCGACCGACAAGTTGCACCATCCTCGCCTCACCAACCCAAAGACGAGTATTAACATCGACCGGCCCTTGATCCAAAGTCAATTTGCGCTTCTGAATCCCCAAGAGATTCGGTCTCCGTACTTTACCCATACCTTCTCCGAACGAAGACGGACCAGCGACGACCACGACAGACCAAGCAAGTCGGTGATCTTCGCCTCTCTGCGCAAACACACACACCCTCCGAAACTTTCTATAAACACACCGACGACCCTCTCCGTCGGTCTCAATACCGCAAAGTTGGCTTCTCCAATCGTCCTCCCACGCACCGTCTCTTACGACGTACCCGCCACCAACCTAGCACCGCGTCGGGACTCCTTGACATATCAGAACACAATGGCAGATAAGGGTGGCCGCAGGAGGAGATCTAGTAGCATTCTCCAGGTCTACCACGAGCCTCTTGAGCCCGTTGAGCAGCTGAGCGATCAGGCTGCCCTCCCCAATCTGAATGCCAACTGGGTGAACGCAAAGGGTAATGATCCTCTCCCGTCTCCCCTCCAAGAAGCTTGTCGTGATCCCTGCCCTGTCAATCAGCCGCGGGGTGCCACCAAACAAGCCCTCAAAGCTCCTAGCCTCCCATGATCTTATGTCAAAAGCTTATGCTAACCTTTACTATAAAACAGGCGCCTGGACAATCCACTTTGTCCTGATCCTCGCCCTGAAGATCATATACGACATTGTCCCCGGTGTCTCACAAGAAACGTCATGGACGCTGACCAACATCACGTACATGATCGGCTCGTACATCATGTTCCACCACGTCCGGGGCATCCCCTTTGAGTTCAACGGCGGCGCCTACGACAACCTGAACATGTGGGAGCAGATTGACGACGGAGCCCAGTACACGCCTGCCAAGAAGTTCTTGCTCAGCGTGCCCATTGTCTTGTTCCTGCTCAGCACGCATTACACCCACTACGACCTGACGTACTTCATCATCAACTTCTTGGCTGTCATGGCGGTCATCATTCCCAAGTTGCCTTATGTGAGTTGTTGGCCTCTTCTACCGGCTTTGCCTGTTTGGCTAGAACACATTACTAATTACTTATCCCTATTACAGAGCCATCGTATGCGTGTTGGTCTCTTCTCTGGAGTCCCAGAGGAATAGAATCCCCCCGATGAGCAAGACAAAGATAAGGAAGATGGGGAGACCGTGCCGGAAGGGAGTCAAAAACATGATGTCTGGCCTCCTGGAACACAATGCTAGGGCCCCCATTTGGCAAAAGAACACCTGTGGGTTGGTCGATGCGGACGTCGGAGGATTGAGGCTTGATAATCTCTTGGGGACATAGAGGAGGAGGAGGACCCAGTCCAGGCAGCGGCACATGCGGGCTACAGCAGAGAGGAAGCACGGAAGTACGCCAGCAATCAGGCTTCAAGGCATTACATGTTGAGAACCACTCTCCGGGCGGGACAGGAAGGAGACGGAGAAGATCGGGTCGGGATTTAGGAGATATAACACAACGCACAACACACATGGGTCAGGTCAGGTTAGGCAAGGTCAGGCTAGGGTAGGGTACGTTAGGGTAGGATAGGGTAGAGAAAGAGGAAGTTGGTTCCGACCGTCGGAGAAAGAAAGGTTCGAGCATGGTCAAGGACTGCCTGGTCGAGGAAGGAGAGGGAAAAAAAGACAACATGTGGAATGTTTGTGCTACTTCCGGTTTTTGGTTGTTTTTTTAAAGTCTATAGGGTTAAATGTATAGGATCATCAGCGTCACGATTTTACACTGTCCTTTCTCTGCGTGTTGCTTGCTACTTTTCTCTGTTTGTGACTTGAAGTGCTTATATACGTTAAGTTGAGTTAGAAGTTGTACTTGCCCGAAGGGGGTTCGTAAAAGATAAAAGAAAACCGAAGACGGATTCAGAATCCAGCTCACACCTCAAGCCGGCATCAATAAATACACAAGCCCAAATCAAAGCGCCTGCGTGGAAGGAAAGAGAAGACGATCAGGGTTGTTCTCATGAGCAGAAGATCTTGGCATTTTAATTTATGATATGATGATTATTCTTCACCTACTTCGTCAGTGTTATTGCTGTCTCTTCGGTTGTTCGCTTACGACGTCTTTGTCTGCTTCCTTCAGTTATAACAGAGAACCCGGTCAGAGTTAACAATGTTGTCTCTAGATCGGTGGATCTGAACCGTTATGTTTTTATTTACTACCTATCTAGACTTGTCCAACAGTAAGGATTTATCTGTTTAAAAGTTATTACCGTACCCGTTGGTGAGTTTAGTCAAGTCATCCTGTTACTAGTTTCCCCGACTCTGCTGCCACCGGGCAACGGGTAACTTCCAAACTCAGGTTGACCTGATTTGGCAAAGCCAAGTTTTTGTCTTTTCTCGGAAAAGTTCGCCTTGTTAAAACCGAGCAAATATCTCGCTTGCTTGCTCACATCCGACACTTCGACTGGCGACTCCTAGCGACTCCTGGCTTGTGAGTAAGTAAGTGGCTGTGGGTTGGGGTTGATCGATGGGGCAAAATGGGATCTTGTACTCGCACCTCTTAAACCGCTCCCAACCGTGAGTGACGATGAAAATGACCACCCGCAGCAAGCATGGCCGTTTCGAGGTCTTCCCTGTATTATACTGTAACTGGTGTGGGAAGTCCGTCAACGTACCGATACCTAGAAGATACGAGACCGAGGACAAGGCCAACATGAGGCGCATGCTCTCTGACGCTTAGACAGTAGTGTCTCGTGCCTCGTGTCTTGTGCTTGATGCAAAGTAGTATGCACACTCACTTGGACACTTGGATACATGAACACATGAACAGTTTAAGCCTTACGGCGGGGGTAAGACGTGATGTGGCGATGGAGGAGTCTCTTTAGTAGGTAGTGTTCGGAACTTGAGCTCGTGATATCTGTCTGGACTTGAGCTGACGACGTCTTCTCTTGGGGAAGAACCTCCTGACGTTCCAGTCACCTGGGTTGCTGTGATGTACATGCAGTAACATGCTTGTACATGTAAATATACCAAAGCAGGCTTCGATGCAGGTCCTGTTGACAGCTCTGGTGCATCGACTACCCAGGCCCGAGGCATTGTAATAAACACCTTGATGTCTACTCTTGGAACAATTATTTCCCCTGAAGATGATTTCCTTCATGTATATGCATGATTTGGCAGGAGCTTGGCCTTCCTAAGTCGATAGCTGCAAGATGTGTGAGGCCACGTCCTTTTTGTTCGTTGCCCCCCCCCCTTCTTTTTTTTTTCTTTTTGCGGGATGTTACTCACAGCTCGACGACACCTCACCTCTCACCTCACCTGCCCTCTACCTCAGCAGGAGTTCTTCATCGGGAAAACGACGGCGGTCACAAGGCTTTGTGGATGCTTCCATCCCGTGCCAGTGGATTCATTGCTCGAAACATCATCATGTAGGTATGTACTGTTTGTTGCTCAGAGAAGCCAGCCACTTGGGACGCTGCAAGGACACTCAGTCCGCAGTTACGGAAGACGCTGACCTTCCTCGGTCTCCTCGTCGTAACTAAAACCTGTGCTGACAGCTGTTGACAGAAGCAAGACTTCAAGCCAGCCGGAAACACTCCAGGTCAGTAAGCTTCGAGGAGGTGGAGGAGGAGTCATCGCTGTCTTCCACGAGGACACTCAGCCCTCGTCAACATGCAAGTCTTTACCTACGCTTGATTCCTGGCGCAGGGAAACCTGTTCGCTTTCTCGTCAACGCATAAGCATATAACATACCTATGCAACAAGCCCAGGTCGCGAGAGGACACTCGCCCCCTTCTCGACTGTTCGATGCTCGATTCCAGCTTACAGTTCATAGAACCACGCATACTCACGCAGCCAAGCCACCCAAACAGCCTGGATCCTACCGCAGGAACTCGTAAGCCTCAAGGTGATAGATGGTTCACAGAACGCAAGCGAGGCAGGCGACGCGAGGTGAAGAGAGAGAGACTTGCCCAAACTTACCTATGCCACTCACCTCACCATCGCCCGATCAATGATCCAACTTACCGGTTTCCCCAGCCACATGCCCGTCCGACATAAAGCATGAGGCATCAGTCAAGAAGAAACAGGTGATTTGTTCTTGAACCAACTCCCAACTTCCCTCTCCCAAGTCCCAAAAGGCCGTGCACGTAGAGATACCTCTAGCGATAGATATAAGACCCTTCCCATTCCTCCTTCCCCTCCTCAGATAGAAATCTCTTTCCTTACCCTTCTTACCCTTCTCACACTCACTCACTCTCTCACACTCACTCTCTCACACTCTCTCACTCTCTCTCGCTCACTCTCTCTCGCTCACTCTCTCTCGCTCACTCTTGTAGGAAAAAAGAGCAAAGGATCCCTTGTCTTGTGTGTGCCAAGTTAAACAGTGCAGCTACTACCTAGCTTGCACGCACACTAGGTCAAAGTACGTTCTCCTTTGTCTTCCCCTTCTCGAGCTCTTGCTAATACCTAATCCACCACCACAGAGCCATGAAGTACTCAACCACCTTCATTATCGGAGCAGTCACGGCTGTCTCCCAGCTCTCCCAAGCTGCCCCGACCAACAACAACCGCAACCACGACGACAGCAACAGCAGCAACAACAACCTCGTCACCCGTATTGCTGGTAGCAGCTCTCTCCCCACCGCGGCTCTCGACCCGCTTGTCATCCTCTCTCCCGATGAGGTCTTCCCTATTCCCCAACAATTCAACAACAACAACGATGACGGCGGCAATGATACCGATGCCAATGCCGTTGTGAAGAACTCTCCTGGCAAGCCTAGCAACCGTTTCCATCGGGAGAAGCCGTCCTCTTCCTCTTCCTCTTCCAAGGAGGACTACGGCAAGGACTACGGCAAGGACTACGGCAAGGATCACGGCAAGGATCACGGCAAGGATCACGGCAAGGAGGAGGGCAAGGGGGAGAAGGGTGCTAAGGCTTCTTCAGCTTCAGCTGCTCCTGCTGCTCACTCTGCTCACTCTGCTCCTCCTAAGCACTTTGGTGGCCATCAGCAGCCTGGACTCATTGAGCCTTCCACTGCCAAGTCTGACAAGACTGCGTCGTCTACCCCCGTCGCCACTCCTGTCAATGCCACCGGCGGCTCTTCTGCTTCTGCCACCGACAAGAAGGAGTCCAACTCCAACGAGGTCAAGCCTACCGCGACCAACAAGGAGGAGGCTGAGGATGCCAAGTTCACCGTCCACATCAACTATCATCCTCACAAGAGCAGCGATGACGAATTCTTGGACTACCTCGGCGATGTCTTCGGTGGTGGTGCGCCGAGAAAGTTCCTTGACAAGCTCTTGGAGAAATTTGGATCCAAGGAGGTCGTGGTTTCGGCCGGGAAGGAAGCCCTGGCATACTTGGGGATTGCTGTAGATGATGGCAAGAAGGACTCTGACAAGAAGGACTCCGACAAGAAGGACTCTGACAAGAAGGACTCTGACAAGAAGGACTCTGACAAGAAGGGCTCTGACAAGAAGGACTCTGACAAGAAGGGCTCTGACAAGAAGGACTCCAAGAAGAAGGATGTGTGGGAGTGGATGTTAGAGCAGGAAGAAGCTAGGCTTGAGCGTTTGAGAGCCGAGCTTCAGTATTTCCACGGCAAGAAGCCCGAGGACAAGAAGGAGGACGGCAAGTCCAAGGACGAGAAGGCCGCCAAGGAGGAGTCCAAGGGCGACAAGAAGTCCGAGGATAAGAAGGAACCCAGGGACGAGAAGAAGCCTAACGACCAGGCCCCCAAGTTCGGCCACGAGCAGTGGCCCAAGAAGGAGGGTGAGAAGCCCTCTTTTGGCGGCCACAAGTCCTCCAAGGAGGACGAGAAGTCTGGCGACAAGAAGGCTTACGGCAAGGACTCTGACAACAAGGAGGACGGCA